TAATTAGTTTAATAGTTACGCGAATAGCTTAATTTAAAGCGATCTTAGCTTTAATAACTTCGAAGAAGTCCTTCGCTCCGAATACGCTTCGGATCTCGTTAATATCGTAAGCGAGAGTTCGGTAGTAAGCGTTATTCTAAGTAATAAAGAATTACTCTTCGTAAAAAGTACCCGCCTTTACCTTTTATAAGATCTCGCGGTACTTTTAGCGAACGAACGTTTACGTAATAATAAAGGTAGGAGCGAGGTAATCGCGGAATAATCTTACGGTATTTTAAACGTTCGGCTTAAGTTCCTAAGCTTTAAGTTATATACCGACGAATTCGAAATAATTAGCAAAGACCGAGGATATAATCTAATAATAAAAAGCTCGGTAGTTCTTACCGGCGATAGTAACTTAAAACTCCTAAGAGCGACTTTATTCGAGTAGTTATTTATGTTCTTCGATAAAAAGGTAGCGCGGGTTTTCGGTTAGAGCTTTCGGCTCCTTCCTACGAGTCTTAGGATCTTTCTCGACCTACTCGTAGAAAGCTTAAAGGTATTACTTCCTTACTCGTTCCTTTTCCTAAGTAATAAATTCTTCGAACGATAGGAATATCGCTAAGCTTAGCTTATAATCGTTTACATTAGGATTAATATCCTTTTAGATATCGAATTACTCGGCGTAATTCTAGAAAGTAATAAACTATCGTAAATATTCGTCGAAGTTACGTAGGTTAATATTAATAGGTAGCTTTTTAATAAAGAAGTTTCCGTTAGTGCCCGTTATTACTATAGATATATTATTCGAAAGGAAGACGAGAGCGATATTTAAGAGAAAAACGATTAATCGAGAGATTAGAGAGATAAAGATAAATAATAAGATTACTCGGAAGCTTATATAATAAAACCTTAGTTAACTTAGCTCCTTAGAAGGGCTGCCGGGCTTATAATTAATACGTAAATTAGGAGAGCTACGTAGGTATTAAGGTTACTTCTTAAGAGTAACGAAAGGTAGGAAGAAGAAGGTAAATTAACTAACTATTTAAGAAGGAAGGAGATTAATAAAGGAGATACGAGCTACCTATATATAGACGATAGGGAGCTACGAGCTATATTATATAAGCGAACTAGGAGCTATATTAGGTAAGCGAGTAACTCGAGAAGGAGTAAGGAGCCATATATAAGTAGCTCTTTATGTGATAATATATAATAAACCTTTTACGTAAAGTAATCTCGCTTCCCGATTAATTTATTTATTAACTTCGATATAAAAAAAAGAAAAGGATTTACGCTAGAAACCTTTAGGGGAATCTACTTAATAAGGACGCTATAACTATCGGTTTTAATTTCCGCTTTAAAGTAATACTTCGCTACGTAATTTATAATAGCTTCTACGCTAGTATAGGGCGAAATATCGATATTAATTAGCTAAGTAAAGATAATTATTCGATTATATTAGTTTAATTATTCGTCGTTACGTTACGCTTTAAATAATTACTAGGTTTTATACGGCCGTATAATAATCTCGGCGTAAGCGCGGTACGGCCGCGGGAAAAGAAATCGGTATTTTAAAGGTAGTAAAACGCCATTACCTTATCCCGCTTCTCGCGCTTTACGCTTATTAATACGGAGGTAATATACGGGGGAATATTTATAGCGTTAATAACGATTAATAATCTAAGAGAGTTAACGAAACGACGGCCGCGCGTTTAAAGGCCGTAATACGAGCGGATTATTCTTATTTTAATCTAAACGCCGGCGCGGCTTTAGGTTAACCGTAAAAGCGTAATAACTCTAAATACGAGCGTAGTTTTAACGCTATTCGAAAGAGGTTATATTAAGTAACGAATTACCTTCGAATTAAAATAACTCGTAGTAATACGTACTTTTACGCCTTTAAAATTCGTATCGATATTAATAATCGCGTAAGCCGAATTTCTTAATTAAAACGATATTACGGAAGAGCTAATTCCGAGCGTAAAAATGCTACGCGGTAATATAAGGATTAGTTTTTAATAACTCGCGGGATAAACGTATGCGTTAGATTTTAAGGGAGGAAAGTTATTCCTAAAAGCGTAATATATATTAAAAAAGGCTCCGTTAGTAAAGATTAATAAGGCTTAAGGTAAGAAAAGCGCTAGAAACCCCGAGGTACTTAATAAAAGTAACGTATTTACGTTTTCGTTTAAATTAAAAAGGCCGCGTATCCTTTAAATAAACTATAGCGCGCGTAATATTCCTTAATAACGTATTAGCCTCGGTATTCTTAGGGTTTTCTAACGCTTACTCGAAATCCTACCGCGTAATCTATTACTACTAGGCGCCTTTTCTCCTTACGAAATATTTACTTATTACTATCGCTTATTAGCATATAAGTATATTAAGCGCGATAAAGCGGAAAGTAAGATATTACGCGAATCGATTATCGCGTTAACGTATAACGTATTATACCTAATCGTCGAAATCGATCTTACGCTACCTTAGATATATAAATTTAGCTTTTTTACGCGGAAATAAAGTAAAAAACGCTAGTAAAAATAACGTAGTTAAACGCATAAACTCGTTAATAAAGGTCTAGCGAATAAAAGGCATGGATAAATAATAGGTACTTATAAGTTTAACGGGATAACCTTTAGAAATAAACGCCCCTTTTAATTCTAACTTTAAACGCTTTATCTTAATCTACTTTAACGTAACGTTTAGTATAATAAATTTATCGTATTAGGCCTCTAATTCTTTTAGGTCGCCTTCTATAACTAAGCTAGCCTAAAGCGCTTAACCGTTATCGACGAAGTCTTAAATATTAAGCTACTTAAAAATATTACCGTCGTTAGGTAGTTCTTTTAACGCGGCGCGATTTCATTTAAAGTTTTTATAACCTAAGTAATTATATCTTAAATACTTAAGTTATACTTCGATAACGCGCTAACGTATTCTAAACTTAGTTCGAAATTAGGTTATCTACTTAGGATTTTACGCTAGCTCGCGTAGGCGTAATAAGACGATATTAAGATATTAAGAAAGGAGGGAAAGATAGTCGTATACTTTACTAACGTTACGTATAAAGTATACGACGTAGCCGCGATATTTATACTATTAGCCGCGGATTATAAGTACATTTATTACTACGTAAACCCGCGTAATAAATAGTTCTTCGATTATTATTAATTTTAGTAGTAAATTAAAAGAAGGAAGGATATTAAAATTAAGATAATTACCTACGCTAAAAAAGAAGGACTTATTTACGCGCCTTTTTTAATCTTTATTACGATAACGCTTATAGATATCCGCGGTATTTAAATCTATATTAAATTAATATTCCTTATAACGACTATAGTATTTACGTCGTTCTTATTCTAACGTTAATTAAAACCGTATTAAAATCGCGTAATCGGTATCGCTAATTACGTTAGCGTCGAGGTCTTTCTCCTACCGTAACGGCTTAATTATAAACGAACTTTAACGATTAAAAACGCTATTAAGTTCTTAAGAACGAGCGGTATTTAAGGAAAAGGTCTAATTAAAAGGTCGGCCTAAGCGCGGTTACTCTTACGTTAGTTTTAGCGTAAGGGATTCTAACGTAAAAGGCCGTAAAGGTCGGCCTCGACGTATTTATACTTACTCTAATATTAATTCTAGCGTAAACGCGCGTAGAGGTCGGCTTCGACGAACTAATTCTAGCGTTAGTTTTAACGTAAGCGTACGTAAAGGTCGGCTTCGACGAACTAGCTCTAGCGTTAGTTCTAACGTAGGCGTACGTAAAGGTCGGCCTCGACGAATTAACTCTCGCGTTTATTCTAACGTAAGCGTACGTAAAGATCGGCCTCGACGAGCTAACTCTCGCGTAAGTACTCGAGGAGGTCGCCCCCGGAGCGTTAATTTTAGCGCTACCGTTAAATCCGCTAGTTATAATTATATTATTAATAAAGAAAGTAAAGAAATAAGAAAAGGGTTACCGTTATTACGTCGGGTTACCTTATACCGTCTTCGAATTTATTATCGTAATACGTTATTTATACGTAAAGCTACCTCTTTAGCGCTTAAACTATATACCCGAAGCTACGCGGTAATAGAATATAATCGATAATAAGTAATATTTAATCGCGAAACCGATTAAAGCGTTTTAAGCATAGGATCGGATCGGGAATCCTATATAAAATTAACGGTAGAATATAAACTATTAATATAAAATATTAACCTAAGTAAGACGGCGTATATTTTCGCGGTAAAAAAGATAATTTTTTATAAATATAACGTAATTTCGTAGATTAATAAATTACTCGATAGCTTAAATTCTTCCGTAAGTACGACATTCTTTACCTTAAAGCGACTCTATTTTAATTAAACTAAGGATAGATTATAAGGATAGATTATAAGATACGAAGAAGAATAGGAATTATATAAATAAGAATAGAAACGTATAAATAAACGCGTTAGTAAATATACGTAGGGATCTTAGGAGGTAATAGGAATACGCTAAATAAGAAAACCTCTATTTATCCCGCCGTTTTTATTAGGTATACGCATTTTTAGGAACCTATAGCGCGTTTTTTAGCCAGTAAAAACAGAGTTTCCCCTAAATGATACCCCTTTATAGGGTTATTTATAGGGTTATTTACAGGGTTATTTACAGGGCTATTTACAGGGGTATTTAACCCCGTAATTAATCAGCATAACAGGGGGTTATGCGTATTATAACTATCCTCCGGATAGGATCATTTCACTCGTCGTGCTTTACGTCCGGCTAACCTTCAGCTCAATACCTCTCCTATGTGGATGAAGTGTGTATACCTGCCCTTCTGGAGATGAGCAGGCTGACGAAGTTTCGTGGTAGGATTTATATTACAGTTAGAACTTGCCCGACCTTGTTGTGTCGTTACGGTTGGGCGTACGTACAGTGACTATCACATCACGGCTCCCCTTCCTCTCACCCTCTCTCCCGCTGTCTCATAACGAAAGGGCTCCAGTGTGGCGTTTTCGTGGATCGAGCTGAACGAAATGCTTCAATACTTATGGGTAGGTTCTTGGTTTCTCCTTCTATGTAGCTAGCATCTGCCAAGTCTGCATACAGTGGGAGGAGTGGACGGTTCGTTTTTCGCATGCGTCCGACTGTGGTCCGGTTGGCTCTCATCCCGTCTTTGGCCTCATCCAAGTGTTATGTACTATACAAAATATACAAAGTTCTTGCGAACACAGTGCAACTCCGAGCTTTTCCTTCCCCTACCGCGCACCTCAGCGCATCTTATCATCAAGCGCCGGATGAATGCATTCACATCTAATGCAGTATATATGTCCCCAACACCGCTAACTATGAAACTATTGTAGGCGTATGATTCCTCGGGCCACCTCATCATAACCATCTCAGGAGAAGAAGTACTGGCTATCTTTCAGACGTCTCACATCAAATTCGCCCTACACGTCTTCGTCAGCCCAGATTGATAAATTCAAGGCGAGGGACGGGGCTACTCACCTTTTGAGGAATATCAGGGATGACTAGTGGGAGCCATATGCTGCTTTTCGTTGTTGAGGGTTTCGGCTTCGCTTTTGCCGGGTCGGTGCCGGAAAGCTGTGACTCAAAAGGGGTGGTAGACCTCAGGGCCTTGTAGTATTCCGCATTTCCAGATCGAGAACCCACGTCGACGTCGTCGGAATCCAGAGTGGTGGACCCGTCTTCCACGTTGCTTGGCTCTGATTCAGATGCTGTACTTCCCTTAGGGATGTTTCCCAGCCCTAATTCCTCCATATCGTGGCCGCTTGATAGGGGCTGTGCCGCCGATAACTCATCGAAGATTCTGGCGGGAGTCTCCATCGCTTTGCCTTTCTCAACCTCCTCGGGGTCCGACGACCTTAACAACCGCTGTCTCTCGAGCTCTAAAACTAGCTCATCCTTGATCGATATTTTCGTCCGTCTGCGGAGTGCGGCTATCGCCCGCCCAACCTTAGAGTTCCGGGCGATCGTAGCTAGATAGAGGGAGTCTTTGTGCCTCGCTCTGAACTCGGAAGCGAGACGCCCGATGACGTCTTCACTATGTATTCTGATGAAACAGTCGCGGAGGACGCGGTTCATAACGTCAACGTCGGCAGCATGCGTCCAGAAAGAGTCGTGAACCGCTGCAAATGTGAGGCCGACTTCACCACACTCCAATGCGGAGAGTAACATGTGGCTGGCGTCTAAAGAATGAATGAAGTTTGGGGGGAATGCTTGGAGCTGTTTGCGCCGGTGGACGGGATCGGAGCGGTCAGGAATTTGTAGAGTGAGATCCTGAAGGCTGGTAGTGATAACCCGGACCCCGCTCTTGCGGTATGGCTGAACCACGGGCATGCGGAGGGGTGTAGTCCAGACAATTGTCGACCGTAGATGGACAAGGAGTTCGTCGAGCCCCGATCTTGCCGATTTTGCCGATTTTGCCGTTCCCGTCTTCTTTTTCTTGACGGGTACTTCTCCATTCGCAATCCGATCGATCTGTTCTGCGGTAATAGAACGGCAGACGCGTGCGGCACACTCTCCAAGCCAGTACTGAATGTCGTGAGCTCCGCGGAACATAGTCGACAAGGCCTCGAAAATCTTTGTGGCAATATAAGACGCAAGCAAGATCGTGGATACACCTGTCTCCTCCTTCAGCTTGGGGTGGGCTGCATCAAGTTGCCTCAACACTTGAGCCTTGGCTCCAATGAAAGTAACACCATAGACGTTCGTCATGACGGTCTGCTTCACAACCTTCCTTGTTATTTTTCCCTCCACCGCTTTTGCGAGGTCGTTACCGACCTCCAAATCCTTCGCGATACTCTCCTTGACCATCTCTGCCACTGCGGAATAAACATCCGCGGGTCGGTCTCCAGGCTCCAAATTCACTTGTTGGGCGCCCCACGTATCGCCACCGAGGGCGGCATAATGCTGTAATCCATTGCACGTTCCATCTTGGTGAATAGCGAGGTGAGATACGAATTTGGTGGGATCGCCCGAGTCTAGGGCTGCTTTCAATTCGAAGCAGGTAGCCAGACATTGCCACGGATCTTCGGCCTCAAGCCACCATCGTTTCCCTGTGAGAGGATTGGTGACGGTATCCTGGATATCATCGAGGTGCTCTGTAGCAAATGACTCCCGTTCCGTCAAACTGGCTTTATCGTAGCCGAACACATTTGCCAGGTGGATCTTGAGCCACCGCAACCCTCGTTTGCCGAGTTCCTTGCCCTTAGCGAAACAGAGTAACCCTCGAACATGATCGGCACCCATATGGTTGAGATAGGCTGGGATTGGGTAGGCGCGTCCTCGGAAGTCCATGTTGTGCGGGAAGTAGAAAGTCTGGTCCTTGAAAGCCCGAGCAATCTCAAGCTGAAAATTCATGAAACAACGCTCCGAGTGCAGGCCGCTCTTGGTGTTCTCCACAACTTTCACAGCTTTAATCCATGTCCGCCGCTCGATAGGATTATCGTTTGACGTAGGCTCTGGAGGAATCGGGATATTGGGATTCAGCGGGGGAATATTCGCTATTCCCTCGCCGGTGTTCCATGCTTCGAGCATCACATTGAGAACGAGATTGTTGACCCGCCATCCCGTTCGACCCAGGACATCAAGGCCTTTGGTGACTTGCTCCATATCTCCTCTCTCGAGGGCGGCTTCAGCATAGACTCTCTGATCCTTCTCGCCATTTTTAACTCGCACTAGATGCGACGGGTACTGAATGAAGCCCCCTTTGTCGAATTTGGTCCAAGGTTCTGGTTCGACAAGCATCGGCAGGTGTCTCGCAAGGAATTCGCCGCGCGGTTCCCGTTTCATGAGATCGAGGAGGAATTTGTTCGGTATGAGCACGCCAACCTTCTTCCCCTTTCGAAAAACCGTGGTGTGAGTCAGGGCCGGTTGTATTTGGCTGACGAGGATTTTCTTTTCCGGGTCCTCGCGGACTATGTTCACCTTCGCAACATCTATCAGAGCGGCCAGCAAAGCAGCACCAACCTTGGTTCTAATCAGCACCGGCCAGGTCCTAGTTTCGAAAACAGGACCCTTCACAATATTGGATGCAGTCGGAGTCTCTGTCGGGGCAGTCGGAGTCTCTGTAGTAGTCGGGGCAGTCGCAGAAGACTTAGCCAGTTTATAGGCCTTTTTCCTCTCCCGTAGGTTCGCCTTGAACTCGTCTTGTTTTTTTTGGACTTTTTGATGCTTTATATCATCCTCCACCATCTTAGCTATCGAATTAAGTAGTGTGGATAATGGGGCGCCACTGCTGGAACCACTAGTCGTAATGCCGTTTAGGACACCCATGATCGTAACCGCAGCAAGTCTCGGCGGGGTCGATTGCTTCAAGAACGGCCCATATATGCAACGGTCCTGATCATCCGCGCGTTTTCGGTCGCGCGCCTCCGACTCCTCCACGAGCACCAGCTCTTCCTCCATCCTCTGTTCTAGGGCACAATGCCATTCGTACAATTGCGCGTTCAATGCGGGCTGAGACAATACTGTGGACAGTCCTATTTTCGCAAGGGCTTTGTTTTCTTCCTTCCATCGGTTGATGGCGGCCTCGACGGAGTCCTCCTCTAGCCGAGACTGGATTTCTCGGCGCTCGGCAAGTGAGAGCTTAGATATATCCTGACCCTCGATTTTCGTGAAAAAAGATAGGACTCCGCGTAACGACTTAAGGCCGAGTCCCTTTTGTGGAACAGGCCTGACCTCGGGGACGGTATCTGATCCCGGCCGTTCGGCTGATGCGTGGTCTGAACCACCTTGGTGGGGCTCCTGGAGAGATTCGAACCCCAGACCTCCTAAAATATCAGACGCGGGCTTGTATATACTTGTGATAGTACCAAAGTCTTGTTGAGACAAGATTTCCACCTCTGATAGTACCTGATATATGCCATCCTCAGGCATCATACCCATGTACCGATCCACAAGCCGTGACAGTTGCGGCCCTCGAGCAGATAGAAGAGACACCTTCAGCATGCAGGCAATAGTTTCGGATGTCTGAGGAATCCTTTTGCCTCGGATGTGCAGCTCATACCATCGATGAAGGGACCGAGCCCATTTGGAGTTAGGCTGTTCGAACGCCCTATCGATAGACGCGCGCAGGTATCGATTATGAAGCGAAGTCAGGTCGTAGCCTGGGTGAAGCCCGAACTCGCTGAACCTCTCTAGGACGAGGGCGGCCCTTTCCGGCTTGCCTACCTGTATGTAAGCGTCGAAAAGTGAGAGCATTTCCTCAATGCCACCCGGTACGCCGTGCGGGGACGTCCTCGCGCGGGGGGTAGGGTTATCTGCGATCTTGATGAGTAATGGTGAGGAAGGGTCGAAGGCACGTAGGTCGTACGGCCGCAGATGTGACGACGAAGGGTGCGGGTAATCGGCGGGGATCGGCGGCTGGAGATGGGCAAACGCGATATCGCCTTGTCGCGTGGGATCGCCTATAGCTGTGGCTAGAGGTCTTCGAAAAGCAGGACCGGGGACATCTTGGAGCATCTTCCTTCTCCTGGGTAGTGCCTCCGCAAGGGCAATCAGGAGTTTGGGGCTTGACATGTGGAGGGATTGAAGAGAGGTATGCCTAGCAACGGACTGGCGCCATCTTGCTGAGCCGAGCGGAGACGACAAAAGGCTCCGTCGAACGGGAGGAGGTCTCAGGAACATCATGGTGATGTTGGGGTATCGAGAAGGTGGGGGAGGGAGGAAGGAAGGACAACCTCAACAGACTTTCGAAGCTGCCGAGAGGGGTTCCACGTGGTTATAACATGAATGCGGGTGTGGATGAGCCAAGTGGAAGATAGAACCTCGAGAAGGTATAAGGGCAGGGCTGTCTAGGAAGAGTGACTCTGTTCAATGTTAAGAATCGGCTAGATTTGGGGTTGGTGAGGAGGCGAGCTTGGATTGTGAGGGTCTAGATCCAAAAATTTTGTCTTATCGATAATCAAAGTGGGCTACCTGTTTAAGCAGGCGATTTGGGGTATCTGATTGGCGCTTACAGGTAGGTCAGGCACTTTGGCAAAGCTTACGTAATGGTTGGCATAATAGGTACCTCGGTTTGAAACAGCACCACCTATATGCCTCTATCTGCCTCAACTCCCTACACGATCCCCGTAAACGGTTCTGGGCGAATATTGCAAGAACCAGCCCATCTACAGCAGCTTGCAAATCTAGAAATGCCTCATGAGCAGCTTTCAAGATATTCCCAGGCCTGAAACTAGATACAATGGTAGCTCGTCGCGTTTTCACCCAACCTGGCTGCTCTCACTGCCGCCTAGCCGTTCTCAAATTTTTTACCCATCCCACCAGTACCCTACCTAGCACGAGAGCCAGTCTCCTCCGCTACCGCTTCCTAACAAATACGGCCATACCAGGCCGGAATTTTTCGTCACAAACCATTTGGAGAGAGCCTTTATCTGACCCCATGCCAGCTGAGGAGCACCCCGACGAGCATGGCGCTCTTGACAACCATCAGCACGAGGCTGCCGCAGAAGAATCAAACTTGGCTGCCATTCCTTGGTACCTTCAGGTCGAACCCCCAAGGCATGTCGCTCCCATTGAGCCACCCCCACTTCCCGAGGTGCCAGAGGGATCGCCTACCGTTGTACGTGCATTGTTAGGATATATCTCGGAGGATTTAGGTCTTCACGATCTTTCATTACTAGATCTTCGAGAGTTGGATCCACCCCCTGCCTTGGGCCCGAATCTTTTCATGCTATTCGGCACTGCGCGAAGCGAACGCCACCTGAACGTGTCCGCGGGGCGCCTGCTGCGATGGTTACGGGCCAAGCATCATATCCATGCTCATGCTGATGGCCTGCTAGGGCCCAACGAGCGCAAGCTGAAGTTGCGCCGGAAAGCCAAGCGCGCGAAACTCCTAGGGAGGACAGAAGATGAGGAAGACGACGGTATTAAGACCGGCTGGATTTGTGTCAACCTTGGCACAATCGGCCGTGGCACGGAGGAGTCTGCTGTAGTCGCTGACGATGGGCGTGTCGCCGGGTTTGGTCTTTCACACCATGGATCCACCGTCATTGTTCAAATAATGACCGAGTCCCGAAGGGCTGAGATGGGCCTTGAGACTCTCTGGGGCCAAGCTTTACATCGGCTGGCTGGTGGCGCCCCCGAATCGAACTCGAACGACCTCCAGCTTCCAGAGGAGTCTACGTCATTAACCTCTTATCCAACTACGGTGCCCGGGAGCGGTCGTTTCGAGGACACTTTCAGGGGGGCGCCGTATGGCAAAGCGCGATTCTATTCAACGGAGCGGACAGTTACCGGAGAATCAGCAGGGTTTGAACCTCTATTGGATATTAACACGAACGAAGCGCTTAGCAAAGTTCTCAAGTACAATACTCTCCAAAAACATCGCGTCTTCCAACTTCTTCAAGCTTGTCTTGAGGAGCCGCCTACGTTTTCAGCCCAGCAGCCCCCCGGTGTATCAGACCAACAAGCCACGCAAACGCACTTTCTTCGATTATCTCAGATTGTGTGCCAAGGTCTCCCCCCATATATGAGCTGGGGATTCCGTCTTGCCACTCAGACTCAGGCATACGAGAATAGTACAACTGTTCCCGTCGATATGTTTAAGGATGTGGAGCAGCTCGTCAGGGAGATGCGCTTATACGGCATCGAGGCTACTAGAAAGCAGTATTTGCAGCTGCTGACTTGCATATACAGTTCAAATTCTTCTGGTCAGCGCGAAAAGACCAAGCTCGCCCTCGAATTACTGAAGACGGTGCAACAACGCGGACATCCGGTTCTTGCTAATGATATAATCGTCACCATCATTGAAGCGACGGCTCGGTCAATTGAGCGGTCCGAGTCGCCGCAACTGATACGACGACTGGAGGACCTTCTGCTACAAGCGGACCTACCCTGCATAGACGAGCCATTTCTCATCAGACTAATGGAAGCATACGCCCGACGGCGTGATTGGGAACGGGTTTGGAACGTCTGGCGCATACCCCCAAAATACCTACGGCCTCGATCGGCAGCCATGTACATTCGGATTTACGAACTGGCCGCTGCTACACGTTCGCCAGTACTATGTACCATGATACTGAGGAGGTGTTTCCAGGAAATGCTGACGGAAGACCCGCCTGTGCGACCTGGCGGCGCAGTGCTGACGGCGCTGATGCAGTGCATTCGTCTCGCAGATCCCCATGCCGAACGCATTTTCGAGTCTATGTCTAAAAATGCCACGGCCCAGGGGAGATTGGCTAAAAGGGAATTTGTGAGGCTCTTGAGAGACATTCAAATCCTAGCCCGCTAAAACGGGTGATGTTAGCGCCCTACGTGCGATTGAAGCTTCAGCAACATCGCCAGGTTTTCGTCCACAGCAACAGCTAATAGCACCCTCGATGTAAATTAGCGACCTTCCTTGAAACCCGCATATCTTCTCAATTTCGCCCCAGGATCACTTCGAATCCGCTCTGCTTCGTTCGTGTCAACCATAGGGACTTTCTTCTTGCGGCAATAATCCGCGCACTCCTTCAGGCTGTCGATGTACGCCAGTAACTCTTTGCCTCGCCTTCGATCGATGAGATAAGGTGGCTTCAGCTTCCCATACCACCATGAAATCCTCGGCTCCTACTCGTCACACCGACCCCAACGACAATCCGTCGCGGGGCCGGGCCCACGTATATCGTGGAGGTGGCTGCATTGTGAGGCCGCTGCGAATCATACACGCACCCCACCCGACGGCAGGGTTAGTAACGACAACCTGCAGATCGCTGCCAAGGAGAACTGGCCATGTATACCCACTGGCCCCTTAACAACATGGACTGATTACCTAACTAGAGATTGCCCCAGGTGGTTATCCATGTAAGTGGTTTTGCGGCTGAGAAAAGGGGGCCTTCGAGACGAGAAGATCGACGCGGTGGGGAGCAGTTTATCAGCGACATTAGGTAGCCGCTTCGTTGCAACCTGGAAGTAGGCCGTGGCGACGACACAACCTTCCAAGCGATACGGGGCAACAATATACCGGAATCTACTTCTGGTGGCTTGCGGTAGCTGACCGCGAAGTCGTGTGTCCTGGATCTAATCAAACGTAACTATTCCGTATCTTCCTAGCCCGGCTTGCCTCTGCGCTCCCTAAACGTATTGCTCGGCATTATAGGAATAGATAAGGAGGGGGGGGGGGGGGACACCAGCCGACAAGATCTCCCGCATACGCGTTCGTCGGGAGTATGCTAACAGACTCCCGAGAGTCCGATTTGAGAGAATACAGATCCCCGGGGGTTGGGGTCTCAGGGCTCGACGTGTCAGACGTAGGTACATGCGAAAGGCTCGGGGCTGGGCGCCGGAGAGAAACACGTTATTCTGCGCGACGGTGCTGAAGTGCGGCGTCGACGCTCTCCGGGTCGAGGACTTTAGCGACTAGCACATCACAGATGGGGGGAGCCCGTGGTCGACTTACAGACTACCTAGCAGGGGTGACGTCTTGCTAAGTGGTTTGAGGCCGTCGCTGTCGTGTTGTAAGGTTCTCATGTCCAAGTCTCGTCCATGGAGGAAACGGCCGGGAGAACGAGGGAACAGGACTCCGTATACGTGTACATATTTAAGGCCTAGGGCGCTCGCTCGTATAGACCAATGAATGCCGGTTAACGACTTATAGGCCTGACCCCATTGATCGCTCGCGCCTACTAACGGTTCTCTCTTTGGTTTTCCCGCGAAAGTATCATTTGGTCCTTGGCATCGTAAGAGTCTAGACGCGAAACCGCAAGTAGCAGCACAGCCAGCCCCTCACGCGGCCCCTCACATCGTTTCCGTCCGCTCTTTTAACGCTCCCCTCAGCGCCTCCCTGAGCATCGGCGCGATCTGTTTACGACTATTTTCGACCCGGGCTTGCGTCCAGCACCTCCTCCAGCTGCTACCCCCATCTCCATCCCCTGACACGTCTAGCTTACCGCCCCCCCAAGTACCCAGGCCCAGCTCGGCGCCGCAGGCCGTGGCGAACGCCCGCATGGCCCGCACGACCTCGGGACCCGTCCGCGCCCAAACGAGGAGCTCCCTCACGAAGGCGCCGCCCTCGCCCCCGGCCCGGCTGGCCGTCAGCACGGCTAGCACGTCGAGCCCCTTTTCCGCAGCCCACGCCTCGAGCTCGGCGACCAACCGGGCCTCGGCCTCCTCCTCCTCCTCTTCCTCCTCCTCCTCCGCCGCCGCCGCCTTCCGCACGAGGCCGGCAAAGGGCTGCGGGACGGACGAGGTGCCGAGCTTGAGAGGTGCAACCTCGGGCCTCGCGCCCGCCTCGGCGGCGGCCGCGGCGGCCGCGGCTTCTTCGACCCATTCCTTGTAGTCCTTGCGCAGGACGTCGCGCAGCGAGAGGCGCGAGATGTCCTCCTTAAGGGCCGACACGTGGTCGAAGAACTCGCGGCGGTCGTACGCGACGCCGCGGCTGCGAAGCTTGGCCTCGGCGATCGCCACGGCGCTCTCGTCGCGCGCCGTCGTCTTGTCGGCGTTGCCCAGGTTCGCCGTGTCGACGAGAATGGGCGCCAGCGCCAGGTACGCGAGCTGGGCGTCAACCGCGGCACTTCCGCCCCCCCCACCGCCGGTGGTGGCGGCGGCAGTGGCGGCGGCAGTAGCACTCCCGTCGCCGTCCTCCTCCGCCGACGACATCCGCGCCCACGCGCCGGCGCACTGATCAACGACCAGGCTCATGCAGCTGCCGCAGCGCTCGATCACGCGCGGGACCGCGCGCGACGGGACCGCGCCCTCGTCCTCGTGGTGGTCGACGCAGCCCGCGACGCGGCCGCCGTACGCGCGCCCCAGCGGCCCCGTCATGACGTTGTGGTCCACGAGCAGCCAGTTCGTGTCTTCGGGGCGCAGCGGCGCGGAGGCGGCGGCCGCTCCGCCCGAGCCGGGCAGCTCGCTCAGCGTCAGCACGTCGTCGGGCGTGACGGCGGCGCGCTCGAGCACCGCCCCGAACTCCGGGCGCAGCGCGAGATCCTCACGCGGCAGGTGGCACAGCGGGATGTGCAGCGGACCACCGTCGCCGCCGCTGCCGTGCGGGTAGCTCCGGAAGTAGGCCAGGAGGAGCGTCGAGCACAGAGAGTCGAGATCTAGGCGAGCGGGCGCAAGTTCCCGTCAGGCACACGACACCCATGCTACGGTATGCGTAGCAACCAAACAAGCGGCGGTGCGGGGCATTCACCTACCGGCTGACTCGTTGCCCACGACGAAGTGAAGGGGAACCGGATGCTTGGATGGCGGAGCGGCTAGGGCGGCCCGCGCAGTGGCTAGGAAGGCCTTGAGAGTTTTCGGCGACATTTTCTCGGAGGGCACACTCAGCCGGCCACCGTAAATACTGGCAGACGGCAGATCCAAAACACCCTGGGGATGCCGGAGGGTTGACTGTGCTGCTATTGTGGCGGGTGTCGTCGCCGAGGTCCCTAGTGTATGCGCACCAGGTAGGTATCCCGCCATAGTCTATCAGGACGTAGGTAGGTTAGGAGGCAGGTGTGTGGTTGACAGGCAGTCTGGCAGGGAACAGTATCGATAAGATGCAAGGTACTTACCTACTATATACTGCGGGCCGTACGTATTCCCATCCACCCAATTCAGGGTATGAGAGCCAGATTGAACTACCCCAAGGTACCTGGAACAGCGGGAATTACTGCATCCTACAGGTACCTAATATAACACCTGGCTACGAGGCAAATACTCGCAACCACCAGAGCCATTGTATCATAACCGCATGCGTTGCCTCGTCGTCGTTACTTGCCGCTTCCACACCTCATACGACGTCTCTGCCTATCCGTTGCCCTATTTCTCTACCTACAAGCCAATACCCTGCTCCGACGCCGGCCTGTAACAAGTCCAATTCCTATTGGAAGACAAATATGACGCCGGACCGGTCTACGCTCACCGTCATCGTATAAGGCACTTCCAGCACCGCCACATCCAGGATCGAATCCATATGGCTCCTCAACAGCTGTCCCTGTTCTACAGATATGACGGTGTGTCTGGGTGGTTTCTCTCTGCTGTTCCCCGTCTTCCCGCTCTTGGCGCCTTTCTGCTCTCCGCCCATCGCGCTTCCCCCCTTGGCATGTCTCTCCACGTTCAAGCCCAGTCCGGGCTGATTCGGCGTGTTGACCGTGACGAAGACGGGTTTAGCATCGTCATTCTGCAAGCCGCTGAACACGCACGAGCTCTCGATGCGGATCAGATCCCAGAAGCGGAGTTTCTTGTCCGAGCCGCCGGTTAAGATGTACCCGTAACGCACGTCACGCTGATCTTCCATAGCGCCGGAGCCGACCACCATCGCTCGGACCCCCCGATCCGCGTTGCCGCTGGCTGCAGGCTCGATATTTGTCGCGAAGCGGCCAAGCATGCTCTCCGGCTTATCTTCGTCAATGTCCCACGGCTTGTACTCTTTGGGCCCCTCCTTCGATCCGCCTGTGCGGTAGATCTCCCGACACTGCGTTTTCTCGAGGTCCCAAACCGTCACTTCCCCTAGGCCCGTGCCGCCTGCCACGCATACCCATTTCCCTCGACCCTTGGTAGGATGGAGGCTCAAGCGATATATGGCCGACTTGCCTGGCAGACCCCAGCCTTTAAGTCGCATCTTGAACCGCAGGTCCCACAAATCCAAGACACCGTGCGATGTACCTAGAAGGAGCCAGTTGCGCTTTCTATCGATACAAAAACACGTCGGTGTGCCATGATGCACCGGATTTTCGAGAACGTACAGAAGCGTCATGGTTCGAAGGTCCATCGAGAGGATACGAGACCGATTCGTTGCGAGCACGAGCACCGAATTCAGTTCCTGCTTGAAGTGCTCGCACCAGACGGTATATTCGCCCGTCGGAAGTTGATACTCGCGTAGAAGTCGCTGGCGGATATACTTCGTCCCTCCGCCCGTCGCCACTGTATCAACTTTGACGATGTGAACTCTACCATCAGTATCACAACTGACAAAAGTATGAGTGTTTTCGATGAAACACAGAGCGACAACCCTGGCACCCGGAGCATGTCTATGAGTCTGGCGCGCACGGTGGGTAACGTTGCGTTCGAGCCGCGACGAGTCCCAGACTTTGACACAACCGTCATCGCCGCCAGTGATAAAGAATAGGTGGTCGGGGGACGGCAAAACGCGATTGATAGCACCCGTGTGCTCAGAGAATGTTGCGACAAGGTTGCCGCTTGGCCTCCACGCTTCCTCGATAGGCTGTCCGCTCGCCTTGCTAACCTTCCTCCTCGTGATAGGAGAAACGAGGGGCCCAAATTGAGTGACATCATGCGGGTAGTTGTCGATGTACATATTATCTAGCATCTTCAATATGCTAGGGTCGTTACCCTCGTACGTGTGAGGAGCGCGCAGCCGGACCCCCGGCCTCCCATCCTCGGTAAAGTGATCAGGAATCGTGATCTGGGGTGGCGGGTTTGGTGCAAAGGGGCCCTCGACTTGACCGAACGCATTTGCTTCGGTCGTTCCCGTCTCTGCAACGGACCTGCTACTGTCTTTCCTGTTGAGGAGATCCAAGGCGCTCGACTGGTGACGAATGATCCTTCGTGTAGAATATGGGGCATCTGAAATGGACGCATCGTCGTCCTGGGAACCTGCGCCACGCTTTGCCGATGAGGCCCCGCGTGCTTCCTCAAAGCCAGCACTGTCGACCGGCGACGATGGTTGAGTTCGCGATGGCGATAATGCCTTGTTATCTCCGGCCCTTGGCGAAATCGCCCCCGTCCGACTGCTAAATCGTGAGCGGTGGCTGTTGATAGCGGCACGGCGCCTCCTCCCGACTGGCTCATCGATGGTCATCGACGCATCTAATAGGGCGTCGGCGATAGTATACGGGCCCTTGTCCGAATCCAAGCCTCGCTGCTGTTGCCACGTTGGCGCTTCAAGGGCACTTGTTTCGTCGAACATTATCGTCTGCACTTTAACATTTAAGCTTCTAAGAGGGATGATATTATTCAGGGACGTGGCGATGTTATCTTGAGTAATCGAGTCACGATTTTTCATCTGGCTTAAGCGCCAAATGAACTCCCTCAGGGAGAGGAGCTTGAATTCGTCGTCGGGCATCATTCCCATATTCCGAAGCCGTGCCAGCCATTGCTCGTCCTCGTCATTCCGCAAGACTTTATTGAGCGTTTGAGGCTGCATATCGCGGGACGCCCGGACCGCTAGCGCCGTAGATGCGATTGTAAATGTCGACTGCTTTTGTTGCCGGACAGCCTTCCAGAACAACCCCCTATCTGTTTTCTGCGCCCATGAGAGTGCCAGGTCAAATACAGACCTTGACAGAGGTCTCTTTAACGCATCTAACAGAGAGATCTCGGAAAAGTCGGGGATTATGGATGGCTTCAAGAAAGGCTTAACGAGAGGCAGAACAATACACCTGATATCTGCGGGCGACAGCAGTTTCGCAGCACTAGATATGTACTCTGCTGCTGATTCCCGGATCCACAGGTTCGGGTGCATAGTGAAGCGGCCAACAACGTCGATTAGTTCCCAAGTCTTTGCCTTCGATAAGAGACCTAAATTCGCCAGCTCGGCCAAAGAGTGCAACGCAGCCTGAACGACATGCTCTTCCGGATCGGTAACAGCCTGGACCATCAGCGGTAGGCTGAACTCCTCTAGGCTAGTACTGCCGAGGAAGGCAGCAATGCCAACGATGGTATCGAAAAAGGCGCATTTCAGCATCCAGTCTCGGTCGTTGAGGTAGGTATTGAGGTGGGTGAGGATTATATCATTGGACTCCGCACTGCCGAAGAACATGCAGAGCTCTGGAACGGAGCTGAGAAATGCTCGGCGTACAGAGGCGTTCGAGTCCTCCACTAGCGCTTTAGCATGGGTTTCAAATAGCTCCACCAGTTCGCTTTGAGCATTGTCGAACAATCCATCAAAAGCAGCCTCGGGGTCGCTTCCAGCCTCCACTTCGGGATCAGCGGTGCTAATGGATCCCTCGGCCCGTAGGATGGCCGTCAACTCTAGAAACCTCGAGGCTGTCGTGGCGAGGCTGCCTAGACATGATGCATACGTAGCTCGAACTAGGGCACTCGGTTCTCTACGGTCCTTCCCCATGATGGGTTGTCTGGAGGCGCCTGACAAAAAGACCTGGAGTCTAGGCATGATATATTCGGGGAAGACGTGGGCATTAACCGGCGTAACAACTGTTACGAGAGCCAGAAGTTGAGTGACTGATCTGAGGGCCGCGATGGCGACGAGATCCACGTCGTCATTCAACAAAGTCATCAGGTACGGCAGAACTCGATCAAGCTTTGCCTCGTCAGATAATCTCTCGGAGAATGCTAACAGGATGTCGCAGGCTCTGATCTTTGATGCTGCTTGAGCAGTGTTCCGTAAAGAGGCAGCGACAAGGGTAAGAAAAATAAGAGTCCCATCGTCGGCGGGAAGTTGTCTCCTTGCGGTGGTAAAGTGTTCATTATTCGGTATGTTTAGTCGTACGGGGAAGAGACCTAGGCCAAGTCGAGGTGTGAAGTATGCAAGCTGTGATGGCTCTTTATCGTCTTGGTAACCTAGGAAATACGAGATCTTGTCAAAGTCATAGAAGACCCGGTCAATGCGTTCGTCGGCTTCACCTAGATTCTTCGCGGATCCGGAAATGGGCGCCCTTCCAGAACTTGGATCAGTAATTAGCTCCATGTACTGGTGGAGGAAGCTGTAAAAGTACTCCGGAAACACCTTGGCTTTGTAGAAATCCAAGTACTGCTCTGCAGAGTACCGTTTCTCGGGGTCAAGTTGAATCATGCTCGATAGCATTTCCCGTAGACCCTGATCTGGTATCCTGCTAAGGTGCGAGATCACGGGGTCATACTCGCCACGGCGGTACTTGAACATTTGGCTAAGGCTGAATATGGGAGTCTCCAGGAACAGTTCTGCAATGACGCAGCCAGCACTGAAGACGTCCATCGACCAGGTAAGCTTATGTCCTTGTAGCTGCGTCTGGGGATTCTCTATGTGCTCGACAAATCTTTCCGGCGCGATATAGCATGTGCGCCGACCCGATAGGTCAAAAAAATAGGAATAAAACATGGGGTTGTCGTCGGGTAGCTTCGTGGGCTTGAAAGAGCCTGTAAAGTCGGTGAGGTACAGCCAGTTCCAAGACGTCACCATGATATTTTCCGTTTTGATATCGCCATGGTATATGTCCCGGGAATGGCAGTCCCTCAGCGCGCACAGCAACTGGAAAGCGAGCCACTTCTTCTCTACGTCTTCGAGGAATGGTCTCGTGGACATGCGGTCGTACAAAGAGCTGTATAGGTATTGTCGGACGAGATAGGCGTTTCCTTCGGTTTCGAACGCGCGCTCGAAGCCCAACGCGTTCGGGACGTCTCTTAATTTATTTCTCTCCTCTAGAACTTCGGTCAGCTAGGCATAGACCTGGGCCAGAGGGAGGGAGACTGCTCACGGAGGATTTTGTCGCCATATTCACGCAGGGATAGTGGTGTATAGGGCTTAACGGTGACCTTGGCTAGAACTACTCCATCATGATGGCGAGCGCGGATGCTCTTCATGAAGCGAGCACTACCGATAGATCGTTCGTGAACCAGGTCTGACAGCTCTGGTACGTCGATGCCGGCGGCGCCAGCGTAGGGCGTAGTGAGGGAGTAGCTGTTGCCCATCGTGAAAACGCCGAGCTGGCGGTGCTACCTAGCCGATGATGTGGTCCAGTAAAGAAAATGAATCATCTTCGAGATATTCTACGAGTGCCGGGAGGAGTCGCATGTACTTTCTCTCTGTCGGAATAGGCGCGCCGCCACGGGCATTGCTCGCTGGGTGTCGTGTTCGTAAATGGGAGTATCACCGGTTGCTCACGAGGCAGTTAAGCGAAGCTGTGTAATCCTTAGGAATGACGGTGGTGGAGAAGTGGGAGACTTGCATACGACATATGAATACTAGAGGTAGGTTAGGTACCTACCGTAGGTACCTACGTAGTAGGTAGTAAGTACGGTGATACACCCCCTAAAGCCCCCTAACGTGATACGATGTGACGAAGCTCAGTCTACCTAAGGCACCTACCCACCTGTACCAGGTACCTAGCCTAGCTGCCTTAGGTACCCATAATTAAGTACTTTTACTACCTAATGCAGTACAAGTAGGCAGGCCTAGCAGGAGCAGATTCGGTGTCTAAGGTACCTACACATTGACCTTGACATACTAGACCAGCCAGCAGCTAGCCACAAAACCCTGTGAAGATACAGCCCTGGGCTGCACGTACCTGGCGGTAGATCTTCTTAATATATTATCACCTTTCACACAAGACCACATGACGAAGGCACCGAATTCCAGAACCTGGGCAGTCAGCGGAAGATGAAGGCCACATATATACGCACGAGTCAACCTGGGGCACCCGCCCAAAAATACCCTACGCGCTGGAGCCAGAGGACAATGCAGTTCTCGACTGGCTGGCTTCACGAATCAAAACATTTCTAAAACGAACTGCTGTTGGCAGGGTTCGCTTATTGAGTAACGGAGATGGCGGGCATTAGTTGGCTGGGAGATGCCCCGGAAGCATCTCTATACCGTATGGATGTGGCTAGCTAAAGATCCCTCTGACGGCACCAATGAAGATACACTGGGATCTTCATCCCTCTCATCCCCTGCTCGTCTTGTAGGCATATAGATAGCATCATATGCATTTTTGGCTGTCACCATCCCTCCTCGCCTCTCTCCCTGGAGCAGAATCAAAAGACATGGCAGCTGTCCCCCCCCGACGACGTCTACCCTGGCAGACCAGGTTATATAGTAAATCGAGTAGAAGAGGTGAGGGCACAGTCGTGTACAGTCGTCATATTAGGTAGGATCGATCGCGTATCCTCATGCCAAAAACTCTGCAGACGTATTAACCAGCCCTGTCGGAGGTCCCGCTGGTAAGTTGTGATCCGAGGTGACGCGCCGTTTGAATGGGGTTAACGAGGCTGTGTAGAATCGAAGGCATTAAGCGTATCAATCGCAACAATGCAAATTGTCGTGTCTATATGCATGACGAAGAAGAGAGAATTCTAGCGGGGAATTCGGTGACGGCGGGCGTATAAGTTGGCTAGGTGCGGACCGTCGGTACACCTAAGAACGGACCTGAGGACGGACGGAGAGGATATACCGTGCTGGGCTCAGACCGTAACTAAGTTCGCAAGTCAAAAGTCCTGAACGCCGGAATAATGCAAACGCAAATGTCTTCGTCAATCCATCAAATAAGTAAGCGTGAAGATCCTCATCATTAGGTTCAGGTGGGGTGACTGCCGTGGTGGCGCGCGCTGGACCCGGTTTCTGTTGATCCGTCGCCATCGATTGTTTTCCTCCAATGTTCAGGTAGGCAGACGCAGACCAGTGGGAATGCCTTGATCTCTCCGCTGATCGGAGGCGACGTATCTCGCCCACGACCCGACGTATGTGAGACCCCACTGTCCCTTTGAGCTTGTCTCCGTGCTTCCCACTCATCTGCCCTCTCGTCTAGGAGCACGCCCGTCGCCCACCCGTCATCCCAGATGCCAACCACTTTCAGCATGTCGCCACGCTCCAGGGAAAATTCGTCAGAAGCGCGCGGTTGATAAGCCCATAGGACCGCAACATGCTCGCCAGGGTGGATGTCGTCTTGCGAGTAATAGTCCTTGAAAAAGGGCAATTGCTCTGATTGTTGGCTGTTGACCCCGGGAGGCGAAGACATTCCCCCGGCGCTAGTTGGTGATTGAGGATCTTCGCCTGCGAGCACAGAGTTGCTGGACAACGAACCGTTCCTACGGATGTTCATGGGCGGCGGCCGGAGTACGCCTACACGGGCCTCCGATCCAGGACTCTCTCCGAACGAGTCAGAAGACGAGTGGTTATCCCCCCCTCTTCTTCTTCCGGCCATAAATCCGCCTGCTGCACCTGCTGCCGCTGTACCACCCATTGAGCCTGTGTGCTTAGACCCGCCACGCCTCGATGATGACTCTCCTGAATGGCCTTCCAACGCTGACATGCGGGCAATTCTGCCGCCGGGAAGTATCTCGTACCCTTGGGGAGCCGTATTCGCGGGAATTTGGGCAGTCTGCAGTCCTTTCCTAGTGGGAGACGGCTGGTTCAAGACACTCCCCTTCTGGCTGCCCCCTCTGCGCCCTCTAAGTCTGATACACATAAAGGCAAGGATGGCCAGGAGGGCCACGCCAGCCAGGGATCCAACGACGATCCCAGCTATAGCGCCCCCCGAGAGGCCGCCCCTTGCCGACTCTCCTTCCACAGGCGTCGCTGTATTATCCGAAGTAGCAGTCGAAGTTGGCGCGCCGAAAGTTATAGTCGACGTGATCGTGGGCAGGACAACGTTGGCACACCTCTGTTCCACGTTGGAGTTGTAACAGCAAGTATCAGTCGAATTAATACCGCCCGATGCGCAATACGAGCACAATCCGATGGTGCTGCTACCGTACCCACAATTGTCTGGCTCGTTCGCGATGCCCTGTATGCAGCTACTGCTCGACAGAGAGTCTGCCGGCAAGGCACAGTTGACGAAATCGGCCCGTATCTGATCCTGGCGATTATTGCTGGAACTGGGACAGAGATTAGTGTCGGCCGCTAGATACGCTTCGCTCTCGGCATAGTGAGCGCAAGAGTCGGCACACAAGGGCCGTGAGGCCCGTTCCGATAAGCCGCAGGCGGTAACGGAATTTTGGATAATAGCATTACAGATTACTGAGGTAGTGAAGCGAGCATATAAATCAGTGGTGTTGACAAGGTCGATGCTGCCACATCCTAGCAGCGTTTGATATCTGGGACGCAAGGTGAGCCTCAGGTGTCGATAACGCATTTTCCATCGAACTTACTGCCTCCGGACATAGTCCGTCTGGAGATATTGGCTGAACTGACGGTCAAAGGAAGCCGTGTCTGAGACGTACTGAAGAAACGGGCTAGGAGCGCGGTCAGTTACGATGCGAAGTGAACTTTTGAGATACAAATCGATTGCGAAAGCAAATGAGCAATAAAGTCATAGAAAACCGAGGTGGACTCACAATAGGCCGACTAAGAAACTATTTGTCGAGACGGAGGCCGATTGGAAAGCCGAGCAGGTTGTAGAGCCGGTCAGGGGGATGCACCGATCTTGAGCCGTGGCACCAGGCGCCGTTGAAAGGAGCGAGAGAACAGCTGCTCGTGCCATCCATCCCATCCGGCCCGTCGCCTTTCTACCACACAATGATTTTGACGATGCCATCGCGGCGTTCTGGTCGAGGTGCTCGAAGGATTCGGTGTCCAGAGTCGCGATATTACTCATAGGATTCGTGATGGAGGCAAGAATAATCACTGGTGCGGCGGATGCATGACGTCCCGTTCCTACCATTGCTCAATACCGCATGCCGTTCGAATCAACTGAGTCTGGGCTGGATCCAATTGATGGTGTCCTCGATATCTTCCAGAGCCACTGGGTGTTGCTTATCGAAACAAGGTGCTGGCGGAAAAAGCTGATGGTGCGTGCCTTTTTTTTTTTAATTCATGAAGTCGCTGTGTGGGAGGTCGGCAGAGGAAACACAACTGTCGCAACGATGGCTCAAGAGGGTGAAGAGGCGAAGTAGATATCTGAAGGTGTCGATCTAAAGGGGGGGTGAATGAGAGAATGGTGGTTGTGTGGTGCCTTCGTGGTGGCAGGGAACCGATGGACTTGTATGTTTTAGTGTTTCCGACGACGAACGAGTGTGTACAGTTGGAGAAAGTGAGACTGGCGAAGACTGAGGCCCAGAGCCGAAGATCGTGTAGCAGCTGGCAATTACTGCAGGTCGCACTTCAGATGAGGACACGACGGCGGAGGCTACCCCAAGATTAACAAAACTCTTAGTAGGATGACCGGACTGTAGGCGGATTCAGCAACAGCCCCCTCTACAAGAGATACGGGTCGACGGCGTCAAAAACGAAGAATAACACAAGGAAATCAAGAAAAGAAAATCGGCCACAACGGTGAGTCGTGAAACCGTAGATCCGGAGTGCGTAGGGTGCGGATCGGGGGTGGGAAGAGGTCGAGGTTTTGGATATGCGACTCGATCGATTGACAGACAACAGGAGGGAGAGAACACAAACGGAAAATCTCGAAAGAGGACCATTCACTGGGCCAGACGGTGGCCCCGGGCTGTCGGGCAGTGCACAATAATGCGTGCCGCCAGAGGGGGGCCGCTGCCTTCTGGTGTTGCCGCGGGCCCTGCAAATGCGTCGCTCCTTCATGAGGATTGCGCCTACCCTAGATCCGTGTCCCCCTTTCCCTGTTTCCTGCGCGAAAGAGGGTGGGTAGTACTGAGTACGTCAGAAAGCCCGACTATGTGTGTGCATGCCCAGGTAGCAGGTACTCTCTTCTCTCCGACATAAGGGCACCACCTCCAAGTTGTGCCTGGCCTAGCATGGGTGGGTTTGCTGTCGCTACCTGCCATATCCATCTTCCCGACCTCAATGTAGTGTGTACTTACGTACCTTCAACACATAAGGGATGTCGATAGCGGCACTTGCGCTTTGCTCCCCTGCCAGATCTTGGCACGCATATCACCCAATGAGGCGCGATTTCGTCGAGCTGCATCAACACCTCGGTCGCAGCCAAGGTTTGCGACCCGCTGCGTGTACCTGGCATGTATATGCATATGTACACAGATACGTAGGTAGCTACGGAAGAAATACTAGCAGCAGCTCCCGCCACATCTCAATCTGTGCACCAAGTTGGGTACCTTTGGTGAGGTACCCGGTATGTATGGATAGCCTGGGGTACGGCCCACGGGCTCCACGAGGTACGTGCTACATACATGGCAGGTACCTCTGCACCCAAATCAATATATCAATCCGTTTCCATGGACCATTTACAAACATCACAAGTGAGGTGCCGAAGTTAGCAATGTCACGACCTCCCATATCCCCGTACATACGTAGTATATATGTATGTGATATGCCCAACGACACCTATGTATGTCGGGTACCCAGAAGGTTTAATGGATACCTGTGGTTGCATGGCGTACAGCCCTGCTTAGTGATGTATCGCACGAAACGTGGAACAATCTCTAACACTGGAAATTGTGTTGAAATTCAAGCAACAAGGATGAGGAATAGCACCATCGTGGGAGCCCTGGCAAGCCACGACCTAAGAGAAGGTTGTTTTGACCAGAACGGGCAAAGCCCCAGAAGCACCTTAAAATTACCAGACATGGATTGTCTCGTCTGATCGCCTCGACCTAGAAGGAGAAAGCAAAACACCACGTCCTGACGAAGCAGTTTGTTCACCGGCCAGATAAATGAATCGTCGATCGTTCTTTGCATCCGTCCTCTCCTTACCTCGTCACGCCGGCAGGTGCTGACTTCGGTATGCCGGCATAGCCCGTGTTTGAATACGGTCAAAGTTAGCCGCGAGACGTCTGTCACCGCAACAATGGCGAGAACAACCAGTCGGACAGACTTCGCCGAACCGCGTTGGAGGTAATTTTCAGCATCAGGGTGTACCGTCAGCTGGGCTAACCTTGCTCGAGGTTGACCGGAAATAGGCCTAGATAGTTCATCTCAACGGTGAGAGCGCACCTCGGACAATAGAGAATGCATAACAGATAATTGGTAAGGCGTGCCGGATATTGGTTATCGATTTTTGAACGCAAACATGTGCCAGGGTTGCGCGACCAACCTGTAGAGCAAGAACCGTAAAAAGCTAGGTCCTGCCACCAAGGCCTCATTTGCTGTACCTCCTACTCATAAAAAGGCAGTTTTACGCGTCATGCTCTCTCTCCCCTGTGTGTGTGTGTGTGTTCAGGCTGTGTAGGCGTCTACCTCCTCAGGTTACGTACCTCCCCATATACCCAAGCGCTTACGCTTACCTCACGTTTCAAGTGGCAGCATGCTTACCATATATCCCGACCCAAAACGTTTCCTTCACACCGTAGACGAAGGTCGTCGACGCAGGAAGAATATAGGTAGGTACTTATCAACCTAACTTCCAACTCGAACCATACTCATAGAGACGTGCTCGAAGTTAACTACCTAACCTATGTGTGTACTGCGTTAGGTACCTGTACTCAGTAGGTATATCTCACTCGCAATGTGCATATTAAGATGTGCACGTATTTGCTAATTCGGTGCGTTCCGTGACACGGGAGGGCGGCAAATCGATATCGTTGAAACCCCGAAGCAAGTAGAGACCGAGGAAGCCTGGATATCGCCTCAGCCAGTTCAATAAGCCACTCTCCCTGCTCAGCCTATATTTTGGCCGACTCCGTCCCGATCTGCAAGACATACCCGACGACTTGAGCTGCATCGATTGCTCTAACTCCTTTGGCGTTAGCACGGGCATCCATTGGATTCCCGCGCCGCCTCACAGATTGCCCACCTATACCTATGTGCATACACAAGCATAACATATCTACATACAGACATCCAGGCATACGTATAGGTAGTGCATGCATATGTATAATGTATACTACCTATAGGTACCTATATATGCGTGGGTAGGCGGTCGGTACACATACGTTTTGTTGTCGTCGCGTTCCCTTGCCCGTCAGAGATCCTTTATACAGACCACGAGTCCCCACGACCGCCGGCCGGAGGTAGGGCAAGATGGAATCCGAGTGCCCGATTATTAGCCCCTTTTATACTTACGTGCCACCGGAATGTAACATCCATCGGCGATCGCCAGGCGCATCAATGCAGGCCTCGGTGCATATCCCCGACCATGCATAAAGCATTACATATGTAAACGTCGGGAAACCCGCAGCCTCTGCCCATCCTCGAGCTCGGGCCGTGTTCGGATCAGCCTCGACCGCCCAACTTGGCAAGGTTACCTGTCAATAAATAAGGTCAACACCTAAGCAGTTTACAGTTTGCGGTTAACCGAAGACGAGGAGGCCTAAGGCAAACGGGAACAGCCCGGCCGTCGAGGCTTGGTTGTTGACACCACCAACGCTATTAAGTTCCCGAGCCGCGCCGGTTGAGTTGGCATGCTCAACTTACCTTACGATTCCAAAATATACTGAGCCGGAAACTTGCATAAAGGTCTTGTAAGATCGTCTGCATAGATGAGGTTGCTGGTCATGTCTCTAGAATAGACGTCCCTACGCTCTACAGTGCCTTCCAAGCCCAAAAAAACCGGGAGGGCCTCTACCAGAGGCCGATCTACCTTCTGAAGCCAAATTCGTGAGACTGCCTATCGTACCATTCGAGGGCTGGGTCATCGGCTTCTGAAAGAAGTTAAGAGCTCATCGCTTGTCCAAAGATGCATATCAAGAATCTCCCGGAACGACCTTTGCCGGAAAGGCGGTTATCCAATTATTGCATGGGTTCAGATAACCTAGGCTGCGAGGTTCGAGCTATTCATTCCGCAGAAGCTCTAGAAGCCTCGCCACATAATGTAGGTCCATCGAAATCGCTGCCCATGTAAGCTTGTAGGGGGATGGAGTGACGGCCCTCGGTGGGTCGAAAACGGGAATGTCTAGCCCGGCTCGACGGCACGCCGTCGAACTCAACTCAATCTGAACCCGCAAAGGCTCATTAAGCCGACATGTGTCTCGGTTCGGCCATTGGACCCAACCCAGCGCAAATTCAAGAGAGGCAGCCAGCCAAACGGCTAGACTATCTCGTAAGCCAACCCCACGCATTACTAGAACACATGCTCGATTACGTTGCTCGTTCGTTCCCACTGTTGTTACAGAAGTCGCGCCGGGCCCGTCCCGCCACACGTAGAAATAGGCTATTCGCGGGACAATGCCATGCTGCGATTCCTGACGTCCTACTCATCTCAAACCGGCTGATAGGGGGGAATAGCATGTCCTATACTATCGTCTCAGCGCCCCGTGGTTTCCGAGAGTGACCCAGAACCGTGATATAGTTGGGATGTAGTGTTCAGCAATAAACCCCTAGCTAGGCCCTCTGCATATTAAAGAGTGCTGCCGCTTGGGTAGCTCATTGCTCTCGTGGTGGGAGGTAGTTACAGAGAGATAGCTGCGTACCTCCCCGGGCGTAAGATTCAGGGGTCACAGGCCGGAACACATAGAGAGAGGTAGAGGAGAGTAGGTCTGAGAGATAATATGGCTCAACTCTTCTATCCCCTCTCCACTTTCATGCTTTCATGGTGTCTAATAAAGACCATTAGAATCTCTGAAGTGAGCCCAAAACTAAAGAGTACAAGGTATCGACTGCTATGGACCGCAGGTCTGGTACCTAACGAAGACATGTAAGTACCTACACATTACAATTAACTCTAAAGCATACCTATCCAGTAAACCTACTCGCATATTGCGCTCCAACCAAGTCGAACCGCACGGAAGTAGCGGCCACGTTATGAGGTTGGAGTTAATAGTACCACACTTTTCGTACTATATAAACGCTCCGGAGCGTAACGAAAGAGCAAATAGAGTCTCACACATTCGGATTATGCTCTCCGCAACGCCTTGGGAAAGGTTGTCTCTAAACCACCAAAATTTTCCGCTTCGCGCTCGGTTAGGATGATGGTTGATATTCCGCGTGCTGGTCAACAACGATTTATAGGAAATAAGCAGGAAACGGATACGAGCACGAAGCCGTGTTCATGATTGGGCGTCTATTAAACTCGAAGATTCGGTCGGGTCCTGACCCGGCCCCTAATCCGGGGTTGCCGCATAGAAATCGTTGCTCACGAAGCAGTAATGCGAAGTAGTTGGGGATTGACACCCGCGTTTCGCCGTTGTATGAACCATTTCCTCGCATTCCCCTCTTTAAGTTACGCGTTTCATCTGTACACTCCGACATCGCAGTCGGGTCTATTGTTCATCGCTCTTATTCTCCTTCTGTGCTGCTTCATACTCCTTGATTTGCTTGGACCAACTATCCTAGGAATCAGCCTCATATTTGGGTACGCATGGATCGGCAACGGGGAGAGGGCGCGCCTCGAGGGTCGGACATACTTTCGACTAGGGTAGAACCGGCCAGGCTCTGGCATCTTGTATCTGACCTCCCGCGAGGCGCTCAGATTCCACGTCAAAGCGGTGATGCCGAATATGACACCGAAGCATACGGCCGTATTCGTCTTCCAGTTCTTCGGCTGGGCGTACCAGCCGCCGGAAGGGGACCAGACGTGCTTGGGATACCTAGCGGAAGGGTCAGATAGGCCGGTTTCATCGAGGCTCTCATGGGCCGAAGGGCAGGAGGGGTGGGTTGTTATAGCTTACGGAACTCGAGGACCGCCGCCCTAACAACGCAGATGGTTAGTGCATCATTACATCTCTGGGAAACTTGAGCGGCCGCTTACCATCTTGTCCAGATGTGAGGCGAACGGGGCTTTGTCAGGTAGTCAATCAATCGGTATAGGATGCGACGATGAGGCACATGTGGGTAGCTTGTGAGTTCGAATGGCAGGCTAGTCTGAGGAGGTATGAGACCAGCAAGTTTACATAGGTACCTATGGCTCTGTGGAGTGGGGGATAATATGAGTCTGAGGCAGGTAGAGATACATATCCGCCCGCCTCCTCACCCGCCCAGGAGGATGTATTGGGTTACCCATAGGTTTATAAGACTTTATTAGGTACTTAGGTACTATCGATACCTAAGCCCACGGTATGTTGATGCTCCAGGTCTGATTGGCCTGTATATATAGGTATTTAAAGGCGTTACGTTAGTCCGGTAGGCGACCGCCGCCGAGGCGGAGCTGGGTGATGTTAGGTAATCTAGATAGCAGGTAGATACCAAAAGGGAGCTTGCGCCCGCATTGTGCCCGCATTGTGCCCGTCATTGGTCCCTCGTTTTTGTGTGGGTTGGTCGGGGTAGAGCTTCACATCCAGAAACATTTTCTCATCCCAGACACGAGACACAATTCCAAGCGATTGACCTGAGCCCCCGCCGCCCTACCGTTTCCCACCCCCTCCAGCGTGTTGGGATGAGGGATCTGGGTCGCGAAAGATGAGGAGAATACGGTTAGACAATTTATCGGGTCAATTGCTCTCCCTCACGCGCGCCCGGCCTGCTGTATCGGACTTGACGAGGATATCGCAAGCCGGCCGAATATCTAGAGTACAGGCCCGGCCATGGCCCCAGACGAGATGGCAGTCTTCAGAAGCCGCTTCCGAGACAGGAAATATCGAGTCTGACGAACCGCCCCCGCCGCCGGAAGAAGAACCCCCGCTGCCATCGCCGCCTCCCGAACGGGCTCTACGCTCAGCCAAACTTGCTGCTTTGCATGCGCGACTCTCGTTATCTTCCAAGATCCCTTTACAAACGCTCGCCCGTACCCTCGTAGATCCTTCCGCCGACTTTCACTCACGGTTTAACAACACGAACCTTGCCTACGTCGGCGCATCTATTATACAGTACCACACCTCGGAATTCCTCATCACCCGGTTCCCGCGGCTACCGATGGCGATCCTGTTCGCTGCCATGAAGGGTTACTCGGGCGTGCCGTCGCTGCACCAGATTGCGCGTGCCTGGGGCGTGGAACCTGCCGCGGCTCCTGGCGAGGAAGTGGATCCTGGCCTACTACAATTTTCCCCCGATAAACCGACCGTCCTGATGAATAAGTGGGGTTACGTACGCGGCGAATCAAAAGAAATCATGAGGTATAAATGGCGCCGGGGAATGAGCAGCCGAATAATATACGATGACCCGTTTGGTGATATGGTGTCTAAAGATCCGCCGCCGGCCGAGTCGGATGGCTCACTCGAGGTCAGCGGCGAGCGGAACACAAAGGAAATGGTTGTTGAAGACATAATCAAGAACGCGCACGCAAACTTCGTGCGCGCGGTAGTCGGCGCCGTCTATCTATACTCGGGGAGGGATGCCGCCAAGGCCTTTGTCAAGGCCCACATCCTCTCCAGGCAACTCGACATATCAAATCTATTCGAGTTCAAGAACCCGGTGACAGAGCTGGTACGGTTGTGCGCGAGAGAGGATTTCGAGGCACCCGTCGCGAGACTCCTCAGCGAGACTGGGCGGCTGAGCAGGACACCGGTCTTCGTTGTGGGAATCTACAGCGGCCGCGACAAGCTCGGCGAGGGGGTGGGCCCTTCCCTGGACGCGGCCAGGATATCCGCCGCCATCAACACGCTGAAGTCGTGGTATCTGTACAGTCCTGGGAACGTCCCAGTGCCGAGCGATACTTTTGCCGAAGACGCCCACCCCTGGAAGCCGGCGTACGTGGACATCGGCGAGATTGTAGTGTAGTTGCTATTCGCGGATACGCCCTACACGAGGAAGTGCGTGAGAGATGATTCCCCGCTATTCCATATGATCGGTGGATGGGGGCATAGATGCGCGGGATGGGGGAGGGCTGCATCATTGGATGACAACGGCAACGGCAGAAGCAATGAGACGACATGAAAACCAGGTTCTGGCCGGGCATGTAGACTCATGGAAAAGGCGGATTCGGGGTCGTCGCGGCCAGTCCCCGAGAATCATGTGTATCACTGTACTGTATTCAATACGAAAGACGAAGACCCGCGAAGGAAACAAAAAAAAAAACACCCAGATGGCATTGCCTATAAGTACGCAAGTCGGACGTATGAGCCACCCACCCACTTTTCAATCGAGTGTAAATATCGCGATGTCTACACCTACGCATGATTTTTGGTCTCATGAATGCATCAATAGGTGAACCTCCTAAGCCGGCAGCAAAGTATCGTATTTGTGGCTTACTACGTGTAGGTATGTGTACGCGGAACATCCAACCAAGGCCGCAAGAATGCAGGGGAATGAAAGGGGCAAAGTCATGAAGGGCGCAAAATATTAACTTACAGCTGGCTCGCGGCAACCCCCTCCCTCACCCAGACTCAAGTACACCTAGCTAAAGTGATCACCTTCCCCAAGTTTATCCGCGATCCCGAGTCTAACTAAGCGCCTATACCGTTCCCTCCGGGCGACGGCTTCGCGCTCTTCGCGCATCCTCTTCTTGCGCTCGTACACGGCGCGCACGCAGCGACGGAGACGGTCTCGCCCCTCGGCGTAGTTGGTGCGAGCTAGCGCCACCACCTTCTCGACCTGTTCGGGCGTATACACGAAGTTCCATGTGCTCATGTAGTCGCTAGTAGCCGGGTCCACACCCGCGACGCGTGATGGGTTCGCGAGGAAGGGGAAATAGACGATGGTGATGCCCGCGCTCGGCTCGGTGAGCTGCCACGACCTGTCGTCTGCGAGTGCCTTGGTTGGCGGTGGCGGCTCTGACGACCGTTCTTCTGTCGATCCCACCCAGATCGTGCAGTAGCCTGGATCCGAGTCTTCGGTACCCAACGTATGGTTTCTCTCCTCGGTGCCTTGATCGCGAGATGCAAGTTTCTTGGGCGATTTCGTGTCCAGGCTTGGGTGTTTTTTTTGGGCCTCCTGCACTTTATTAGCGGCCGAGTCTGCTTGCGCTACATCCAGTTGCTCCTCGATTTCCGGAACTGAATCCGTTGACTTAGGCCAGCTGATACCAATGGGCCAGCCCTTGACGCCGCGTCTGCGAGCGTAGCCGTCCGCGACAGAGAGCCAGTTGTCTGTCTTGACGTCGGCGGACGCGTCGAATGCTACAATGACGTCGACATCTCGGCCAGGTCGAAGTAGCGGGTATATCGGTAGGTTATTGGACATTCCAGCGTCCATAAGCTGGATGTATTCATTATCGTATATCGTTGTCGGTGTCGTAAATCGTAATTTTCCCTTCATATTATAGGTAAAATTGGGTATCAGGGCAGGATCGATGGGGTGGACCTTTGATAGGTCCTCATTGTACCCATGAACCACATCGTCGATGGCCCCGAGGCCGGTAAGGCTCTTAACGAGTGGCCGAATTTCCCGGTAGTAGTGGCTGAGGGTGGCACAGAACGCGCTACCGAAGATGCCCATCAAGATGGGCGTCCGAAGCTCTGGCAAATGGAACCCGTTGCCTTCTGGAGGCACATCCTCGCCGTTGTCAAACCGCCGGCCAAGCGCCCAGGTAGGAATTCCGGCGTTGAACTCTTCGCAAAAAAGCTCGTACGGCGTCAACTCAAACCACTGAAACCATGCCTCCTGCTTAGCAATCTCCTTTACCCTCTCTGGACTCGCTTTGTCAAATTTCGATATTTTGTCGGATATGTCAGGAATCTCGTGACGGACTGCGGTGTAGATCGGCATGGGATTCTGTCCGTACTTTATGTATTGTCTCTGATTGGAGAGCTTGAAGTCCCCCTCGTTGACGCCGAGCTCTCCTTTGGGCACTAGCAGCCTCGCTGCTAAGAGAATGCCGTAAGCATCGACGAGCCCGAAATCTGCATTCGGGTCTCCCTTGAGCTTCTCGACTAGACTGCTGAGAAGCAGCTTATTGGTTGGCGAGGAGGTTAGAGATGAAAAGGCGGCTGGCGGATATGCGAAGTGAACACCTATCCTTGCCTTCAAGTGATCAGCAAGACGATCAAGTCGACATTTTATGAGAGAAGAATGGCAGAGCAACTGAAGCCAGCACGACCCGCTGACACCCGACGTATACGTAATACAGTCGAAAAGCCCGTCTTCTTGAGTGGCAAGTAGCGAGCCGGCCCCGGCGACCAGCGCCCGTAACCCGCCGCCAGAACCACACACAGCAATGGTAGGAACATCGTTGGGATCGACATCGCTCTCGTCGAGGCCGAGATACCTAGCTAGAGCCGCTGTTGTGATTTTCTTTCGGCGGGCCAGAAATTCCTTTTCCTCGTCGCAGAGCTCTTCGGAGACGCGAACTTTGGCGGAATACCGAATTTCCGGGTGGATGAAGGGGTCGTGAGCCTCTTGCCAGATTTCATTGGCTAGCGACCCATCTGCCATAGAGAGCTCGCGCTGGAGCTTGCGGACTTGGCCGGGAACAGCCTTTGACCATTCGGGCAGGATCAGGTCGACTATGCGATCGGATAATGCGGACCACTCGATATCGGCTACGTTGGAAAAGTTCTCAACTCGGCGAGCAAAAGCCGACCAGGCGGTCTCCTTGGTCTGGGACTTCGGGTCGTCCCGGGCGCATTGCAAACGTCTCTTTACCCGTTCGGCGAGGCGGGCACGGCGGATTTCATCTCCCGGATATAGCGAGTACATAACTAAAGCGCCTACGAGCAGGGCGATGGGGATGACTGTGAGGATGCTTTTGCCATCGCTCGTCTCTCCCGGGTGGTTGCGGGAACTGAAAAAGCCACGTTGGAATTGGCGTTGCCGGGTCCACGATGGGCAGGAGCGGGAGACAGCGGTTCCGCCGGAAATCAGGGCCAGCCGCAGTCGTGATATTCCGCAGGCTAACCTGCTCGACCGTCTCCTCACATGGTAGGCTATGATCTGTTGCCGGAATTTGCTGAGAGCTCTCATGGCAGCAAACTAGCATCAGCCTAGGTTGTCAACCAAAAAAGGGGTTTGCAACATGACTTCTCAAATGATATTTAACATTAGCAGTGAACCTGAGGCAAGGACGAGGGTGCATAGTCTGATACGATAGGCCGCGAGGGACTTGACGAAGGAAAGACGGGAAGGGTTGGGAATGCTTTTTTTTATTATTAAAAAAATCTCAAGATGCGAAGTCGTCGCAGTTGTTGATGGTACGATACTGTGACATCACTTACACAGAGGAACTTGGGGAAAGTCAGTTACCTGATGTACCTGGCTTAGAGGAGGTAGGTAGGTAGGTACCTAGGTAGGTACGTAGTAGGTAGGTTAGGTACTAAGCCAGCCAATACACAGGGTTAGGTGTGTGCGCATAGGAGGTAGGTAAATTACGTTAGGTTAGGTAAGGCAGGCGCCTAAGGTATTCTTCATCTGCAAGTTTAAGTCTTCTCAGTAATATTATTCTGGGTTCTATCTGCTATCTACCAGGCAGGTAAGTACCTACCTCCTACCTGTAACCCAAGGTAGAGGCTAGAGGTACCTAGGTAGGTACCCGAGGCATCTTAAAGCAAGTAACTTAAAGTAACACTTATGAAGAGCAACAGGCACCTAACCTAACCTAAGGTAGGCGAGGTGGTAAGAGGTACCGACCTAGATGCATACCTATGTATAAATAATATAGGCAGGTACCTAGGTACCTATCTAAGGCACACCCGCTGGCAGGCACGTAACGTACTAGGTACCTAGATAGGTACCTAGTACCTACCTACCTAGGTAAGCAGCTTACAGCTTCAATGGCAGCCGTAAACCACAAGTCCGCCCCAAGACTTATGGACGGTGTGTAGGAGACGTAGGTATCTAGCAGGTAGGCACTTTTCGCGAAGCGGTGACGGAGACTCGATTCCACAAAGCACCTACCTAGGACAATTTGGTAAAACATCGTCTCCTTCCGCTAACGAGGTCAGGCGTATTGTAGAATCTGTATACCTCGCTAGAACGGAGACGCCGTTCATCAACGGCATCCTCTTCTCCTCCATCCACTCTCCATGCCTTGCTACATACCTAGCAGTTATCCATCCTCGATTCATCCCACTTTACCCCTTTCCCTTGCGAATTGAAAGTTGTCGAACGACTAGAACCTCCTAAACGGCGTGAGAAAGTACGGCCTAAGTTCATTGCTATGTCTCTACGTTGGTCTCTTCCTACCGGGGCCGTTGCCTACGAAACTCCCGAGAATAGAGACTCCAGGCAGCCCGAGAAATTCTCAATGGTCCAAATTGGTGCCTTGAGAAGTCGTCGACGCTCAAACATCTCCTCCGCCTTTGTCCACCTGTTCGAAAAGGCTGGAAATCGCGGGAATACCTCCCATGTCGCCGCCGATGGCCTGCTGCCGCTTTCCGCTCGCACTGAGAACATACCATCATCGTCCCAGGGCTATGACGTAGAATTACATGGCAGATATTCTGCTCACGATGGGAAACGCCACCCCAGCACCAATGTAAACGGCTCAGATACAGCTGTGACGCTGCGGAAAGCCAGTGCTTCGGGGTCTGTTAAATCATCACCCCCCCTGACGGGAACCCACAGCGCTTCGTCCTCTTATCCATCAGAGGGGATTCGTTCCTCGCCAGACAATTGCTACTCCCCGAAGCTCGATGCTTCGACGGGGAGCTTTATATCTGAATTTTCCCGTTACCGCGCGCACCAGTCGCCAGAGATCTCGGGCCAGTCAAGTCTCCCGGTAAACGTTCGGCCCGCCTCAAATGGCAGAACTGATAAATTACTCGCAGAAGCAATCACTGAAGCCGATACGGCTTTTGAGACCGCGACAAGATCAATTGGTGTGGTTCATACCCCTAACCCTCCCCTTTTGGGGAGTGACTCGATAGAGCCTCCGCGAGATCAACGAGATATACAGAAAACACGGACAGCCCATACCACGCACCCTACATATGAGAAGGTCACAATTGAGCTAGGTAGCCATGATTTCACAAACGCGAGTCCTAGACCCAACTGTGACGTTTCTCCGCCGTATGCACGCGTCAGTCCGTCTGGCGACGACGTTACACGTAGGCCGAGCAATACACGCTCGACGGATTGCCTTCATCCCGGCGCCGAATCACGGGCTAAGTTCTCTCATCGCCAGGACAAGACAGGTACACGCAACACCGTGGCTGCAACTATTCCACGAGACTACTCGAGAGATTTTATTACACCTACCCCGCCAAGATATCGTTTTGGGCACCCCAGGATACCTGGTCGACACTCAGGAAGTTTGCATGGGTCGTCAAATACTGCCGTCAAGCGTAACCAAAACTTCAAATTCAAGAAATGGGTTCGAAAAGCGTGCCTCGGAACTAAGGTCCGCTTCGGACGTGTTATAAAATCGGGAATTTCGCTAGGGTCGAGCGGCGTCAAGTGTCCTAAACTGCCCAAGTTACAAGAATGCGAAAAACAGAATCCGACCAGAAATTCCAAGAAGTCAAGAAGTCTCCCCTGGATTTCACGTACATCCGGGAAAAGGAATATAGCAGATGATGCCAAAGGCCCGCGGAAGAAGACGCACCGATTCACCCGTCCCCCCAGAACCAAAAATATTAACATCCAGTTACCTGAAAAGGGTATGGCTGTTACAGACCACAGAAGAGTACAGTCATGTCCAATCTAAGTCAGACCAAGACGCGGTATCAAAGGATCACTTACTTTGATATGAGCTTTTACTACTAGTTAGAATAGCTATAGATTACGGGCTAGCTCTCTACGCTAGAGCTCCCTCTCTAAAAACTTGGGACACAGAAGACGGTTTACGAGTTCACGGTAACGAGGACTGTCCAGTATGCCAAAGTGAGGTACCTGGTTTGGAGGACGTTGGGATCCTCTCTACCTTAAATAGAACTTCTGGCGAGATGAGACTTCGTCGGTATTTGCTTAATACGAGGAATAGGGGTAGACGGAAGGCCGCCAAGAGCCGCCCCCCTCACCATGCACTACTTGTTGGGAAGCAACAGTATAGTTACGAAACATAAAGTTACTAGACTCTGCTCATACCCGCCCGTACCACTGAATCGTACGATTGGATATTTCAAGTTGAGACTAGACCTATCTAACATCTTTATAGGTATGTTAATGAGACATAAGTGTCGTAAGTCTATAGTAGAGTAGAGTCAGGCATATGTCTTAAGGGCATGAATTCTATTTCCGATACACTTAGGCCTTGAAGATCTGTATCTTTGAGGTTTCAGACTGACCGTTGGAATCTGACCTTTACACTCGCTAGCGAATGGGGTTTAGTGATATGCACACACACAGGAGTGCGATTCATCGTTGGTGTTTTTGGAGTGTCACTTGGTTTTTGCGCGTTACCATTCGTCGACCCGAGTATCCTAATAACAATAGGTGCCTAATGCATGCTGGATTAAGTACTCGTAGACAGATACGTTGCTCCTTTTCTGGGATGTGAATGTCGTCCAATTTAAACACTGACACACAAGCGGAACCGACATACATGGGGAGGTCCCTTAGTATAAGGTGGTACCTCCTAGTAACGGCCCTTCCTTATAGGCTTTAGGTGCCTGCGTTTTGGGCCAGTATCAACCTCGTGTCCTTTTGGTGTACGTACAACTCACCGCTGTCGACGCGTCTGTTATTCGGGTTAAGCGATGGCCGCATAGTGGCTTCAGGTAAAGACAGGAGTATTAATGCTCTATTACTCGGATCCTAAGGAGGGCTGAGTAGCGTTCAGGTCTATTGCAGAATTTCGCTCGGGGACTCGGAATCTGAGATATGCAGGTATCATCACCGAAAGAGATCTCGATGAGAGGCTAACTTATACCATGGTTTCTGTCTAGTTTTAAGAAAGACGCGCTCGGGGTATTGCCATGCTAGCCGTGGCTCTATCTACCAGATGTTGACAACCACTATAACTAGAAATCAGAAACAGGAGCTGCTCCTAAGAGCAATCGACCACGGGACTAGATCAAGAGGGCAACTTATATCGCCTTGTCTAGCAGCATCTAATACTGACAATCACAGGATTCACCTATTCAGCGAGGCCGGCCTTTTCCACGGGTTCATAGAGAAGCTGTTCGTCAGCCCTAGTTACTGGCGGAGTGGTGGCGCGAGTGCTCCCCTTGAGTATTTGGAGAAGGAGGCATTGGGGAGAGGTAGAACGTTAGTATTGGTACGAGCCGCTGCGCGCTTGCATCTGCTTTCGAACCCCCGAGTTACTAATTCGTGCTTCGATGCTCGACACCGAGGTTGGTAGCTAAGGCGAGAAGGCATACCCGAAACTAGGGTATAGAGATCTAGATACGGCGTCAACCCTGCTAGGGGTCTAAAGGGCGAGGTATTCTATTATAAACAGCTTTAATAAGAGAGAATGGGGCACCCGTATAACCAATAAGGCCTGCACACATACCTACCTGCATCCTTCAGGACCAGCCTACTTCTACCTTCCACCCAGGTAAACGTTGTGGCCTTCAACCAGATTCTGGGTACCATCATATATTCCCTTTCTATACCCCCATTAATAGAAACTCCATGTACTTTTGGCTGCGAAGTCAGACGGTCAGGTTTGTATGTCGGAAAACCCGCGCACGGAACCGAAGAGGAGATAAACTGGTATGTCCGCGTGACCACGAAGCCCACGCTAGAGAGGCCTAACGGCCAACTAGATCTATCTCGCCGAGCAGAATCCCGAGCAGGAACCTTGGAAGACATGGCGTCAGCCTATTACCCACTGGGTTAGGGGGTAGTCATGTACTGTAGAGTAATACCCTGGGGTTGGCGACACGGACGTGATCTGGGTGTGCTTATGTAGGAATCTCTTCTAGACTTTCTTTACTGGAACTTTGACTTACGTCTTCCTGCTGTAAGTTCCGGGGAGGAAAGGTCGTCTACGACGCCGCTGTATTAGAGACAGGTGTAAGTGTTACTTCCTCGTTATTGGACTCCAGTACTGCTTTTGCCCCCTGCTACAAGACAGGAGAGCTGACGGCCGGAGTACGGGTGGAAATGTGTGCTGGACCTGGCTGTGCGAACCCCCTGCGGTGGAGCTCTAAATAGCCAAAAATGGACATTGGCATGCCGGGAAAACACGGCGATCGACCTGCTGCTAAGCTCTCGGTGTATTCGCTCACCGCCGTAGTATATCATGTAGGTAACGTAAGGCCCGGTAATCGCGGACTTAACCCCATCTCCCCCAATCTGACTCAGAAATAGTCCCGAAGACTTCCGAATGTGATAATGACCAGACCTAGCCACTAGGGACCCTTGCCAATGTCTTCTACGTCCGGAAGGGGTATTTGGCGGGTCGGTAAAGAACGGTATCTCGAGTTCAAACCTCTGTTCTCATGCCTTGCGATCTCTCGCTTGACGATGACCGTTGGCCTCGCGTTGCGAAACGCGGAGGCAGGACGACGGGCCCGACCGAGCATCGAGCTCCAGAGTCGCCTCTCGGACTAGGTCATCGAAGAAATCTTGCGTATCCGGCCGTGGGCGGATGAGGCCATCAGCTGTGATATGTACCATCTATCACATAACCACGGGCCACCCCCCCGCGGGCCACCCCTTAATATATTAAAAAACGCCAAAACAGGCCATTTTAAATCATACCGCTTCCCATTAGTTTTAAAGCTATTTAGGAAATACTATAAATATAATTCGTATAAAGCTTTATTATTAATCTAGCGTTTTTTCGGATTAAATCGGATACGTATTACCGGGGTTATTATTAGCTAAAAACGGCGGTAAATAAAATTATATAGCTATAAACTACTACCTAATTAACACGAGTAAATATTAATTAAATCTCGACTAAATAAGCTTCTTTTATTATAAAATTCGTTAACGAGGATCTTATGGCGTTTGCTATCCGATTTATTACTTAGGAAGGCGTTTCGATACGCCGTTTAGCTATTATATACGGCGTTTCGCGAACTACGCTAGCGGTTCGGCTTTAGGGTAAGCTAGCGTTATTAAAGCTTTAATTTCCATAGCGCTTAACGAATAAGTAAAAGGAATAACTCGCTTCGTAGGTTTTACGTTAGGAAACGTTAGGGCTAGCTTCTAATTACCGTATTATTCGCGGAATTACTTAGGATATTTTAAACGTAAGCGGCGATCTACGGCCTCTTAGTAAGAACTAACTTCATAACTTCCTAAAGCGTAATCTTTTAATTACGCTAAAATCCGGGCGTAAAACTAAAGCTTCGCGTTTTAATTACTTTAATTAAAAGGCTATAAATTAATATTTCGATATCCGGGAAACTAAATACGGTTAAATAAAGCCTTATCTTACCTTTAACGTCGATAAAAGAGATATTATACTTAGCTAAAGTAAGAAGCCTTATTTAGTCTTATCCTTTCGTTTTTATATTAATTAAGGCATTAAAGCTCGATAACCTAATTCTCGGGAGCTTAAATACTAGAAAAGCGATCGTTAAGAGCTCTTAGCTTAGGACTTAGGCCTCGTTTATCGAGTATATTAACGCCATAAGCCATACTCTTTAACCGGGTATTATTTTTAAAGGAAAGGAGCTTTAAACGACCTAATTTATAGATTAATTTAAAAAGATCGTCGATTAATACTTTATTACCTTAAATAACGGCTAGTTAGATAGCTATATCGCGTTAGAGTAATTAAAGGAGGTATTTATTAAGGAAACGGATAGCCTTCTTTCCTACGAATCTAACGCCCGCCTATTAATCCTAAACGGTTATAAAAGCTATATAATTATTAATTTATTTATCTCTTAATTAACTAACGTTAATTTCGTATTTTTACGATTTTTTTCTGATTTTTTATAAGCGAGTATTACTAACGTATTACGATCTTAAGATAAGTTTATAGCTACTTATTTTCGGTATAATATTTACCTATATTTCCTACTAGCGTATACCTCTTACGGCTTATAACTATTCGATAATAATTTATTTAATGCTCTTAAAATAGCTTATAGAAAGTACTTAAGTTAGTTATACTCCTTAACGGATACCGCGCCGATTAATAAGCTAAACTTCTTACGTTACTTATACGCGGCGAGAATCGACGCCTTTACCGAGAAAAACGTCTATACCGGTTTTAAGGTAACTAGGAACTAATTAATAAGCCGTAATAAGGCATTAATATACCCTAAGCTTTAATAAGAAAAAGATATAATTAAAACGAACTAACGAAAGAACCTTAAAAAGAAAAGCTTAAAGGTTTAGGTCTCGACGTTAAACGCGATTAATAAGGCTAGGAAATTCGCCGTTAATCGATCTCTATATATTCGCGTAACGCTTAGGAACGTTACTAACGATTATTACGACCTTTATACGAAGCTAGCTTTTAGAGATTATTAAATCTCTTCGTTAATAGCTTAATTAGAATTAAAAAGCCAGCCGAGAAGGAGGGCTATTTCTAACCTAAATAAGCGCTTCTAATCCCTTTACGAGATACTAGCGAACGATTAAGATAGCTAATAGCTACTTAATATTACGTTAGAAGCCGTAATCGAGTAATAATAATAGGAGGAGGTAGTAGTAACGGTAGCCTAGGAAGAGGCTATAAGCCTACTAAGCGAGAATAAGTAGGATATTTAATTACTATAACGCGTCCGATTACCGCGCGTAATTAGGGCTCCGGCGCGCTTTAGGGATTAATTACGTAACGGATATTAATCTAGTTTAGTTTTTATAATTTTTCGAATTTATTTAAGTAAGTTATTTAATTTATAAAAGGGCTTGTTTTAGCGTTTTTTAATATATTAAGGGGTAGCCCGCAGGGGGGTAGCCCGTGGTCATGTAATAGATGGTACCCATCAAGAGTGCTACGTATAATACTTTTATTAGTCAGACGCTGTGGAGCTGCCGTGCGTGGCAGCTAGCTAAGCATAGCTCATGTGCCAAGATGTGTATGTCGTGCAGTCTCTTTGTTTCGAGGCCGAGGTTCGTGTCTCCCCTTTTCCAGGCCTATAATACCTAGGTATAGCTCCTCTGTAAGATTGACGAGCATCGGAACCTCGACGCTCTCCTACCTCGATTGATTATAATTACCAACGTCCTGGGGAGAGACTCACCTGTTAGACCAGATACCTACTTGAAGCCGATCCCCGTAAGTGTCCCCTCCACCATGTCATCGCCGAAGCCCCTCATCATCCTCATCCACGGCGCCTTCTTCTCGCCGGTGCACTACCGCTCCTTGATCGAGCCCCTCCGTGCCCAGGGTTATCCCGTCGTGGCTCCGCCGCTGCCTTCAACCGGTCTCGACGACTCCGTCGCGGGCAAGACGTATGTCGATGACGTGAAGCGCCTCCTCGAGGCCGCCTCCCCTTTCCTCGACGAGGGCAGGGAGGCCGTGGTCGTCGGCCACAGCCAAGGCGGCATCGCGGCCAGCGCGCTCACCGAGGGCCAGACCGTCCAAGACCGCAAGGCCAGGGGCCTCCAGGGCGGCATTAGAGCCGTCGTATACCTAACCGCCTTGGCCATACCGAAGAAGGGCGACAGCTTGCACGGCCTCCTGGGCGGTACGCCGCCGCCGATCTACAAAGCCGAGGTGCGTCAGTTGCCATCGCTATTATAGACGCGCGAATCCCCCCCTTCCCTCCCTGGCCCGAATTGGTTGAACCTTGTATGAAGAACTGACACGAAGCGCGCGTGCGCCCGCCCGCGAAAATGGAAAATAACAGGGTCCCTTCTACGTCCTGACCGATCAGGTCTTCTCACCTTCGACCGGCGACCACGGCGTGCCGCAGGACGCGCAGGCCGCCCTCTTGCGGACGCTCGTGCACCAGAGCAAGGCAAGCATCGAGGCGCCGGTGCAGTTCGCGGCGCCCGACGTCACCGTGCCCAAGACCTACATCGTGTGTACGCAGGACCCTTCACTGCCGGCCGCCCTGCAGGAGTCCATGGCCGAGGCCGCCGGGTGCCAGGTCGTGCGCGTCGAGAGCGGCCACTTCCCGTTCCTTGAGAGCGACGCCACGGCGCGGGAGGTCGTCGATGCGATCGTCAACGTCGCTGGAAAGTGACATTGAACCTGGCTATTGCGATGGTGGCAGGACAAGGCGGGCGAGGAGGAAAAAGAACCAAATATCGGATGAAAAAAAAAAGGAACTTGCTTCATAGTTGGCTAACTTAGTGCAGCTACAAGGTTACCTAGACAAGACAGACAGGAGAAGGCTAAAATCAAGCGCGGCGTCCTCTAACGCAACCCGTAACACAGAATCAGCCTGTATAGTACAACGTCCTTGGGCGATCTCGGACCAGCGCCGAGAACTTAAAGAGCCGCCCTGCCCAGTGGGCGAATATGGTACATGCCGTGCGGCGACATCCCTCGGTTGATAAGCCACCAGAGACTGGAAATGGGCACTACTGTGCAAAAGACATACATAGGTGTATTTGCCGCCGAGGTGCCGGACCTCAGATGGTGGCGAGGACTAGCCAGAGCGACCAAACGTAAAATACCACGTTCGTCAAACCCTCTCTGGATAATTATTTACTATCTTGGCGCACAGCGAAGGGCCACGTATGATGGGTGAAAGAGAGGATGACCATGCCCTATTTCGGATTAATTTATAAAGCACCAAGCCTTGCCGCGACCTCCGGTTTACTGTACAGCCTCCCTGGAACTCCTCAAACGCCCGTTGCTGCCAACATGCGGTACTGGTACTGGTACTAACTTTATCTACTCGTCGTCTGCGAGCTCCTCCACCTTTGGAGCCACATACGCTCTCTGCTGTGGGGCAGTTTGGATCTGAGTTGTCGTCGCAGTCGTCGTGGCAGTTGCAGGAGGTGGATGACCTGTATGGCTAGCAAGCTGAGCAGCAGACTCCGCGTTGACCGCCCTAGAAGCCTTCTTCTTCTTCGGCTTTCCCGTCTGGCGGCCGGTTAGCATAAGCGCATCTGGTGTGGATCATGGTGACAAACCTCGTGCCACGCCCAAAGTGGGCGGAAACTGTCCAGGAAGGAGACGTCCTCCCATAGGTTCGGGTAGAGCCACAGACCCGGCGGTACGACAAAGTACGTGACACAGAACAGGAAAAGGCGAAATAGTGCCATGAGGAAGAAGAGGCCGAGAAGGATCAGGAAGCCCCAACTAAGGTAGTAGACGCCCTGTCGCAGAACAAGTGGCCAGAGTGGGTAGAGCACGACGGTAAAGATCAGCACCATTGCGAGAGCAGCATAGACCTTGCGCATAATCTGGCTGCCCTCGTACAGCCAGACATAGTACATGTCGTCAGCAGCATCCTGTTGCTGCTCGATCCTTACGGTCCAGAGTCCCTTGACCCGCTTCGCCTTCTTAGGGCCGTGGTCGTGGCCTTGGTGAGGATCGACCTTGTTAACTCGCAGGGCAAGCATAGACATGGGCAACAGCTTGAAGGTGTTCTCGAGCGAGGCGCGGTCGTGGATCTCGGGAAGCGCAGGGTTCTTCGAGCGGGCTTTAGCGTAGGCGGGCGACTCCAGCGCTCGCAGTGCCCGCTTGACTAGAACACGTATGCGTGTGAGTTGGGCAATGTCGCTGAAGTAGGAATTGGGTCGGCTATCCCGGATGACAACGTACCTCTGAACATGTCCTTGCGCTCTCCATTGAGGATACAAGTGCGCGGCTTCAGCTGCTGGCCTCGCAGGAAATTGGCTAGAGCAATCGCGACGGGATTGGGGGGACCAGGTCGGATAGGTTGGGGTTGTCCTTGAGCACCTGGCTGGGGGCCGGGACGCGGTCCCTGTGGTCCTCCCTGGGGGCCTTGGCCATGTTGCTGCTGCTGTCTCTGAAAATGTTGTATCTGTGCCAGACGTTGCGCCTTGACGTGCTCGATGAATTGCGGAACCGTCATGCCGTGCTTCTGGGCCTCGGCAGCTATCTGCTGCTGCATGGAGGCAATCTGCTCAGGCGACGGCATCTGTCCGGGCGCCATGGGTATGGGCATGCCCATGGGAGGCGGGTTGGGACTTTGCATAGTGATTGCTCGCTATTGACCACGACGGTTAGATGAATCGTATAGGTGCAGCCAGTGCGGTGCAGATGAAAAAGAAAGTAAGGAAGCGAGGGAATGAAAGAAACCGGGAGTTGAGAGATGTTAGATGAACGGTGGCAGGATGAGGGATGGCCGTTCGAGAGTCTGGTTTTTTTTTTCCCCCTTCCCTTTTCTTTCAGAGGTTTGGATTTGAGGTTCGGAAGTTGCTTGTTGGCCTGTTTGTTTGGCCTGACACAGTGAACCGAACAGCCTGTCATTCTCAGCCTCTAGGGAATTGGGAAGCCCCACTAGCGCCACTTCCACTGATTATTCCACAGATCTGCCGATATCGATAGGGATATGCACTCTTATGTCAGAAGCTGACCCCACCCTCACGCTGCCACACGTATCTCCGTACCTACAAGGTCGCTTATGGTATAAGTGGCGCTTGCTGGGACCGTTTAAGTTCAGGGTACATACATGTACATTATGTACATAATAGGGACCTCGTCTAGTAGAGGGTTCATTGATCTCAGCCCTACCAAAGGTACTTCGATGTACTAAGAATAGAGGTAGGAGGCATTCTATCTATTCTGCGTACTTGATCTGCCTTCCTCCCGTGGGCTTACTTATAAATTCTACTGCCATCCGCCTTATTTTGATAGCTGGCCGTCTTTTTATGGATTGTGGCCGGTTATATCCATACAGTTAGGTACTGACTCTGAAGGGCATCCATGCCAAACCCCAGGCACCATAACCTTCTCAAAGGCACCTAAGGTTGGGTTGGGTCGCTGTACATGGTAGGTTATATACCTAGGTACCTTAGGTGCCTCTTATATCTATGTGTACCTAGGTACCTAGGTAGGTAAGAGGTAGGCACCTTATTTGATGTTTTAAAATATCGATGATACCAGGCACCTTTCTGGATAAGAGTAGAAATATCTCAGGTACTTAGGTAGGTAACTCTAAAGTACCGAATCCAGTCTTCTTAAGTTGGAGAATGGGACGGTGCCCTATGAGTACTTCCCTCCTATAATTGATGCATTCATGACCCCATTAGGCAGGGAGATAGGCGTACTTACCTACCTAGGTAGGTACCTAAGGTAGGTATATACCTAAGTACTCAGTAAGTACCTCCTAGCCTATTAATAAACATTCATGCAATTGATGTTATATCATCGTACAGGCCCTTCCGATTCAAGGTACTTGGGGGCTTTGCTCACCCGCCTCGAGGCACCCTTTTTGCTCATTCTCCGCCGTTCTCTTTCCCTCATTTTTCTTCTTCCACATGCATGTAGATAACTTGCGATCTCCCTAATTTCCCTATACTTAACATTAACACCTCATGCTTGGCGTCAATCGGCGATGCGATGGATTAAGCCTCTACGGTCCCTACGTGTTCAATCAAGAAGCACCTGGTTCCCTTCTAAAACAGCGGTTATGCTCATAGTACTGCTATCGGCTTTGGAAGCGCGCGCAAGCAAGATGTGTGCCGGCTTCAGAGGTAGGTATTAATAGAAGCCGGGGGCCAAACACGGATCAACGAAACAACAAATAAACGAAACACCCCGCCCGACCGTCTGTCTAGAGGGTGGTATGAGGAAGAAGGAGGGGAAGGGGGCAAAGGAGGGGGGACGGAAAGGGATTGTGTGCCGCGCACGCATACGGAAATCTACACCACACCACCGTAACGCACACTCGTCTTGCTCGCTACACAAGATAGAAACAGCCGCTTCCACTCCATGTGCGGATACCCGGCCAACTCTAACCGGCCTCGGCTCATCTTCACCACTGAAGCTCTCGCAACGCTGGGCCGACTCGCGGTTCTCCCGACATGACACCAAGTGGAGGCTTCCCGGCTTGCGCAGCAGAACCGCAGCCCGTTTCCAGTCAGGCGAACTGACGGCTCCGCCTTGGGCGAAAGGACGTTCGACATCCATTGAAACTCCCCTTGTCGGGGATAACGACAGACACTGCTCCTGCGCGGTCCCCAAACGGAAGGCCCTGGCTGCCACACACAACGGCCAATCTATGCCACCCACGAGACACCCCTCCCTCGGGACTTCGTGGCAATGCTATTCCAAAACGCCGCGAGGGTGGGCTACCGAAGCCCTTCTAGACGGATCGCAAAGCAGGGAATTCTAAGACAAAAGACTGGCTGTGCAGAGCCGTCCATATTACAAGTGGTGGGGTCCTGCAATCTGGTGTGGTGCCGCCAACCACCCGAATCCTCTCCAACACCCCGGCTCGTAAGCGCCCACTGGATCACGGCTTCTTAGTCTGCAGCCTATCAACGTTGCCGGCCTCTGCATCTCAACCGTCGACGCTCCCCATATCGTTGCGAGCTTATGAGGCCCGAAAGTCAGCGCCCGCTCAGCTGCTTGAGCCTAAAGGAGATAGGCGTAGAAGGCAGGTAATTTCCTACCGGCTCCTCCATAAAGGTGTTTATGGATCTCTTGCCCGATCTCGTGGCCGGCTTCCTTCCTCAATTTTCTTCGTCTATCTCCTACCAACCGCTGGCCGTTTCCCTTCTCATCCGGCGCGCGACATGAAGTCACCATGAAAGGCTTAGGTGGGATACTTGCTGAGGCTTACGCATCGTGGTCGCAATCCATCTACCAGTGCTGCCTACCTTGGACATCTGACTCGGCCGACGAGAAGCCTCGTCGTCACCCCGCTGAGCGTGGGAGAATACGTCATATCGTCAACGACACCGACGACAATTTCTATCTTCCGACGAGACCGGTTGCGCGCGACCCGCTCAATATCGTATACCAAGCGCCGCCGCCGGTTCCGCCTCCTTCCGTAACGCCGTTCCGGCCGAGTACGGGGGCATCTAAGTCGGAGCGGGCTTCGAGGAGGAGAAGAGGTTCGGGGCGGAGCAGCTTCTCGACGAAAAGGCTACTGCGACCGTCGAGCGCCGCGTCGTCGTCGCGCAAGCTCCAGATATCTGCCCCTACCAACTTTCGCCACCTTAATTCGGAGACGTTCCGCGTCCCGCAGCATGCCTTAACCCAAGCGAGGCCGCGGCCGGCTTTCCGCCCGCTCGAACTCAGCATATACATGTCTCAACATCAGCTTTCGCCTATCCTGCCTCGCCTTGACTATCCCACTCCCCCCGTCACCCCGCCTCCCCCCGCCTTGACCCCCTCGAGCCGTGAAGGTAGCCCTCATGTCTCTCATTCACGCAGCTACTCGTCGATGTCGTTCCACATCCCCCGGAGACCAGTCAATGGAGGATCCGTTTTCGATTCTCCTCGGTCGGACGCCAGCACGCCCCAGCCGCCACGGCCGGCCAGAGCCCGAGCCTCCACGTTGCCATCGACGCCGAACCCTATGATGGAGGATCTCGTCGAACGAGTTGCCACTGCCATGCTAGAGCGCGACAGACTGCAGGAACAGATCGACGACGTCATTGAGAGGCAGAGCATATATATTAGCAGCCGGCCGTCGACCGCGAACGGCGAACCAGGTTAGTAGTGTGTTTTTCTCCTTAGTAGCAAATCCTTATCGCGACAGAATATGTGTTGATAGCCCGCTAGAAATGGAGCCCATGCCAGAAATTCCGGCACTGCCTCCTAATGCTCCCTCGTTCAGCGAGCGTGTCAGCTCTGATCGGCCGCGAACTGCGCCACCTCAGGCTCCTGGTCGCACACCGTATAAGGCCAACTCGTCACGCAAAGTGGAGGGCAGGGTCCCTCCTCCGCCATTGCCGCTTCGGTTACGCCCGCCGTTGCGCAAGAAGAAATCCTTCTCCCGAGTTTCTACCTGGCTATTCCCCAGTGGGGAGCCTAGACTCGACATGAACCTCGAATCCCTCACCAACGAGCCTAAGCCTGTGACGGGAGCCGAGGGCTTCTATCAAGTGACCGGTCCCGAACCAAGCCGACGATACAGCTTCGACTCCGTATCTACGGGTTCGGGCTGGACCGTCGAAGAAGAGCAGACGGTGCCGACGAGCTTGTCGCCCAGCAGCACTACAACCTCGAAGGCAAAGCTCGAACCCCGAGTCATGATCGCATCCGGGCTTCAGGTGCCCGTTATGCTCCCGAAACGGCAGAGCGTCGGCGTCGCTATATAATCCTTTCGATTCTTTACGTATTGTTTGCATTCTACGATACCATGCGGTACTGTGAAACCGCACTTTCTTTCTTCACGTCCGGGCATGACGTGACGTTTTGGTTAGCAGGGGATATAGGCAGGTATAGACTTGGTGGCGAGTGGGTTTCAAAAAGCATCGGAAGCGGGCACTCATCACGATGCCGGGGGTTAATGATAGACCAACGAGTGCGGATGTCTCTGTGACCTTCGGGAGGGTCTCAATTCGTGCTTGATACTTGGCGGATGATACCCAATGCCTAGGTGGTGGCGGAGCCTAGCGAACTTCTGGGCCTTCGGAGCTGGAGCTCAAGTGGCTCAGGTTTGGATTTACGGGCCCCATCCGGTGGCTTCCTAGTTACCTCCCTATATTAAGTAGTAGGTAAGGTCTATGGCCTTAGTTAGTTGGGCAAGCATACAGTTGCCAGATAATCAGATTAGATATAGATGGATTTAGTCTGAGGCTAAATATTGCTGCCACGAGTCGGTTCCCAATCTAGTCGGAAAGGTGGGTTAAACAAGGGTCGTCCCCTGGGTGTCCTTGTTTTTCCCTTTCAAAGATAGCTCATCTTCCCGAGCTTCCATCTGCCAAACCTCATTATGCACAATCCACGCCACAATACCCATACCCAATAGAAGTATGATAATTCGCACACGTTTCCCGACAATGAATGTCGCACGTTCGACAAGGCCCGCAGTCACGTCCGGGCCGCTGACAGCTGGCCCGTTCATTACCTTGCCCCTACTGGCTGAAATTGCTGGGTGTCAACCCTTCGGGTCTCCTCGCCGATGCCCAGGGGTGCATCCAGCTACTTCTTCACCTCACCGACTTATGTGATGTTAAATGATATCTCGCCATCATCCCCGCCTCTCTTGCCAGGGCGTATACTTCTTGTGCTTCATCCCGCCTCGAGCTGTTCTGTTTTGAGGGCATTGAAGGAAGACCAGCTCTTTTGCGCACTTTCGCGATGGTCTTCGCTGGCTTGAAACGCCAGTGGGCGGTCCTTGCAGATAAAGACCAGCACCAGTACACTCTTCTCGATGAAGAAGACGCCCAAAATGACACACGCAGGCGCACTGGCCGCTGGGCCAACTGTCACGTTACAGCTATCAGACTTGCATCCTGTGGCGTGTTTGCCATTCTGATCATATTTTTCTCAACGAGCTTTGTGTAAGCTTCTAACTACGCCGCCTGAAGGCACTTATTATGGTGTCCGCTCTGTGCACTAACTGGGGGTATTTTCTAGGCGGTCCATGTCTACCCAGACCTGCAATGGCATCGCGCATGACCGCCACTGCAAAAAGGAGGTGGCACACTCATGGGGCCAGTATTCGTCCTCATTTTCGGTGCCATCAGAGATATCTCCAGCTGCCCCCCAGGATTGCGAGATCACATTTGCGCAGCTACTCGCACGACATGGCGCTCGTGACCCCACGGCACATAAGTCTGAGACCTATGCTGGAATCATTGACCGCATCCACGACAGTGTTACAGACTATGGAAAGAATGTCCAATTCCTTAAAACGTACCAGTACAAGCTGGGCGCGGACCAGCTGACGTCCCTCGGCCAGCGGCAGATGGTTGAGTCTGGTATCAAGTTCTACAGGCGCTACCGACAGCTGGCTAACACCAATACACCTTTTATACGTGCCTCCGGCCAGGACCGAGTCGTCGAGTCTGCAGAGAAATGGGCCAAAGGGTTTCACCAAGCGCGCGTAGCAGATCGGAATGCAGACCCCCTCGACGAATACCCGTATAATATCCTCGTGATCCCAGAGGAAGACGGATTCAACAACACTCTCAGCCCCGATATCTGCCTGGCCTTTGAGGAATCCCGCCATGACAATAGAGACGAGCAACTTACCTGGGCAGGGAAATTCTTGCCACCCCTGACTGAACGATTGAACAGAGATCTCCCAGGCGCGAACTTGACCGACCAAGAGACTGTCTTCATGATGGACCTGTGTCCTTTTAACACTGTTGCCGATCCTCGGGGAGAGCTCTCGAAGTTCTGCTACGTCTTCACGGTGCAGGAGTGGCACGACTACGACTACTACCAGTCCCTGGGAAAATGGTACGGGTTTGGGAATGGGAATCCCCTAGGGTCAACTCAGGGGGTGGGCTTCATCAACGAACTCCTTGCCAGACTTACAGGTCAGCCTGTTGTTGACCACACCTCGACCAACTCAACATTAGATGATTCCCATACTACATTCCCGCTTGACAAGGCTCTTTATGCGGACTTTAGCCACGATAACGACATGATGGGCATGTTCGCGGCACTCGGTCTCTACAACCAGACAGACCCACTGCCAGAAGACCGACGGGTCAGCGCCCGGGAGGCTAAGGGATTCTCGGCCAGCTGGGTTGTCCCGTTCGCAGCGAGGCTGTATGTGGAGAAGATGGCCTGCGGAGGGAGCAGGGAGGAATTCGTGCGCATTCTAGTTAACGATAGGGTTATACCTCTGCAGAATTGCGGTGCCGACGCGTTGGGCCGGTGCAGGTTGGACAGGTTCGTGGCGAGCCAAAGCTTCGCAAAGGACGGCGGGCTCTGGGATCGGTGCTTTGCGTGATCCGAACAACTCGACGTCCTCTGGCAGGCACAAGTCGCGGGATAAATGGAATGTTGCATCGGAGATCTGCCGCATTGTGGCTGTTCCCTAGATTGATCATACACCGACCTGCACGGCAATGCTGACGATTCCCTCTGGAATGTGAACTGAGCGCCTGACGTACTCGTCCCTTACGCAGGTACCTCTCTCCTCTTACCTACCAGGTGGGTACCTTAAGTACCTATGATGCCTAAGGTACCTACTGAACCTAACGGATGGAGAGCGACCTATGCTAAGAATACCTAGATGTAGGCACCTAACCTACGGTACCTGTAGCTGCGTATCGGGGCGAAGTGCATGGAATCAAGGACGTAGGCACCTCTATTTGCGCTTATTCACATAACTCCATGGTATTCCCCCCCGCCTCTCCTCCGTCCTATCTCGACTTGCGGCGAGGCAGAATTCTGCACAAGTCGTAAGAGAAAGTGAGACAACAGCAAGGCTGGGGGGGCAGTTGGGGAACGTGATCATAAGCCTGATGGGCGCGATAGGCATGATAGGCCTGGGCAGACTCTCGGAGTGAGACAGGCCTAACCGTTATCGAGGCTTTGGTTTACCAATAACTACCGGCTGGCTGATAATAGCACTGACATCGATACTACCTACACGTACAGGTAAACACCTACCTCTTAGTGTGGTTCTTAGCTTGCATGTGGCTCAACTAACGTCATTTACAGGTGGGAATCTAAAAAGAGGCTAGGCTAGATTAGGTACCTAACCTCCTCAAATAGGAGGTACCTTAGAAATGTACATACGTGTACATGACATACGCGCATAGCGTGTATGGATGTAGCGACGAATGCCTGGCAGTGTTATAGGCCCGCAGTACCTAGCTAGGTTAGTGCCCGTGCACAGCGCCTTAAACCGCAAAAGGCCAGGCGCGAGAAGGAGAGCCTGGCCGCAACGGCGCAACCGGCCGCAGGCATATGCGATCAGCATGTTGGTCCTTTGACAAACTCCCCAGACGGCAAAAATGAGCAGCGTAGATGTTCTTGCGAACGTTGAGGAAAATGCTGACGCGGTCATCCGAGTATGTTCATATCATCGACGAGACTTTGACCTCGTCGTAGTCCGTTCGCGCCCACACGACATGCATCCAGTTCAGGCGTCTCTTAAGGCAGCCTTCGAGACGTTGCCAACCGCTGAGCTCGGGATCTTGGATCGTTTACCCGCAGAACTCGTGTCGATGATCCTCCGCGAGCTCGACATCGAAGATGCCGTCGACTATGGAGCCGCCTCGTCTGATTTCCATGGAAGTCTCCACGAGTGGCAGAAGCGACTGCTACTTTCGCATCTTGGCCAACCGAAGCGTCAAGTACATCACCATCAGGGCCGGGGCCCTCGACGCTGAGTCGTTGGATGACATGCCCCTTGATTTCCAGAATATTCTCCCTCCTCTTCCCTACCAAGAAGATGCTTGGAAGTCAGCGTGTGTCACTCGCAATCCCTCGTCCTGTCAACTGGAAGCGACGCTGTCGTCGGCCGATTTGCCCAGTGTGGAAACGATCTGGCATCCACGGATGATCGACCATCTTGACATCGAACGCACTGAGTATCTCGCTCTGTTGACTCAGGAATGCAAATGGAAGGCGGATTCTGCACCAGAAAGAATGATTGCCAAGATGGCGCGCTTCCACTGGGAGATCCAATACATGGAGGCCGAAACCCGCATGTACCAAGCCCTTGAGGGCCGGGGCATCGCTCCCAAATTCCTCGGGCACATCCACGAGGCAGGCAGGGTCATCGGGTTCCTTCTAGAGAAAGTCCCGGACGGGCGGAACGCCGAGCCAGCCGATCTGGAGATCTGCGAGGCGGCCTTGCGGCGCTTTCATGCGCTGGGGTTTGTGCATGGGGACTGCAACAAGTACAACTTCATAATATGCCCGGATGGGCAGGTTGTCCTCATTGATTTCGACAAGGCGAAGACTTGCGCCGACTCAGCTCTGATGGAGGCGGAGATCGCGAGCTTGGAGGGGCAATTGGCTGAGACGACAGGTCGTGGTGGTGGGCTTATGTCATCTGATGAAGGAGACAGTGACAGGGGGTCGGAGGGATAATAGACACCAGACGTGCTTCGCTCCAAGTAGTGGAAGCTGTTTCTCAGAGTGTATTCTCTCTGCTCATCACCGAATCCTAGTCCAACGCGTTTCCGCGCCTCCCAAGATCTCTCCTGACCCGCCCAACCGTCGACCCAATAGCCCGCTTCTGGCCTCTTATGGTGCGGCTCGTACCTCTATCTAAAGACGCATGCATCCTTAGATCCTCTGTAGTAACGCAAGCAATGTTTAATATTTACGGACTGTAGATCCGCTTCAAATCGCGGACTTTGGTCCAGCTTGAAGTTACCAATGCAGAGTTCCAAAACGGAGCCCCAACCCCTACGGTTTCCACTGTTGGCCCACCCATGTTGCGCCACGCCTGCCGGCCGATCCAGCCTTTGCAAGATCTGCATTAGCTCCTGGCGGACGCCGCAAGGTGTCGCGTCCCGCTGAGTGCTCAACGCGTCGCAGCAGGTAACCCGTGTGCGTCATGCATCCTCGACTGTTCAGGCTTGACGCCTCCAGGGCGGGCAAGACGGAGAGCTAGAAACACCAACCTGGAGGCGGCCGTGGAAGATGGCGGTGGTGCCCTCACACAATTACCTACATCGGCCACGTGTCTCGAGAAGCTCACCATCCCCATGCCTTCCTTTGTCCACGAGTAGTATTGGTATTTCGGAACCTTTTTTTTTTTTTTTTTAATAAGGGGTTTCGACCTTTTTTACAACCGCGACCGAGGTTACATTATAAAAAAAATTAAAGATATTATATATACCTAATATTATAAGAAGAATTTATAAATAAATATAATTCTACTTATTTTAAAAAGATTAATTTAAAATAAAGTTTAAGATTTTGAATTATAATACTTTCGGTAAACGATTGGTTTTTTGAGGTTTAATTTATTCTAAAAGAAAAAAAAAGCCCGTCATCAGCCTCAATTCCAACTTCACATTCTGAGACATACCGACAAACAAAAAATAACAACTCGAGTTCACTGCCTCCGAGTCTGCTACGCTCCCTTTCCTCACCCCCTCCGGTGCACACCGGACCTGGCTTCGCCACTCTCTTCCCCTGTCCATCCCAAAAAGAAAGCGAAAGGAAACCGAGGCAGCGTGCCGAGACCAGACCGTGACCAAAAATGGTCAGCCCTGTGGGAATCTTCTTCATCGTCCTGGCCGTGCTGCTGGTTGTTGCTGCGGTTGGCTGGATCGTATTTACGCAGCTTCGCGCCCGGCGATTAGGTGTGAGTCTTTTTTCCCCTCTTCCTCTCCAGCCCGGCCAGCCATCACGGACCTTGCTCGTCCTGCTGGTCCTGCTGGCTGCATCAGCATGCTTGTCTCGCACCCACCAGCCCACCTCTCTAGGCATCCCCACCCCGAGATTCGGAGGGCGTACCATCATATCACGACCGGATTTACTAGCTACCTAACTAATACTACGCCTCAACGACTGTAGCTTCCCGCCCCACCACTCTCGTCTTACATTCCCTTCGTGCGCTCCGATCCCTCACCTTACGGCGCCCCCCAGTCGTCATCACGAGGCGTCGGCGGCTGGCTCAGCGACAAGTTTCGCAGCCTCCGCGGCGGCAATAACCGATCGGGCCCCGGTGCCTACGAGCGACCCAGCCACCGCGGTTTCGGACCCCTCGACCCGGACGACGCCTGGGACACACGTGTCGGCCACCACGAGACCGATGGCTACTACGGCGCTGGCGCTGGCGGCCCTAGCGGATACTACGAGGAGCAGGAATTAGGATACCGAGAACCGGGTGGAGGGCAGCAGCAGTCACGATACAACACTACCGATAACGGCACCGGCTACGCAGGCGCGAACCTGGCCGCGGCAGAAGAGCAGACTAGGGGCAGATCCCGAAGCCGCGACCCGCCCGGTGGCAGCAACCGCAATCCATTCGATGACGAGGCCGAACTGAGCAGCACGAGCCTACGCGGCGTGAGCCCGCGACCGATCGACACCGGCGTCTCCGCTGGTCCTACTACTAGCACGGCGAAGGGAGGAGGCGCGCCTGGAAGCCCAACGTCGGAGCGTCGCTCGATTTTTAGAGAAGACGTCTAGATCGAAGAAGAAGAAATACGATGATATACGATCCTACTTGTTCCTCTTGTTACTCGCCGTCTCCTCCTAATGTATTCTACGCGCGCGCATGTGCAAAGGGTCTGTCTATCACAGGTGACGATTCCTGGGGCGGGGCAATGGAGCCTACGCTGACGACGACGCGCTCGAGCCTGAACCCGAGATGGGGTAAACCCCGCCGTCTTCTCACCTACCTACGTACTTTCAATCCTTTCCTAGACTCCTACCTGTCGCTCCGGAAAAGGAGGAGTCGCAGATCGCGAAAAGGGAGAGAGAAAAAGACCTTTACAAGGGTCGCGTAGGTCGTTAAGGACGTAGGGACTGGGTGATGGGGGAGGGGGGGACTAAGCCCCTCGTGCCCTAGATGCCGAAAGTAAGCGGGCCTAGCAGGCACACAGTCCCATGTTCCTGTTTGGTTTAAGTCTAGGTTGTCGCAGGATGCGGTTCTGTCTGGTCTATTCTAAGAATCCTCGGATGAGAGCAGGTTTGAACAAAACCCCCCAAAGAGGGAAGCTAATGTGCCCGCCCTATGGATCGAGCACGCTTCCCATATGTTTACCTCATAGGGGTAGGCTAGGTTAAGGCGTTCTCGGGATGGAGGTAAAATAAAAGGTGGGAAGGGATGGGATGAGGGAAAGGGGGGAGGAAAAGGGGGGAGGACAAGGGGGGAGGAAAAGGGGGGAGGAAAAGGGGGGAGGAAAAGGGGGGAGGAAAAGGGGGAGAGGAATTAATTAATGTCGGTATAATACAAGCAACCGCTGCCACATGGGCACGGAGTGCACGAAACTCCAGCCGGCGTTCTTATAGTCTTTTATTCCTCTCTTTATTGTCGATATGTGCCCCGGACAGCCATGCGAGCTACGCTCCCCGTATAATCGAGCTGCGCGCAGACTATCATTTCGGTTCACTCACATTTATACTTCATCCACCATTCTCCACTTTCCCCTCCTCTCTTCATAGCACCGGTTTCGAGCTCATGTTCACTATGGCCTAGATATTGAAAGCTCTTATTGCCTCGTCTAGTCCAGATTAGTGCTCAACGGACAGTATGAGGCGTTGATCAACGAGAGCGGAATCGCTGTTCGATTTGTATCTTACTAACGCTTGGTCATCTAAAACATACCTATATACCTCTAGCAGCACCCTCTACTATTTATATACCAACGTTAACGATATGAAATCTTAGTAGTATATTGCATTATCTCCTACGATGCCCCAGGCCTCATTAGTTGGGAGTCAAGGGTGTATTATGTCGGGGTGAGCTATAATATCCGCCGCCGTCAGTCAACTAGTTGCGATGTGAGAGTGTGTCCTACGACTTAATATCGTAAAACTGCTTTATAATAGTTGTTTCGCTCTAATCTATACAGCTGCTCTTCGAAGTAAAGGATTGTTTCGTTTCCGTTCAGTCCGGTGTCCTAACCCGCCGCTCTCGAGCCCAGATACAAAGGAGGGAAGAGAGAGGAAACAAGTAGACGGCTCTAACATATTCCCAAACGATAAGACCCCGCTATGAGCGCGACTATACTAATCCGATTGTTTCCGTATCCCTGCCAGCCCAAAACTCATCGTCAAACTGCTGCTCAAGCGGGCCACCTCTTAGAGAGCACTGACTTATGAATGTATATCCCGTTCCGGACGGCCGCACTAAGCTTGGTGTCTGAGCTCCTTTGAATAAGTATACCAGGTCCCCGGGTTGCGTAGAAGCATCCGTTCTCATCAACTCCAAGACAGTGCCGTCGCTGAGGAGCATAAAAGAAAAAGCCAACTGGCCAGCGATAAGCCTTTCTATCAAGCGGGTAGTCCCTGTCGCCCTTCTCCTTGCATACCATGTTTTTAGTCGTCCCTTTGACGTAAGCAGACGATTGAATATTTCTTCGAACCATTCACGGTCGTCATCGAAGAAGTATAACACAACCTTCTTTATTATGCCATAGAAAACCTCTTCCACTGTGGTTTGCCTAAGAGCTGCTGACGGTTTCAGGATGAGCTCCTCGAGCTCTCTCAGGCGATTCGGTAGCCCGGCTGGCAGGGCGTTCATAGTCTGGTCGAAATATGCCAAGGGGAAATGAACGATAGAACTGCAGAAAGTTCCTATCCTATAACCTTCTAGGTATAGTACCCGATTGTCGGGAGAAATTTTTGCTAGTTGCCGGCGCTGCGGTTTCAACCATGTGGACAGGTTTCGGAAGTCAGAAACCCAGGACGGGGTGTTCTGTAGCTCGCTCGACCGGAATTCGAGTATTCCCAAATCCCCGGAAAACTGGAGTACAAAAGAAGCGTAGTCCCAAAATATCTGCTCGTAGCATAGGTCATAATTTGGGGCCAGGTACGCCGGCAACTTTTCAGTGGTGAGATGGTTGAATAGGCCCAATAGGCCATAGACCTGATCTCGAGGGTCGGTAGAGTATGTCCGACACGAGATTCTGAATAACTCCCCGAGAAGCTCGGCTGAGTTTAGTTTATTCGAATCGTTCTCGTCATTCCGCTGGAGAGACGACTGAAGCTCGTCAATTTGTTGAAAGGCAACTAATCTGGCAGACCCAGCGAAAGTGTAATTATACTTCAACTGCATGGAGACGGTTTGGAATAGGCTGGCGAATTTGTCCAAGTCGACGCCGAGATGTCCAATAAACAGCTTGGGATATCTCAAGCAGGATTCTTGGATAGTCCACACCCTCGAGAACCACGGGTTTACCAGTATAAACCTCATTACTCGAACTACGTCGCCGAACGAGTCTCCAAGTCCCGCATCTGGTAGCGTGTTGTCATCTTCATCAACTGGTTCCCAGTCGCTCCACATCGATTCAGCTTTCTTGAAAGTGATTTTTATGGCTCTGGCTGACGGTATTTGAGCTTGAGGGGAGATAGCCTTCCGGAGCCTCTCGGGAAAGCTTTTGGCGGGTGTTTCAGGAAGAGGCCCTAACCAGATGGTACAGAAACCATTAGGATGAAGATATATGTCTGCCATGCGCGGTATCTGGAGGGACTTTTCGGCCGTGTCTTCTTGGTTGATGCAGATGGCATCGATCCAGAAGTAATCTTCCGGGTAGATACCGCGGGGACGCTGTCTGAATTGGTATAACGCTTCGTATAGGTTTTTTGTGACCGTAAAAGGTCGTCCTTCTAGAATGATAGATCTCCTGTCCTCTACATCGCCCCATACATAGGATAGGGGATGAAAGTGCCTCACTGTACCTAGAGGCAGCTGGTGGAGGGTGCACTCAACTGGGCCCGAGCCCGATGTAATGCGGAGAAGTCGGATGTCATCATCGACCAATCGTCGATATGGATACGCTGGTGGTCGATATGGCTCCTCGGGAGGTTTAAAGTCTTCGTCTTCGTCCTCGCTATCGGTCTCATCTTCTTCATGCCCCGTTAGGCTTCGCAGCTTGAGTAACAGCTTAGATTTCCAATGATCGTGCCTGAAATGCTCATTCCAAAAATCCGATAGCATCGTGACGCGTGCTGGGCTCGTCGTTCCCCGTGTGTAACAGTGGCACGATGGTAGAATGGTACGACAAGTGGAAAATGAAGGACGAAGCTGATCCAAACTTGAGAATCTGAAGATTAAAGGCTATCTCTCAACGACGTCCCCCGGTCCTCCAATTCAAGAAGCTACTAACGACCGAATATACGCGTCCTTCTATCTCTCTCCTCGGGTCCTCTCCATCCCAGCTTCCACGGAGTATCCCGGGGAAGGAGGCGACGGATAAAATATATTGATATGGAGCTTCGTATCAATTACCTATATACTAGGTAGATTTAAACGCTTGGCAGCTTCACCGACTCATGCGGTGTCGGACGCAGCCCACTGGAGGCCAATGGTATCTCCGCCATAGCCGCCAACTGAGGCATCCCAAAATCCGCACTGCTGGGTCCTCGTTTACTAGGCTCGCTTCCATGCCCCGCTGGTTCCGTTATGGAGAGTGCAGCAGATGGAGGTGCGGGCTCTTTATGCAAATATGTCTGCTTTACAAGAGCCTACCTACATAGGCACTACAGAGTACCTATGGACTGCCCGAAACAGCCAAGCAAAATAACCGGCTACGATCTGTTGCTCAAACGGGAGGGATCAATATGCATATCACGTAGTCCGCCCGTCGACCGGATCGACTCTATCCTAGGATTGCCCGTTCGGAAGTCCACCCTGTTTTCGCGGATGTCGGACATCGTTCTGTCAACTTTCGAGACCACCTAATAAGCCTTCTGGGCTACGTATATAGGCAGAAATACCGTGTACCAACCAGTATCGTGGGGAAGCCGTATAGGAAATATAGTTTACACGGTAGTTAACGATTGCTATGAATAGATACAACGTGCCATTCCGGGGGCTCGAACCCCTGCCTTACTCTAAGTAGTGTAGTCTTGGAGTAAGCCTGGACGGAGCAATTATCGCGTCAGATCATCCCACTATAAACGCTTAGTGGTCTTGTATGAAGATCCAGAGGCCTATTACTATGTGTATATGTACGTGGCACATCTTCCCGGGTCGGGCATCAGGGTGATACCCTGTAATCGCGTTAGGCAAGATACATACTCGATGCCAAAGTGCTGCGTAGGCTAGCATGATGACCGTAATGTACCTCATTATCAGTGCTCCCCGAGGTATTGGTGCCCCCCGCCCTAGGGTTCCATCACGCCTGGGAAGCTGACGAATTTGACGTGTCCGTATTCTCCGGTCCTGTTTTTCTTGAAGGAAGGGGTCATAATTCTATCCGAGTATCGGGGTTCAACGCGTTTTTTCATCGTAACTGCGGACAGAAGCTATGGCAGGCAAGAAGGGCGGCGTGAATGGCAAGAAAGTAGCCGGCCGGGCACGAAAAGCAGAAGCTGCCGCCAAAAAAGCCGCCGTAGAAACAGCCAAGCGTGCGGCGGAAGAGGACGCAGAGTGGGAAAAGGGTGCTAAAAACAACTCGAGGAAGTACGTTATGATAATCATTTTTATCGAATCGCCCACTAAAGCAGGACTCGACGATTGCCCTTGCTAACCTCTGTTCAGAGAAGCACAAGCTACCAAGAAGGCAGAGCAAGCCCGGAAAAAGGCCGAGAGAGATGCGGCCCTTGCTGAAGAAGAAAAGAGCTTACCGAGTCGCGCGGGCCCGAAGAATTCCAAGACAGCCATCAAGAAAACCAAGAGAGGAGACATCGATGATCTGCTATTATCTCAACCCAACCCCGACAATCACGATAACAAGAAACTTCCGTCTCTCGCGGCTTCGGGCGTCGATAAAAGTCTACATGTTCTAGACTTGGCTTTGGTGCCATCGTCCGATATCAAAGTCGACAAGCATCCCGAAAGGAGGGTTAAGGCAGCATACGCCGTGTTCGAGGAGAGGAGACTTCAAGAGATGGACGAAGATGGGAGTGGCGCGGGATTGCGTCTGAACCAAAAACGAACACAGATCAAGCTCGAATTCAACAAGAGCACAGAGAACCCATTGAACAATCCACTAAACTCCAAGTATAACGCTACTAGAGGAGAAATTGAGGAAACCAAAGAGGAGCATAGGACGAAAGCCGAAGCTATATATGCCATCGAGTGAGAGAAGGTCGAGCACAGGCCCGTATCTATTGGGGGATTCATGCAGGGGGAAGTCCCAACAGCAAGGGAAGTGCAATGCTACGAGTCAGAAATGCATGGGGAGGAGTCTGGGTTTGCCATGCATCAGAACCAACAGCCTAGATCACAGGAGGATTATTGGATGATGGGGTTTTGGATACGACACCAGGATCCTCCTCGCCGAGGCAATTCCATACCTATATTATTCATACATATACTTATACCTATGAGTATACGCATATACCTACACACACGTACATCTATACGCAGCCGTCCTACCTAGGAGAGATCATGTGTATGCACGCGGTAAAAGGCAGCGAGACGAGTTAGAATGGCTGGAATCGACGCTCGTCAAGGGCGATCAAGCCGAGTCGATATTACTCGCCAATTCGTGAGTTAGAGAAGCATTCAACACCAGCCGGGTTCGATTCGATAGGCCAACTGGACGTGATGCCCCGGAGAGTGTTGTGACAGCATAGAAGCGCGAGAGGCACGAGGTAAGCTGATCGCCGTCACGTCCCGTCCCGCCCGAGATGAGATGACTTCTTGGAAACCTGGGGCGGGTAGATGGGCGCAGCTTCGGCAACCTTCGGCTCGGCACACGGGGTCAAAAGGTGGGGGGACCAAGTAGCCGGTACCCAGAGATGCTGGCTTCCAGTGCGTACCGTTTAGAGTGTGTCAGGAGGAAAGTGTACCTAGCGGAGCCCAGCATAGAAGGGTGCTAGAATGTAGAGGGTACTTATACAGGTACGCACCTGGTGGTGGGTAATCAGAGCCCTGGGAGAGGTGACGTCCCTGGCGCGGCTTTTCAAATCGCTCCTCCGTCGTAAATCCCGGCACTACCTCCGTACATCCATTTCTCTCCATTCCTTTCCTTTCTACCCTCTCTGCCGTCGCCAGCACTCCTGTTGCCAGGCGCCCTTCTTGCCAGCCAACCTCGCCCGCTGTCCCGACTTCCAGCTCGCCTTATCCGCAGCCAGCGACACGGCCCTTCGAATCCCACGCCCGCGAGACATAGACATGCGCTGCTGATTCCGACCCCGTTGCAGTCGCTTGCGAGAACGAGTCGGTGGCGCAGGAATGCCATCGGCGCCCGCGAACCATGTCTCGATGTCCGAGTTCCCCTCTCAGCGAGAAGGTGACACCGGCGCCATCGTCAGCAAAATGGACGGCGTCGTCAGAAAAGCCGGCAACGTCGTCGCCGGTACTCCTACCCACGGCAGGACCTCAGATCCCGCTGATGGCGGGCACCCGGTAGCAGCGGCGGGGAGCCGGCCCGATAAGCATAGCGTGGGCTACATGTTGCGCTCCGGCATTGCTGGCGGCATCGCTGGGTGCGCGGTACGTGTTGTCGCTCCCGCTCCCCCTTTCCCCATCTCTAACGCGTTTATCTCTCGCGCTAATGAAGATATATCTCTAGGCCAAGACTACCGTTGCGCCGCTCGACCGAGTCAAGATCCTCTTCCAGACCAACAACCCCCACTTCGCGAAATACACGAGCTCGTGGATCGGCGTAGCGCGGGCGATGGGCGACATCTATGCTCACGACGGAGTTTTGGGGTTGTTCCGCGGACACTCGGCCACGCTATTGAAGATATACCCCTACGCCGCTATAAAATTTGTCGCTTACGAGCAGTACCGCGCCTTCATCATTGGCTCGAAGCAGCAGGAGACATGGATACGGCGCTTCGCCAGCGGGGCACTAGCTGGCGTGACCTCCGTCTTCTTCACGTACCCCTTGGAGGTCGTCCGCGTGCGCTTGGCCTTCGAGACAAAGCATAGGAGTTCGTCGCTCGCTGGTATCTGCAAGAAGATCTACCACGAATATCCTCTGCCGAAGTCGCCACTCGCCGCTGTTCAATCGGGTTCCGCGACGTCCGCTGTGCAGGGCGTGGTATTGGGCTCTGGTCTGGTCAACTTCTATAGGGGATTCTCAACCACTCTCTTAGGTATGGTGCCGTATGCTGGCGTGTCCTTCTTGACCCACGATACCGTCGGCGACATCCTCCGCCTCCCCTCCATCCAGAAATACACTACGCTACCCAAGCCGGCCAACTCCCCGGTAGATAAGCCTGCCCCGCTTCGCGCGTGGGCCGAGCTCACCTCCGGAGGAATCTCGGGTGCTGTCTCGCAGACGGTGTCTTATCCACTCGAAGTTATCAGACGGCGGATGCAGGTCAGCGGCGCCGTGGGGGACGGCCGTCGCCTCAGGATCGCTGAGACGGCTAGCATGATCTTCCGAGAGCGAGGCGTCCCGGGCTTCTTCGTCGGGCTGACAATCGGCTACGTCAAGGTGGTGCCCTTGGCCGCCGTCAGTTTCTATACTTATGAACGGCTGAAGACAGTATTCGGTATTTGAATATGGAAACCCCGCAGACGCGGAGAATCGATAACTCCTTCGGCGGAGCGCAGGCGTTTTCTGGTATGCATACACGCCGATCTAGACACGGCGCGGCGGATCGGAGTTCAGATCGCAATCGGCATTCGGGAGAGGGTGAAGGTGGTTTCTAACCTACGCCTACAGATGTGCTGATAACAGCGGTCACACGATGATAAGACGCGGCATAGAGACGCAAGTTTTTATATATAAGTACACGACGATTGTTAAATATGTAACTATTCCCCCTTTTCATCTCCGGCCGGTCCTCTTATAAGGTGACTACTGTTGAACGAGAGGGGATTAGCCCGTTACGTGCCGCACACGAACCGCCTAGCTGGCAGTATGTCCGAGGCCTGTCGATCGACAGCATTCCGCAGCAAGCCCCAACCTAGCCAGCTGACTTCGCGGCGCCCTCGTGTCGCGAGTATTGCAAATGGTGGCGTCCCATATCTGCGCTCCTGTGCAAGGGAGGGCGCCGCGGGCCAATCGCTGTCCCCGCCTAGTCCGCCGAAGACATACTTCCCCTCGAGTACCTACCGTTGCCCTGCATCACACTGTGCCGTGCTATGGGGCATATGTCTAGGTTGGGCTAGGAGGTAGTTAAGTATTATAGTGTAGGTGCGGAATCCGGCTACCCCTGGTTCTTCTCCCTCTTCTCCTGATGTTTGGTAATTGGTTAGTTTTGGCGATATGGGCGACGAGTAGGCGACGTCTTTCTCCTTCTCTTTCTCTCTCTGAGTCCGAGGTACCCAACGCCAAGCAGACATTACTTGGGCGACCATTCGGGTGGCGTAGGTAGTTGTGTCTTATTACCGTGCCGATGTCGTTCCCGCCCAGCGCTACTACTCCATACATGCGCAGCTCGGGCTGATCGATTCTCGCATCCCTGCCTCGTGGCCACCGTGCTTGCGATGTCTCATATACTCCCCTAGCTGGAGCTGGGAAGTGCGAGAGTGGCTTGTTGATGATCGCTCCGTGCCTCGGCAGGTAGGGTAAGCACGAAATTGGACTGGGGGAGGGTAAGGGGTGGAAGCGAGGGAGGGCGGCGCGAGTAGAGGGAGTCCGACCAGCGTCTTTCCAATAAGAGACGTCCTCTCGCTGTCCTCTCTAGATGTCGCCGCCAACGGTTCCTGGAACGGATGTCCAATGCCGTTCTGATCTCCGTCCGTCTACGCCGAGCATCAAACCGCACTCCTCAATCTCCAGTCTACGCATATAGTGCCTGGAATAACTACGAGTCGCCGGCGCGACTGGGTGCTAACCCGCCTACATATTCGCCTCGTCTCGTCTCTTTCCCTGCCCGTTACCTTGTTTACCGAGCATCCTCACCCGACCAATATCGCCGCGATAACCCCTATTCTCCCGCCCTACAGCCGCCGAACCAACTCGAACCCGACGTCTACGCGACCGGCGCATACAGTCGCCTAGCGACTTCCCATCCTCCTGCCCTCCTGTCGCTCCCCTTTTCGTTCTCCGCGCCGCCGACCATGTCCCCCTCGTCGTCGTCCTCGCCGGCGGCGCGCCCCGGGCGGGGGCCAGCCGTGAGACCGCACTCGGCGCCGACGCAGCACAACCAGTCGGTGGCGGACCCGGTCGCGCACTTCCGGGCGATCCCGTGGTGCGCGGCGCTGCTGGCGGACCCGGCGGTGCTCGAGGTCGTGGTGCCGGACCGGCGGCCGCTGCCGTCGGGCGAGTCCAACTTCGTCCGGCGCACCGTCAACTCGGCGACCACGGTGCGCGCCTGCGTCACCTTCTTCCGCGCCCTCGACGACCGCCCCGGCCAGGCCGCGCCCGAGGCCGCACCCGCTCGGCCGCTCTCCGCCTCCGCCCCCCTGCTCGCCGGCGGCGGCCCAACCGACGGCGAGGACCCCCGCAACCCGTTCCTGCTCCTCAGCGCGCTCGTCGACCTCGGCCCCGACTGCAGCGGCTTCGCCGGCACCCTGCACGGCGGCCTCTGCGGCGTCCTCATGGACGAGGTCATGGGCACCGCCGCCAACTTCCAGGCCGGTAGGTTTCCCCCCCCTCCCCCCCCCCCCCCCTGCCGCAGAGCGCAGGGCCAGACGGGATAGAAGGAAGCAGCAGCAGCAACAGAAACACAGCGCAGGAGTAGGAGTGGGAATAGGTTACTAGCAGATCGGCATCGCCCCGGGCGCTAACGCGGGCTGCAGAGAACGGGGCCTACACGCTGAGCTTCACGACGCGCTTCCGCCGCGCCGTCGCGACGCCCCAGGTCGTCCTGGCGCGCGGCCGCGTCGTGCGCCGCGACCGGCGCAAGATCTGGGTCCGCGGCACGCTCGAGGACAAGGACGGTGAGCCCAACCACAACCTACACGCCTGCCACACTCCCCCACCCCCACCCCCCTCTCTCTCTCCCTCTCTGCCCTTTCTTCCCGCACACCCATCCTTCCCCCCCCCCGAAAGCGCCGACGCTGACTGGCCCACCCGCCGGAAAAACCTGCAGGAAGGATATTGGCCGAGGGAGAAGGGCTCTGGCTCTCGATGGACCGCGACATCGGCCGCAGCCAGCTATGAAGTGAGCCGCACAGAGGTGGGGGGGGGGGGGGGGATGCGAGACGGCACGGCTCGTTGCGGCGGCTCCGCGGCGGTACGGCGGTGACGAAGGAGAGCCGGAGCGAGAAGCTGCCTATTATCCGAGGAACCAACCTGCATTAATGTAATCTAGTCGAGTCACTTTGTAATTTCAGTCGTGCCCCCTCTGAATTCACCGAAATGCCTGGGCTCTTCGTGTTCGGAACACGGTATCCTATCCAAAGAGTGCTTGAGCGCGTACACATCCTCCGGGAACGTACATTTTATAGCTACCGTAGTACTTAGGGCATGGTGTGACACGGTACGACACGATGTAGGATATCGCATAGAGACATTGGACGGCGATGAGTGTGTATGTATGACGGTGCCTGCCGTCGTTGCACGCGTACATGTTTATTCGACAAGCCGCGCGATAGACTGAACCACACAATGTTAGCACGTGGAGTAGTCTTGGGTATAATTCTTTTTTTCATCTCTCTGCTTTCCCTGGCGATCTGTATCGGCCTGTCTATTTACATGTAATTTGCCAGCGAGTTAGATTACGTGCCCACATTCTGAGCCTACTTTGAGCGATTACCACCTCATAACCCGCTACCGATCAGCCATTAACACGAAACATTCTTTGTATTGAGTCCTTCTCCCTCATGTCGCCTCGTTTCCTTGCCAATCAAGGGTCTAATCCGCTTTAATAGCACTGTAGCAACGTAAGTCAGCCGCCAGAAAAACCTCAGAAAACGAGTTTCAGAGTGATCAAACCGAGACTTACCCGTAGATTCGCCGGACAAAAGCGTAGGCAGTGAGAAAGCCCACGGTGCCGGTGAGAAGGCCGTACACGCAGCAGGCCATGAAGCTATACACGAAGAACAACATTGAGCTCACGAAGCCCGATATATGCAAGTTGGCGAAATAGTACCAGATGGAGTACAAGAACACCCACAGAGCACTTCCGCCGCCCACAAAGAAGGAATGCCACCACCAGTGATAGTTCTCGGAGCACAGCTGCACATAGATTGTCACAACCGTGACCTCAGCAATGGTAAGGATGAGGATAACGGATACAACAGCCAGGAACCCAAAAACATAATAGTAGCCGCTCTTGTCTTGCCATAGCGACTGGAAGACGAAGAGAAGTTCTATAAAGATGACGGCAAATGGAACTAAGCCGGCAAGGAAAATCGATTGCAGGTTCTTGGCATACCACGCTTGGTTGGGAATCTGTCGGGGGATATTGGCCGTCTTCGTAGGATGTTCCCAGGCGCCGGTGCGGACAAAGCCGAACCAGGAGCCGAGGTAAACAAGCGGGACCTGGATGCAGAGCCACAGGAGCACAATTACGACGAGAGTACCGAACGGTATGGCAGTGCTGGAGGCTTGCGCCCAGACGAAGAGGTTCAGTATGAAGACCAGACCGAAGAGGAGGCCGGGGATCAGGCACGCCGTGACTAGCGCATTCTTCCCGAAATGCTTTCCGTCGAATGTCTTGTATACCCTTGCTGAGAAGTAGCCTGAGAATAGGCCGGCGAAGACGAAAAGGCCCACGCCAGCGCTGATGAACCCACCCCGGAAGCTGGGATTTAGGACGCCAACGGCGCTTAGGAAGATCAGACCGACAGCCATGAACAAGAGCTGCATACCTGACCCGACCAGAGGTGCGAGAAGGTGGCCGTAGGCAGGCTTCCTGAAAACATCTGCGTGCAATAGCTTCCAGCCCGTGACGTCTTCGAGAGCCTCATCGTCAGATGCAGCATCGGTCTCCTTGTCTCCTTCGCCTTCCTGCTCAAGGAGACCGAACCCAGCCTTCTCGGACTTGGGGCTGCGGCTGCCGCCCTTGCCCTTACGCTTAAGTCGCAGCTTGCCATCTTCGACAGAACCCTCCTTGTAGCTCTTGATGTCGGACCTGATGGTCTTGGTCAGGATCAGGAGGACAATTCCGGTGAGGAGACCGCAGATGATCAGCGAGTTGACGATCGCCAGCCAATGGATTCTGGACCCTTCCTCCGAGTTGATGAAATACAGATCCCAACGGCGACTCCACTCGATCGAATCGTCCTCGCGGAAATACACCGAATACGAGTAGGGGATGCTAATCAGATCGTCGTCGCCGCCTTCCTCGTCGGCCTCGGGGTGGTACGATGAGTAGGAGTACTTGGTTTGGGATTCCACCGTCCTGTTGGGCGGCATGTAGAGCTCAAAGTGATCCTCGACGTCGTGAAGATCCTTAGGACAGCCGTTCTCCCGCTTTACACTGGCGCCAATGCTCTTGGTGTAAACCTCGAAACCAACGACTACCTTGCCGCCCTTCTCGCCAGCTCGGCCGGGTGCCGCTCTGTATCGGATCACGATGGTGTGGTGGTTGTTGAGGAAGTAGCGCGGCTTTCCGGTGCTCGACGAATAATCGGTGAAGCCAAGCTTGAAGCCGGCCGCATAATATTTTCTCGACTTATCCACAGTGACGAAGCTGGTGGCACCAGGCAGGTTATCCACGATCCACTCCACCACATACCCTTCTTTAACCAGCTCCCTGGCTCTCCTCAAATCTTTCCGTGTAACGAGCTTGTTGCATAAGAAGCTACATTCCTTGTCGTGTCCTACAGTGAGATCGATGTCGGAAGCCACAATCCGATCGCCGCGAAGGACCTCTCCGAGATTAAGCGAGATACTTTGCCCGCTCAACAAACCAGAGCCGTGGCTTTTGCCCGTCGGTGGGCAGACAAACGGAAGGTCGTAGTAGGCATATTGCAGTTGCGTGTTATCGGAATAGACCTTGTTCACAAGTAATGGAAGCTGCTCGTTCTCCTTGTAGTTCTTGATCGACCATCCTGCATTCGCATAGACTGGTTAGATGCTGCTGCTGCTGCGCAACTGGCCTAGAGAGCTCTCGTCACGGACACCAAAGCACACGCGCTCACCTGGCAGGTAGAAGGCTTGGGCCTGAGAGATTACGAGAGACGACAGCAAGCACTTCAGACCGTATCCCAGAGCCTTGCCCATCTTGCCTTTATCCCCAGCCGCTATTGTGTGTTGAGATACATCAACTCAGCTAACCGGATCTGCGGTCTGGCCCTTACCGCGCCGAGTTGGGAAGGAGGCTCTCCTTTTTATAGGATGAGCGGAACAGTCGCCAGGGCTTGATGGCGTTCCTATTTGGGTCAGTGAGGTTATGGCCAGAGTCTCGCTGCTGGGCCCGGTTTGGTAGCGGTATGGGAAATTCGACTGAGGCTTGGGTGAGCGGTCTAGGCGTTGGGGGGTGTTTAAACGAGTGTAAGTGGTACTTATTAGTACCTATGGTAAGACGAATGCGAGGGCGATCTGGAAGGGCAGATTCGCAGTGCGCACCGGCACATCTAGAGCTGATCTTGTGATCTTTGGCCGACGAAGCCGACCTTGCGTGTATAAAGGTGCGCTAAATGCTGACACACACGTGCCCAGAGGCCTGCTGTCCGTGCTGATTTGAGGGATGGGAGCGAGAGCGAGAGAGAGAGGGAGAGAGGATTAAGAAGAATCAGGTAGGCATCGCTCTCTACCTATGCAGCAAGATGGAAAGGAAAAGAGAAGAAGTAGGAAGTGGGTAGAAGTTAAGAACGAGGACCCCTCTGGGAATGGCCCCGGCTGGAGTCGCGCCCGCCCAGCTGGCTGGCTACCTGCTACGTGCCTGCCTTCAGTACGTACTGTGTACATTACATGTAACTATGCAGCCTACAGGAGGTAGATACGGGTACATGATATATACTTGTATATAGGTTACGCCTCACTATACCTCCGAGTTGACCCTCCTGACGTACCGTGCCAAAGGTTAGGTAGGTAGGTAGGTACCTGATATATGCATGAGCAGATGCCACCTTGCCTCAGGTTAGGTGTATTGAGTGCATTCGGAGGCTGCCTCTAGAAGAGGTGCCTAGGCTTAGGTTGTGTGCACATTGAAAGTACCTGCCTACCTGGGTACCTACCTACCTATGTATTCTCGACGTAGCACCTCCGGCCTCCCTACCTTAGGTGTACCTCTCTAACCTAAGGTGGTACTTTATACCTAGACTTAGCTGCCTGCCTCTGCCTCCCACCTCTCTCTCGCCGCCGCGCTTAGATGCGCTTTTAAGCAGGATATCCACGCATGCTACCTACACGTACATGCTAGAGAGCTAGAAATGCCATCCTCACCCCAGGTGCTTCCCCTCCCTGCACTTCCCAACGCACATCGCACATCCACACATCGCACATGCCCCCCGATCTTCCCCGGCCGGATGGCTCCGATAGGCCTCGAATGCTCCAGATGCTCCAAATAATCACCCCATGAGTTGCCCCTGATTGGCCGCCTGTAATCGGCCACGGTCCTGCAGCCATATGGATAAAAACCGTTGTTGAGATGCACAGTATCCTGCGATAGGTTGATACGGTACAAGACAGACATTCTGGTTCGGAGGAGATGGGTGCTGAACCTATCCTCAAGGAACCTGCCTGTCTGTATGTGAGGTATGTATCCGATGTAGGCACCCACATAGGCTAAATTTAGATTACGCCACTATGAGTAGGTACCTCTAGGTAGTATAGGCAGGCATAGGCAGGTATACTCATAGGTAGGAGGTAGGTACCTGGCGTCCCCAGATCGGTTGATTCTACCGCCGGAGACACTTGCTTCGGCTCCTGATATGGCGCGTAGCGTGGGCGACGCTTCTCGGGTGATGCCTCCTCTACTCATAGTCACTGCGATGCCTCTAGTTCAGGAAGCATCCATGAGTAGATAAGCTCGCAGGGCCGAATCGGTATCCGAGCTAGGCTTTCCCGAAACATCAAAAAATCGCCCTTCGTGACATTAAGAATCTAGACGTCTATTGATGTAAATGCTAATGCTTCGCGATGCTTATACGATAGTGCCCTATGTATGCCATATCGGGGTATACTCATACTTTCCCACTGCTAAAAAAAATATGCACTTACGAAAGCAGCCTTGCTCCAAGTCATTCCTTCGTGCTTGTGGCCGTCTCATGTACACTTCGTCCACTCCGGCTATTCCGACCTAACTCTCCCCTACAGGCTGATGAGGTCGAGTTCCGAGAAATCTGGGGGCGCCCGGCCGTAGACCACGCGCACTTTACTATCGAGCGCGGTGCCTTCGTTGGAGATCCAGATGTGTTCGCTGTACTCCTTCGTTCTCTTGATCTCGTCGTCGCTGACTCCGATGTCGTCCCGGGGGATCCAGACCGTCGGCCGCCGAGCCCGTAAGGCCGAGTGCATGAACGCACGCCGGACAAGGACGTCTCTTTCCTCCGGGGTGAGGTCCTCGATCTCGTCGTGGAATCCGCCATACAGGGCTTCGCCGATGGCTCTCTGCGCCTCCAAGTCCTTCTGTCGTCGATCACCGCGGTATTTGGTGACATTCTTAAGCCCTTGCTCGGCCTTGCCAAACGTTCGGTTGTATGTGCTCTTGCCGCCGCGGGCCGCCCAGGTGCTAGCATGGACGATCCCTTTGACGGGCACGAAATTCGTGAACTTGTTTCCCGTCCCAGGTTTGTTGTGGGGATTGTCCGTCGAGGTGGGTTGGCCCTTGTCGTCGTCGTCACTCGATGTAACCCCCTTGTTGAGTGTCTGCTCGTCGTCGTCGTCGTCAGCATCATCCCCAATCAGGCCTAGGCGGCGGTCCTGAGCACGCTGGAATGCCTCATCTCGTAGTACCGCCTCGTCCTCGAAAGTGATCGGGAGGTAACGGAATAATGGCCCAAAGGACCGGTTGAGCAGGATCTGGTAGAGGGCGGTGAGGAAGATCGAGACAATCATAATCACGGCTTGCGGCAGACACGCGACCTCGCCTTCTTCATTCCGAACGAGGAAGAACAGGCCGACAAGGCACAGCTCCATCACGTAAAGCCCCGTGAAGGTCTGGTTGATAGCTTGTGGATAAAGCACACCTCCGGTGTCGATGGTGAAGCGATTAACGTACAGCATGCTGTATCTGTTCGCCATCCAGAGAAGACTAAAGGTGATGACAGCGAATATCGAGATGATCGGAGCCACCACCGAGTAGATCAACGCGATGCAGGCGAAGTTGGTGTATACCGGGAAGTAAGTCCCCCAATTAACCTCGGGCAGTTTTGTGTTGGTGAACCACTTGTTTCGTGGCGTGTTGTTCATGATCCTCGCGATGATGTACCAATTGAGGAGTGCGCCGATCTGTAGTAGAGTACCCGAGCTCACACTTAGAGCTTGAAGAATCATATAGGAGAAGAAGTAGTTGGCCGCCTTGGGTAAATTCACTGCCAGAAGGTCCGCAACCCCGGTGGGATTGTTCGCTAGGCTTTCCAGAGTCGAAATCGCACCGGAGGCTAGAGAGACCACCAGGAAGACTTGGACGAAGAGGAACGCGAAGTAAAACTTTTGGACCGTTTCTGTCTTCTGAGACCCCGTTTTGGCGCCCTTAAAGCCAGCAAGGAAGTCCATGATTATCGGAACCAACCAGAGAAGCAGGGCGAGGAGAACAGCCGGTAGAACACCAGCGACACCAGACACCACATCTCCGATCATCTTGTTATCCTCGATAAAACTCAGCCATGGAAGGTCGTCCGTCAAGGTGCTGACTTGAGATATCGAAGACGTGAATGCGACGGGGAAAGTCCACAGAATAATCATACCAGCGACAATACTCACGGCGGCGGCTGTTCGAAGCCACTCGGACCACCAGCTCATAGCCATGTTTTCCCACAGCACATCCTCGGGCGATATTTCGACAGTGCGGGGTGCCATGTGGCGTGGGACATGGTGTGTGACGCTCTGGCAGGCCATGTGAGCGGCCACTTGATGGTTGAACTGAATAAAGGCCGACTTCATAAGCGGATAGCGCTCGGGGCTTTTCTGGTCGATGTCGATCTCCATGTTAAGCCGTGACAGTTCTTGCCTGCACCAGTAGATGGTATCGACCTTCTTGTTTATAAAAGGAAGCCCCGGGAGCCACGCGGGCGTCCAGTCGAAAATTGCAAGACGGTGGGTCGGCCGATGCTTCTTTTTGACCCATTTTGTCCATTCGGCGCCGATGTCTTCATCGTCTTTCCATTCCTCGTTGTAGGCTTTAGGATATTCTATCGGCTCCAACTCTACGCCACCAACGAACGGCACAGCCGACTTGAGCTGCTCCAGGAAAGTCTTCTCCTTCCTAGGAAGACGGTCGCCTCTGTGATAGCCTTGAGGAACAGGAGATGCGTACCCGCCCGGCGGGGGCTTCCAGAATTGGTACCATCGGATCGGGTCATTGAGCTGCATGGCCTCCAGGTTTGTAGGCTTGCGAGTTGTGTTTCCAAACTGCCGCATCTCGACGCTCTCCTTATGAAGCATAGAGTCTCCGGAATTCTGGGAGTTGCGCGCTTTTGCCGCCGACGCGCCCATTACGGGCTCATCGGATCTTGCGCGTTGATGGGCCGAATCCTGCGTCGGCGGTCTCGGTAGATCGTCTTTGTCAGACAGCCACACGCGGCGGTCTGATCCACGTGTAGGCGGCGCTGATTGGTTCGGGGACGCTATCGGCATGAAACCGTTTGTCGTTTCTATTTTCCCGTCGACGCCGCGGGTAATGTTCTTAGCACCTCCGAAGATTTCCTGCCCAGTTTTACCCACGATATCAACGCCTTTCCCTAGCCCGCCGGTCAACTTTGCGAAGCCTGTTGATAAGATGTTGCTGTGTGCGGTAGACGGTCTGAGGCTTTGGCGTCGGGCGTCAGCTTCGATCTCAGCCTCGGCATCATCAACGCCGTGCGGCACCTCATGTCGGTCTCCGCTGCTTACACCTTGACCACCTTCGGCTTGGATCTTTGCTGCGGTGTCCTCCCTCCTCTGGCGCTCCAATCTCTCTTCTTTAGTAGGACGCTGAGACTTTGATGCCTTGCGAGCTTGCTTCTCATCCCGCTCTCTTCTTTTCAATTGCTGCTTCTTGGCCATCCGAATAAGCTCCGTCAGTGCTTCCTCCAGCTGTTTGTGAATTTGGTCTCGTTTGGTAATTTTCTCCAAGAGCTGTGTCAGGTCCCGCGTGAGCCATACGTTTCTCAATCCACCTGGGAACACATCGAAGAGACCCCTCAAAGCTTCCTCGCTCAGCCACTTGTCGGGAATGCCACTAACTAGGACAGTTGTCGCTGAAGCTCGGAGTCGGTGTTCGGCGGTAGTCAACCAGTCCTGACGGATTTTAATATAAACCCGCAACTCGGCGAAGAACACACCGCAAACCCACACGATGACGAACACAGCCAAGATAAGATGCGCCCAGTATCTGTTAGTCTCGCTCTTTTTTACGTTGCCCCAAGCCAGCGTGTCCAGGCCGGTGATGTTTGACCTCGGAGAATTGGGGTCGCTATAATCGGCCCCCTGAGAATCGGTCCCATTAAGTTGATCAGAAAAATCGGTATCGTTTGCCGAAAAGTTGTTGCTAAGGCCGCCTACGTAGTTGATCGGCACCAATATCGGAATCAAAACCAGGGCCATGGGTATAAATATGACCAGCAAAGTTTGCAGGTATCGGAGGAAGAAGTAGGCATCGAGTCCGCATTTCTTGATAATCTCACGATCCCGGAATCGGAGTAAGGCATGGATCATACCCCACGGGCTACTCGGAGGTGACTCAGTTCGTTCGCGTTCCGGCACGAGATACGTCTTGGGCTTGCTATTTTCTAGGATTAGAAATGTACTTGGACATCGGGACAAGAGGGGTCACATACAAGATTCTCGATAGCTTGTTTCTCAACAAGAGGAATACTCCCGTCTGGACACCGAAGACGATAAGCGAGACGTTCAAGGCGGTAATGAAGGCTATCAACGTGATGCCTTGGTTGCGCTCAACCTGGGCGCCCTGGGGGTCTACCGATCACTCGTTAGCGTAAGACGAACGAACGGCCTAGAAACACTTGGACAGAAGCTGGATATCCGGCGTGGTGGCGTCGCAACTCACCGTCTCCCGCCATATCGCTCGGGCTACTGCGGCGGCGCCCGACTGGGGATCCGACTCTAGATAGGGCGTTATCCTGGCCAGTTCATAAATATCCAGTAGAGGAGGAGGGAGAAGAAGGTAGATATCGGCCGAGGTAGAGAATCACGAGGTGCCGCGTCAATAAGGGTCGAGAATGGCAATATATTGTAGGTTGAATAGGTCCGGAAGATGGATGTAGGGGTAGTAGAGGTGGTTAAGCATGGGTGTAAGTATGAAAATCGAGATGGGAATCGAGGAGAGGAAGAGGGGAAAGTTGGCGAGATGTAGAAAACGAGGTTGAAATTAAGAAAGCATAATCTAAGAAGGGGGGTAACCCATTGACGACGAGGACACCGGCCTAGGAACTTGGAAGAACGAGGAGGAGGAAGACTACGGACGGATCCTTAGCAGCTAGTGGTCGGTCTGCTCCTAAGAATTCGAGTTGGGGAGAAGTGAGGTCGTACGTGTGACGGGGTACGTAGGTATGCTGTATGTATGCTGTATGAGTATGCATGTAAGTACCTATGTATGCAAGCAGGGCACACAGACTTCACCTAGCCGTCGAGCACGTAGGAAGCGACGAGGAGATGGATAGATTTGGTGGGCGGCCGCCGCGGCCACCCAGACATGGCGTCTTGGCCGAATCGACTTGCGACGAAGCGTCGCATCCATGTAGGAAGCCCACAAAACAGGTGTGATGGTGAATGACGATCCCTTGTAGCACCCAGTTGTATACTGCCCGCAGTACCCGGAGGACAGGGGATTCCTAGTACTTCGGTACATGCAAAATGGCGGTGGGGCAGGAAGGGACGGCAAGTACCTCTCACATAGATGGTACTTTGGGGATATAGGTCGAGGCGTGTATCCCCCCAGCCCTGCCGCCACACGTGTGTCCCCCCTCCACCTGCCTTTTTATGCCTCTTCCCGACCTCATTGTCTCTGTACGCGTACTCCGTACGTTGTCGCCAGCTGGATTGCAGAAGGAGAGAGCTCTGATGTCAGAGGCACTGGGCTCGCAGCTGCTGCCAAGAAAAGCCCCTGACGCTGGCCCCGCTTAAGCATTGCTTCACATCTTCAACAATTCACGGGACAGGGCCAATCTGATTGGGCCCCGATTCACGCGCGCCTAAGGTACCTAGTCGCCTTCAGCTGAGAGAGGAACCAAACAGAGGGGTTCATCATGCAAAGTACCCGATATACCCGGTGCCTACTTTCAGAACTAGACCTATTCTTCAACAAATAACAAGGGAGAAGGAGAAGAAGAAAAAGGAAAGGGACTATACCTCAAAGGATACCCAGGTAGTTGGATATTGCCATTGTTTAATCGCTCGGGCCTTCTACCGAACCGCTCAGTTCTAGACGTCGGGCTAGACGCCGGGCTACCTAGGTACCTACCTAGGTAGGTAGGAGAGGTAGGTAGGTAGGTACATACCTGTATGTACTCATATATAATCCATTGGCCGTGGCGAAAATGAGGTCATATCTCTGATCGCCATTTTGACCTACGCCGTACAGGGCAAAGAATCACTTGGTCAGCCCAGCCAAACAGACTTGGCGATCAACCGCGACGGCGTCCTACAATTACACAACGCACGTACCCACATACCTATAAACCATATAGGTACGCTATACATAACACCTCGGTATAGGCAGGTAATGTACAGGCATATATGAGTAGGTGTAATCAACAACCAGAAAATCGTTCAAGTAGTGCCCTTCGATGATCACGTAGGCATCTTTCAATATTTCAGGGTCCACTGCACGGCACAGGCCCCGCCTCCTTATAGCTTAATCTCTCTAATTTCATCGACAGCAGTGGGATTCCGGCCCCGCCTAAGGAGGCCGCCACTTCAGGTGCCAGTTCAATGGGCTGCCTAATGCATCCGAAGCGTCTACATTCAGCACCTCCCAGCCTACAAACGGGACATATCCAGGTACACTGGCGGGGTCTCGAAAAGGGAAGGGCACTATAAAGTTGGGTACATGCCTACCTACCTACCTAGCATACACGACATACACGCATACAAACGTGGGTACCTACGTACTATAGTAACACAGCACACCTGCCCCTGCTTGCCTCACCTGACATACCGTACCTACCCCCTCCTATTCGGAGCTCGGGCGGTCACCTACCTTTCTGGGTAATCCGGCAAGAAATCCAGTCCCGTAAGCAAGCCATGGCCTCCGAGGGTCACCCCGATGGAAGTCAGCATCGCCAGGCAGGATCGTGCGTATTGTTCCAGAGCCCAGATCAATCTATCGTTTTGATCGACGTTCCACGCTCCATCGAAGAGGCACAAGTGTTACCTGGGCAGGCCGTCAGGAGGCGCCTCATTTCGTCTAGCCCAATCGACACGCCATGGGAAACACCAGAGCCCCGGAAATCAGGTGCGCCGGCGCACTTGACGTCACCGTCTGCCGCAGTAGCCGAGCTGATGACTCTCGAAAGCGCCCGGGCGGCGCTCCGCCGGGCCCGCCTGAATTATCGAGGACCATGGTGCTTACCTCGCGTGATTAATGGCACAGGCAAATTGCCAGACGGCGATGATGGCGAGCCGCACCAGGAAGAATCGCGCAAGAGGAAGCGGCCTGTCTCTCCAGCCACTGACGCCGTTTCCGCCGCCGTGCCGCCTCTCATCCCAGACCAGTCTCGCTATCTACTGGGAAGCGTGCGGTCGCAGAGGGAGGCCTTCCTAGCAGATGCCCCCGCATTCGATCTCGTCGTGCTCGACCCTCCGTGGCCGAGCAGATCCGTGAAGCGGAAGCAGAACAGCTACGCGACCGCGTACGGCGTCCGGGAAGCTGGAGATCTGTTGGCGCAGATACCGGTCGCGTCGCGCCTAAAGCCAGAGGGCCTCGTGGCTGTCTGGGTTACCAATAAGACGGCCGTGGCTGATCTGCTCACGTCTCCTGGGGGCATATTCTCGCGGTGGGACGTCGAGTCCGTCGGGGAATGGGTTTGGCTGAAGATCACAAGGACCGGAGATCCCATCGTCGATTTGGAGGCGCAATGGAGGAAACCCTGGGAGCGGTTGTTGCTGGCTAGGAGAAAAAACCACCTGCCAAAAGCGCCCATCCCGACCAAAGTGATCCTAGCGGTTCCCGACGTGCACTCGAGGAAGCCGAATCTGAGGCTCTTGTTCAAGGACATATTACCGGAAAACTACAACGGACTCGAAGTATTTGCGCGAAACCTTACCGCGGGTTGGTGGAGCTGGGGAGACGAGGTTCTCCGCTTCCAACAACAGCATCACTGGGTGGAGGCTATCGGATAGTCCATAGGGTGGGCGAATAGACACGCAATTGCCGTCCCTCCTGCTTTCATAATGCATGTTATACATAGTCCTGAATTTTTTTCTCTCTCCTAGTCCTACAGTTATCTCTTACTAACGTTGCCTACTCAAGGCCTCCGGCATAGTTTCCCACCCGTCTTCCACCGCTATTTCTAGCGAGGGGCGATATTAACCCATTGCCCCTATCTCTCTTCTTGCTCATCTCTCTTCTTCCATCTTTTCTTCTCCTTCTTCCGCTTCTCCCCCCCAGGCTGCCCCTGGTCCTGGCTATCGCCTGCGTCTAGTGCCTGTCCCTTCGCGAACTTGGGGTCGAGCGGCCGGCCATTGGTCCAACTACCACTTTTCAACACCCTCGCGGCATCGGCGCGGAGGCGGGTACGGTCGATATCATCACCTTCTTCCGCGTGAAGGGGGATACGGCCGGTCTTCGTGGCATGGTCTTGCATGCGGCGGTTCTTCTCCATCTCACGGATCTGGCGCTCCATATGCGGTGTATTCCACGCGGTCACGTCCGTCGGGCGCTCCGGCCACACGAACGGCCGCGTCAGCTCCACCGTCATCGTCTTTATTGGGCGTGGGATTACGAGTCGCCGGCGCGTCGTCGATTTTCGTGGCCGCTGTAGTCGCAATTGAGATCGCACCGCCGTCACCGGTACATTGTATACGTGTAGCAAATAGTCCCGAAGATCCAGCTTGTTGAACGTCAGCGGCACCTTGAACGTCGCGAAGTGCGGCGGTTCGTTCTCCCGCGACCGTAGAAGAGCTACTACGTGGCGGGGTCTAGATTGCGAGTCGGGGGGTTAAGGATCAGCAGCCGACGGATTCCGATTCTCAGATGAATTTGTACGTACAAGAAAACTTGCTTCGTCCCTATCTTAAACGGCGGTTTCGTTACCGTCGCCGCCGCCGCCGCCGCCACTGCCGCCGCCATCGTGCTTGGATGTGTAGCGGCTGGCGTTAGGGAATATCTTAAACGTCGTCGTAGCTGTATGACAGGAGATGCGATTTATGGTCATTATCAAATTTCCTTAGTGGCGGAATAGATGGGTCCCACTACTGGGGGGGGGGGGGGGGGGGGTCCTGTTATATCGGCGGTTGGATAATTCCGACCGTCTTAATGAACCATGCCTACATTTACTTTGGTACGTACCTCTAGGTAGGTAGGTACACACCTTAGGTGCATAGGAGGTACTCAGCTGTGCCTTGCCTCCTCTCACCGTAGAAGGTATTACCTACCTAACCTCCTCCAGAAAGGTTATGTTACCTACGTTACGGCAGCTGCAGGAATTCATAGCCGATTTATGCATCAGCATTAGGTACTAGGCGGGCACGTGGATGGTCATTTAGATTCAATTGTGCTGGACCTGCTTGACGGTCCCATTTAGGTACCTAATCGACAACCTTTTCTTAAGGCTAGGTATAGCTACACTCGTTGATCTCGTGACCTCATCTAGCATTTATCATCACATCTCGCCTTGTTTAGACATCCAGACCATCAACAACCGTACCTTTGGTCCAGTTGTGCTGAATGTACCGGGCCACCTCGTTCGCGGCATCTTCGTCGACCAGGATGCTGACCAGATACAAAGCCGCATCTAGGCCAGCAGATACTCCCCCACTCGTGATCACTCGAAGACCACCTAGCCGCATCGCGGCGCGACGGGCGATCGACTCTCGCCGCTCGTTCGAGCCCTTAAACGAGACACTACCTTTTCTGTAGGCCCATTGTTAGTAGCCATATACATGTGAGAGGCCCGTAGTGGGAATGCAGATTCGTCTGTCTCAAAACCTACCGTGCAGCGGACGGGCGTCTTCCGGCGTCAGACTTGCGACGAATATAAGGGTTCTCGTCTTCGTCTCCCAGGTCGAAGCGGAGGTTGTTCACAACGTATCGGGCGTCTTCCACGACGTCGGTTCTCTCTTGCAAGTCTCGCTGCGCTGCGTTGCTGCAGAGGATCTCAAACTTGGTCATCCAGTCGGGGTGCGTTGTGGCGGATAGGCCTGCGAGGAGGCCGGCCTCGGCCAGCAAGAGGGAGCCGGTGCAGACAGACATCAGGGTTCGCTCTCGGGCCGAGTCCTTCTTCTGGAGCTCTGCGAAGGCCGTGATGATGGAGAGGGGCTCGGATTTCTCTTTGATAACCTCGTCGATATTGCCACCCACGATGACGAGCACGTCGAAGTCATCGAGACGCTCGTAGGCTTCCTTGTATGTGATCTGGGAGTGTATGATGACGCCCTGGTCCGACAAGACCTGGGGCTCAGCAGCCGCAATTGTGCTCTCGAAAGCTTTGGTTGCTACACGGGATGTCTGAATTAGCATGCGTAACAGGATAGAACGGCATGGAGAGAGGAGAAAGTAGGCATATGTCTATGGATATGAAAGCCGCACTTTCGTCGTTCTTGTCATGCAGAGCCCATCCGAGTACCTCGAGGGGGCCAGTGAGGTCGAGCAGGTTGAACTTGGGGTGGATGGCAAAGAGCACGTCGATAGGCTCATCAGCCACCGCAGACGTCTTGTGTGCCATGATTGCCGAGGCCTCGAGGGAGTGCTAGCAAGATGTGTAGTTATGTACGAAGGCGTGTGTTGGTGTCAATATGAGGGTTGGGAGACGAGAGAGGGAGGTATACGGAGCTCGGCGAGTTGGAGGGGTTAGTATTGGATCACAAGAGGGAAGAAACAGCTTCTGATTCTTTGTTGTCGAAGTGACCCTGGTTTTTGCAAGGTCGGCGTGAGTTAGGGTAGGAAAAGAGGGTTGAATTGGGGGTGGCTCGACGAATGGAGCGAGGCCCTCTACCTGTGGGCTGATTGAGAAATGGATGGAGTGATTGAGGGGCTCCTAACCTAGTCAGCTTCCATTCGATCGCTGCCTCTGCCCACCGCAGACTGTTACGTACTAAATATCCAAGGAAGGCCTACCGAGATACCTACCTACCTCCTAATTGCCCCTCCTCAAACGGCCATCCATACATCCACGCGCACATGGGTGGATGCGTTTATGCCTCCGACACACAGCAATTCCCGCCTCCTATATGACTGCCTCGCATGGAAGTAAGCCAGGCGCTGTAATACCTAGGGTAGAGGTACCTCTACTAGGCCTATAACAGGCTCCAATTACCCCACACTAGCATCTACTAGCATCTGTGTGTACATATGTAGGTATGTATCCTTCCCCTCCCCCAGATTTGAAGCTGTTGCGCAGGGGATGGCAGTGGGTCTCTCAGAGATGATCGTCGCTTTCAGGAGGAGTCACGTTCCCACTGTGTAAATTACAGTGCCATTTCGTTGCCCTCCGGGCTACCTTTGGGGATCCTAAATGCTGACGCATTGAGCAATTCTCGCCGGTAACTCGTGACGGCGTGGGGAGGCGCCATGAAAGGGAAAGTTCTCATTTTTCTAGGACCGCAAACAGGTAGGCCACCCACGCTCAATCTTCGCTCGATCCTACATCGACACCCTGGGTCCCTACCTCCTAAGCTCTATGCTATACAGATGTAGATACCTCTTAGTATACTATACACACTTACATGAGCCTTGGGTTATTAGGTAACGCAACCACAAGACGGTACCGCCTCACCCTCGTAGGAATTCAAGCTAAAGGCTGAATGAAGCACATGCAATTGGTCTGTATGTAAGACCACGTTCTCATCAAAGGTTGACGCTATCAATCCCGGATGATCGGTACACGGAGCCAAGTAGGTAACTGCACCAAGGACTACACGTAAGGTGCCTACGCTAGGTAGGTACCTACCTTACTGTATATACATGTACGTGGTACATTCAGTAACCGAGGGTCCTGAGATCCCTAGAATCATATACCCGGGAACTATTAGAAGACAAGGAAATGCCCACCTGAGGTGCCCCAATACACCCCATGCTCCTAACATTGTAATAGACAAAGCTGTGCTATTTTTTTTCTCTCTCCCCTTAGCCCAACTCGCTGCCATGTCCCCAATTTGCAATGCTATTATTCTCCCCGCCACAGCACTCTATCGCTCAGCATTACCTACGCCAGGTACCTACGTAGGTAATGCATTATGACATCGCCTGGTGAGCCACCAAGGAAGCATCGATGTGCACTCATTCCTGTGTTGATATCTATGAGGCATGTATAGAGGTATATGCAAATAGTACATAATGCGCCCCCATTGGCCACTGGGACCATCATGTACGTACCAATCGATAACAGCCCCACGGCAGGGGATGGGAAATAAAAAACCCTCCCCATTCCAGCAACTAGGAGGCAGCTATTATCTACGTCCCATCTTACTTCCCTCAATTCCCTACACCAGCATGACTATCTGACGGCGACATCCACAAGCCCAAATGCCAACTCGTATACGCATTCGGGTTATCGTAGACATGCCTCAAGATCGACGAATATAAGCCACACTTCGGTGCGACCAGTAGCCCTATTATGCCGACATCATCCTCGGCTAAAGCATCTGCTCCATGACAGCTTTCCGCTTGCGACCACCTGATAGTTCTATCGAGCTGCTCCTTTGGAGAGCCAGCGCGCCCCGATGGCTTCCGCGCCGTATGTTTTCCCTGTTGTGTTTATATCTATGATTAAGCACTTCCGGGGCTGTGTAGCCTCCACCACCACAACGCGAGCGCTTCTCCCCTTGGCAGCGAGTTCTCCGAGCTGACCCGCTACCGGTAACCGTAGGACATTCAGGGAGCTTGCGAAAGTCGTCGACAGCTTCGTACCGAAAGCCAGCGTCCCACTGCCTGAGGACCTCGTCGAGGTCATCGATGCCTACCTCTACCGCCACGAGAAATTCGACGAAGCTGTAGCCGACAAAGTTCATGAGATGTTGCTCGCGGTATTCCACCGAGATGTCGCCCAAGTGCCTTCTCGATACACCGCCTTCGTCGCCATCCTCCGTCGCTTGCGCCCCTTGATAGGTCAGCCTGCGAAAATATTTCAATGGTTCGAGCTGTTGCTACCTGCGCTTGACTACCTCAACCAGGAGAAAGACCTGGCGGTCGAAATGGAAGGTGTGCTTTTGGACGTACTAACGGCCGACGACGGCAACGACCCAAGCACACCAACCGGAGGCGCTGCCCCTCAAGTCGCGGAACGGACACTTTTGCTATGGTTCGACGAGTACGAGGCCATCGGGAAGACTATCGAGACCATCTCAGACTTCAGAGAAAAACAGTTGCGGAAGACGATACTACAGTACGGCAAGAAATGCCCAAAAGTGCGTGCCGTGCCGTGGCCCCTTTTCCTCGCAGTCTCTGCAGCCTACTTACTGGTCTTAGGATCTCCTGACCGTCATCAACCTATATGTGGAAAAGAAGGGTTATCGCGCTCGTGCCTTATCGTTTCTGGCCTTCTTCGTCCAAAGCCAGCCACCACATCTACATTTGATTCTTCAAACTCCCCTGTTTGGTAACTTGATTAACTGCCTCCAACTCGACACATCCACAACTGTCGTATCTCTAGCCTTGTCTGCCTTGACGATGATTCTACCCCATATGCCGAGCTCCATCGTTCCTCATTTGCCCGCGCTATTTAACATATATGCGCGGTTGCTCTTTTGGGAACGGGTGTTATCGTCCCAAGCCACGGCTGGAGAACGCAGATTGTCCCCGAACGCGCTTGTGTGGGAGAAGCTAGCCTACTCTCCTGTCTCTGACGAAAATACGATTCCACCTCTTGTCCATTACTTCACGATCCTATACGGCCTTTATCCCATCAACTTCATGGATTACATCCGGAAACCCCAGAGATATTTGCGGCACGCCGAGGTGCCCGATGCCGACGACATTGAGGTGCAGCCTACTGAGATACGCCACGCGTCCGAGCGCTTCCGACAATGCCACCTTATCCACGAGAACTTCTACACCCTTACCATCGATTCTGAGAAGACAGATTTCGGAAGGTGGATAAAAAGCGAGCCGGCTGAAGTGGTAGCTGGCTGCGTGGCTCTGTGTCTATCGAGCGAGGCATTGGTTAACCAGAGCCCACCGGACGTTATTCACGTGAGAGCTCTCGATAATGACGAATCCGACAAGGAAGGCCGCGAGTCCGCTCTCCTTTCTAGCTCCTTTCCCGTCGGCACGCAGGGTCTCGGAGCGTTTCAAAGGGATAACCGGTGGAACACAGCCTCTACGCAAGCCGAATCTGCCTCGAGTAGCCGGATTCAGTCGACTTTGATGCGTAAATCCTCGCAGAGTAGCCACTTGTCAAACAGGGATTCCTCCAGCCCCATGCCATCTAGAAATGGCCCCGAGAGCCCAACCCTATCTCGTCAAATTGTACAATCCGGGTCGCAGACGCAGCTCCAAGATCTGATTAATTCTAACAAGGCCATCAAGTCTGGACTGCACCAATCCTTGGCTAACGACAGCGTCCCGTCCCTTACGTTAAGCCATCGGGAATCGATTTCGGACCGTCCCGTGTCGCAGCTCCAGCCGAACCTACCGGTGCCTCCCGCTTCCTCATCCCCAGCCAGCAGTGCCGATGCTCAGTTAGCAAATCTGAAGCGCCAGATAATATTATTACACAATGACCTTACATTTGAACGGTTCATGAAGCAGCAGCACCTCACACATATGGGCGAGCTACGGAGGCGACACGTGCGAGAGGCAGCGAGCGAGGCGGAGACTCAGAACTTAATCATTCAACACCGCCACCTAAAGCAACGGCTAGATGATGCGAAGAAATCCGAAATACAGGCAAAGACGGAATCAGATAAGAGGAGTATGCTTGCTAAGAAGTGGGAGGCCGAACTCACCGCCAAGTTAAGAGTACTTCGCGAGGAGCAGAGGAAATGGAACGCAGAACGGAAATCATTACGAGAAGAGCTCAACGCAGCGAGAGACGAGGCGGAAAATTTGCGCCTGCTGGTCTGCGAGGCTGAAGTAAGGGAATTAGGGTTGAAGCAAAATATGCAGTCAGTCGAGATAAACGTCAGCGAGCTGGAGAGGCTAAGGCGGGAAGTGGAGCGGCTGGCCGAGTCCGAACGAAATTACCAGGCGAAGGATTCGGAACGTCAAGCTGCGGCGGCGAGAGAGGCCGAAGTAGAAACCCGCGTGGAGATGCTGGAGATGAAGCTGAAATCTAGCGACTACGACCTCGAGCAAATGCGCCGTTCGTATCAATCGCAGATTACCGCGCTCAATATCAAGCTACAGGATGCACTAAAAGGCTGCACAGAACGCAACGCCGAGAGTATTAAGTTACAGATGGAGGGTGCGCTTGAGGCGAGCCGAGAACAGCAAGTGGTGCTGAAGCACCGCATCGCAGAACTTACGAAAAAGAATACAGCGTTGCAAACAACCGTGCTCGAGCTTCAATCTACAGTATTCAGTTCCTCGAAGCCGGATCCGCATCCTCCCATCGATCCTGACGCCGATTTATCCTCCGAATCGGGTACTTCTCTCACGTACAGAAGTCGTCGGCGCCATGGGTTTTCGGCGGCAGATATGTTCGAGGGAACTTCGTATAATCCTACGCCGCCGCTCGAACCATACAACCTGAGCGGATCCGCGGGCAGCCAAGAGCAGGGTCAGGGTCAACGGTCACCTACGCCGGTAGGAGCCGATACACTTTCGTCAGGCAAAGGTAGCCCCACGGTAGAGCGGTATCTCGGGCGAGGTGAGCTGTTCGGATTCGCTTCGACGTCAACATACGCCAATGCTAACCTTGCTAGGAGGCGTACAAAATCTACGTAAGGATAAGAAGGATAAGAAAGAGGAGAAGGAAAAGAAAAAGTCTACAGGTCTGCGGAGTATCAGAGGATTCGTCTAGTTGTATCGAAAAAGACCCTGGGCAACTCCACGGCCATGCGAGAAACCACAGGCATCGCCAAGTTGCAATGCACAATCCCAGGGATGTAGACAATAGCTCTAAGCAGCCGCATGGCTTGCGCGGCAGGGCCGTCATTTTAGGTATCACGGAGCTGTAAACAGCACGGTGGACCAAGAACCGAGTGAAGGGTATGTCAACAGGAGTTATACCCCTTCGAACGCAGTGATGGAATACTGTCTAGACAGAGCTCACTAGAAGCAATCTCCTAGTAAGCGCAAGGGCAACGCTCTACCATTCTTCCTATCTCTGTTCTCTCCCGTCTAAGTCTGCCGAGTGAACGACCGGCCGGGCAACTGGATCCCACAGGGTCGTCGACGAGATGTGCGAGCAATAGGCTATTGCAGAGTGGACAAGGCTACTACTAGCTACATAACCTCGCCATGCCCATATACATGCATCTCATATACTCAACGTAGAATATACATAATATATCCTCGGAACGTCTGAAACCGCCGCCACAGCCCCTGCGGCCATTGGTACTAACATCGCACCGAGCCATGTTAGGTACCTAGTATTGCATACGTAAGATGTAGGTAGGTACTTACCTGTAAGGAACGGGAGGTTCCTTACCATTCCACCAGACTTCTGCGTATTGCTCGCAACTACGACGTGGATATACTGTAGAAGTTGAAGAGGCGCCGGCCTATGCACGCGGTCGACGAATTGCAATTACAGAGGCGTGGATTTGGAATTAAGCTGCTGGCAAGACTCTGGAGGGCTACGACTCGACGGCCGTCCCATACTCGCCTCGTATCCGTCGTTCATGAGTACATAAACGCCGGTGGCAGGCCGGGCCTATCCACGCCACCGCTCACTAGCAGTACGTCTCTAGGTGGGATACTAAAATAGATGACGAGCTCCGTTGCGAGTCATGGGATGCGCGTGCTGCCCAGACTATCCCGAGGTAGACCTAGGAGGTACGGCAACCTACTAGACCTAATACATGCGCATGTGTATGCCGACAACTTCCCAACATGCAATACCACCTGATGGTTCCGTGAAGCCCGGGCAGTCTGGCGGCGCATTACTTATTACATAACGTATCCATACGAGGAGGACGGCTAGTTTGGTACGTATATTAGACTTTACGCACCTAACCTACCTGGCAGGTAGGTAGTCCCCCTTTGCATTCCTAGATTCCTCTCCTGTTGCAAGGAGGTGTCTAGCATCCCATCGATAGATCGCCCTTTTACCATGCGCGCGTGCGCCATGCACATGCAGCAATCACGAGCCGGCCCTTAAGTTCTCATTCCGATGCGCACAAGGGGGGTAAACGCGCAGAAACGCTTCCGACCTCTCGGTTCGTGGGCCGGGCTGCGCCACGCTATTGTGTCCAGCCGGGCTGGTCAAGCAGGCCTGCTGGTGGTAGCGGTGGCGGTCCCGTACGCGTCTTGCGCCGACGGTTCCCTCGTTCTCATACGTGGAATTCTGCGCAGGTGCGTAAGTATGATGCACACAGGCGCTCCGGTACGTGCGCGGATGTAAGCACCCTTAACGATAAATCTAGATGCGAGAAGAGGCGGGTCCGTCCGTTCTGTCGTTCGCTATTTGGCGGCGTCTCGGCGATGGCCAAGCTGCGGGTGATCGGGACTTGGAATGCCTGCAGGGACTATATACGACAAGTGATTTCGCAGGGAGAGAGGGGGGGGGGGGTTCCATACGTTTACTCATATACCGTGTGCACACAGAGGCCTAGGCACATGTATGGGTGCGTTATCGGTTCGGCAGGCGACGCTATCGATGCTGTATACGGGGCTCGAATACGAGGATCCGGCAGGTCGTTACCAGGCGGTCGGCTTTGTTTCCGACCAGCAGGCGACGGCGTTCCCCGTAGCCGAGTTGGGCAGTTGTTGTCCGTTTGTGAAACGGAGGATTCGCCCATATATACGCGCCGCCCAGCCCATGTTGAACGATTGTCTGAAACAAACGCTGCAAATATCCAACAGGCGGCACGCCTCACATATAGCACTGTTTACGTGTACAGCCCATCGGAATCGTGCACTGCTCGCCTACCCTACTCGCCTGCCCTGCTGGTAGGCGTCGCCTCTCGGCACTGGTATGCTGGATCGGGGGATTCTGAGACTGAGCGTGGCCAACAGGAGGTACGCAACGCGTGCGTCTTCTGTGTGTATGATGTATTTATTGAAGATAGGGGTAGAAAGACGCAGAAACAAACACGCAACAAAGCAACTACGTATACGTAGGAGGTAGGCGGGCAGGTATCTACATAGCTACATACACAGTGAAGGGAGTGGCGCTCGACGCAGGGGCAAAAGGACAGGGTTACGGATCCTGATTGGGTCGATCGGCGGCTCCACCTAGACACTCCACCCCCTCGGGACCAACCAAGATGGAGCCACCCGAGAAATGCCAGGGAAAGAAGGGAATATATGTAGGTAGGTAGTACCTAGGTAGGTACCTAGATACCTCCTCGCAAATATCTGTGTACCTATGTAGGTACCCGATGCAGGTGTGGGTACCCAAGGCGGAAGGTAGGTTAGGTACCTGTTGAGGCGATGACATTGGTTGTGCATCACATCACCTACCAGGAACCTGTCAACGACAAGTGCCTGATCAGGTCCTAAACATCCCACAGCTAACCGGCCTCCAGCTTACGTGTAGGCATTGGTGTAAAGATGCGCGTGTATTCGGTACTCAAGCTTACGACGACACCTCGACGGCTGGAGAGGTAGAGAGATACCTACGTGGTGATCCAGGCGCTATGGATCGAGTTGAGACACTTGAACGCCAAACAATAATAGCAATGATGACGATAATAATAACAACAGCAGCAATTATGTACTCCCTACGTAGGTAGCACTGCCTGCCTACCTATATGGCATTGTGCCGTACATCGGCAGACTATCAGGTACCTACCAGGGCGTGTGCTATTTTTGTGTTGACTGGTAGTGTTGTCATACCCTCTGCCCTGCTTTTTTCTTATTAGTCCTTTTCGCCTCTTCCGCTCATATTTCACCTTCCGCTGTCCTTCTCCCTCTCTTTCCTCTACACAATCTCGTAACCATAGGAAAGACTACCCACCAGTCACTCATGAATCACTCTCGTTGATACCAATTTCTGCATACACAGAGCCTTTGGTCTTCTGCTTCTTTCCCTCGTTCTCCGGGCCGAGTCCAACACCAGCAAGCCGCACTCGTTCGCTGTCACTGATTCTGTCTGCCAGACCAGGCGTGCCTTGGGTCTGCAATAATACTTCCCTCTAATACCCCCTCGACGACCTCACCATCCAAAGGGAAAAAGTAAGAATTAGCAATACCAGACTTGCTTTGTACCATATTTATTGGTGGGCAAAGCATCCGCATCAACCTCGCGTCCTAGGTCTACTCTAGAAACCTACACCTTTTACCTAATAGACGCCCCCTAATACCGCTATCACCATGCGCTCCTTCGCATCTCTCCTCACCCTGGCCTCCACGGCCGCCGCCATCAAGGGCTTCAACTACGGTGCCACATTCACCACCGGTGCCGTCAAGCAGCAGGCCGATTTCGAGGCTGAGTTCACCGCTGCTCAGACCCTCGAGGGGACTTCCGGCTGGACTAGTGCCCGCCTCTATACTACGGTGGTAAGTACACGTTTAACCGAAGGAAGGAAGATTCCATCGTCCCAGTTCGTAGTAGACCGCGTCTGCTAACCCGCGTGCGCGTCGTAGCAAGGCGGAACCGCCAGCGACCCCATCTCGGCCATCCCGGCGGCCATCAAGACCAAGACCACTCTGCTCCTCGGTCTGTGGGCGTCCGCGGGCGACGAGTCGTTCGCCAACGAGATCAAGGCCCTCCGGGCCGCCATCGACCAGTACGGCGACGCCTTCACCAGCCTCGTCGATGGCATCTCCGTCGGCAGCGAGGACCTGTACCGGAACTCGCCCACCGGCATTGCGGCCGGTTCCTACGTCGGCGCCGAGCCGTCCACGCTCGCCCGCTACATCCGAGACACCAGGGAAGCCATCAAGGGCACCGCTCTCGAGAATAGCCCCATCGGCCACGTCGACACGTGGACGGCGTGGGTCAACGGGACGAACCAGGCGGTGATCGACGCGTCCGACTGGCTCGGCATGGACGCCTACCCCTACTTCCAGGACACCGTGCCCAACGACGTGTCGCAGTCGAACCAGCTGTTCCAGGAGGCCCTCGCCAGCACGCAGGCCGCCGGCGGCTCGAAGCCCGTGTGGATCACGGAGACGGGCCACCCGGTCAGCGGCAAGACGGTCGGCCAGTCGATCGCGTCGGCCGACAACGCCGAGACCTTCTGGAAGGACGTCGTGTGCCCTCTCGTCGCGAGCGGCGCCCACCTCTGGTACTATACCCTCCAGGACGCCGCGCCCGACACCCCGGACCCGAGCTTCGGCATCGTCGGCAACAAGCTCTCCAACAAGCCGCTGTTCGACCTGAGCTGCAGCAACAGCACCAGCGGCGGGTCCTCCTCCTCATCCTCGGCTCCTTCCTCATCCGCTACCAAGCCTCCTAGCTCCTCGACCGCCTCGGGCGCCGGCGCTTCCGCCACCCAGTCCGCCACCCAGCCCGCCGGAAACACGGGAGGCGGCGAGGGATCCTCTACCCCTACGTCGGCCGTTCCCAACCCTGGCTCGACCGGAACCATCCCCGGCTCCGGCTCTGACTCCGGTTCTGGCTCCGGCTCCGGCTCTGGTGCGGGCACTAACGGAACCTTCACCGCGCCGCCAGCCGCCACGTCAACCGTCCCCGTGACGGGCACCGGGGCCACCGGCATGCAGTCGGGTGCCTTTGTCGCCGCCTTCACCGCCATCATGGCCGCCATCTTCGCCCTGTAAACGTGCTAGGCGAGGAACTCGCAGAGGAAAAGGGGGCTGTTCGCGACGGGCGGACTCGGGTACATCATGACGGTCGGCGTTGTTTTTTTTTTTCGCGCATCTTTTTCACGAGAAAATCGGATCTGTCCCCCCCCAGGTCGGGCCGGCTTTGACCTAGGTATACTCCGGTTCTCTCTGTCCTCCTCTTCGCTCTCTTGTGTTCGCGTCGCGAAGAATGGGGCGGAAACTGGTGGGCTGCGGCAGACATAGACGGCAAGCCGGCGAGGCAGGCTTGTCCTTTCGTCATCACGACACGGTGCATACATACATACAGGTGGATATGGTTTGGGCCTAGGTCGAAAACGGCCGGGCGTAACTATTCTGGGGATAAAGCCGGCGCACACGCGTGCGCATTGTAATGTTCTGCTGCTCTGTTTCGCTCTGTAGAAGGGCTGCGCTGGCCTGCTTTTTTTACGAAGAATTCACGGTATATATTTGTGGCAAATTCTGTTCTCCTTAATTCTGTGTGACTGTAGCGGCAGGTTGGGGGGGGGAGGGGGGTGCGCTGCCGCGCAGTTGGCTGGTAGCTCGCTTAACCGGCGACTTGCTGACTTCAGTAGCAAGTCGCTGATAGACCATCTGTGCATTTTCATAGGCCTCAACGGACACTACGGATTCCCGCCTCCCTAACCACAAGTAGATACAAGATGTAGCGAAGGGAAAGAGGAGGAAACACGGCACTTCACGGACCTGCGACGAAGGGATATCGTTGTATTCGAAACTAAGGCCCCCTCGGCCCCTCCTTTTCTTTTTTCCCCTAAATCCCCCACCTGTAGCCCACAAACGCCGAACTATCCGCACATTGTCCGCACCCGCCATTTTCCTCATCATGGTGCTCCCCCCCCCCTGATATCATGAAATCATCTAGACTGAAACACTGAGCCTAGCTTCATAGCGCGTACCTGGATGTCTCGTAAGGTTGTCCATTAGGCCCCTCGTCTTCCTCGCCCTGGGTTACCTCTGTGACGGTTACTATGCCATGGACCGGCTTCAACCTCCCAGTTTCCTCCGAGACATCCTCCTTCCGGTCACATTTGACCGAGAAGCATTGAAAGGCGCCGACTATGGCAACGAGGGTACTACCATACCATGCGAGACCGGTGCAATCAATTTGCGACCCGATAGTGTACAGGTATCCGGCGACAGGCGGAGCTACCATGCGGCAGGCTGCGCCGGCGCTGGCTGCAAACCCGTTTACCTTTCCCAGGACTGACGGGCAAGGGGTGGCTTCCTTGATGAGGATGAGAAGAAGAGGGTACAGGATGATGGAGAAGACGTTCCGAACCGCTAGGCAGAAGTAGATCCCGACATACAGCAGAGAGTCCGGCAAGTGGACTAGAGTGGGGACGATGGCATAGACAACCGGGTGCAAGATAGTAGCGAGGATGAACAATCTAAAAACACCAATGATTTCAGCGGCCAGGGGGAACACTACAACCTGGACGAAAAGCGCAATTGCCCCGTTTATAGCCATGATAAAGCCCACGGACTGCACGGATAAGCCTAGGCCGCCGGGTGAGTATAGGGGGTTGAAATGCGAGAGAATTCCCCCTCCTGGAGCGTACTCGATGGGGACCCTCTCGTCTTCGAAGAAGATGGGCAGAAGATGGTCGTAAGTCATCGAATGGTAGGTGAAAATCGAGAGGGCAATGACGAGAGCCATAATGCGCCTGGTAAAGATGTTGAAGCACTTCCCCCCTTTCGGTTCCTTGGGGCGAACTGGATCATGAATGAACTCGACGCTGTTTCTACCCCTGAACGTCCCGTATGTTTCCGAACGTAGATCGACAGCGGGCTGCTTAATCGCATCTGAGGTTTCCATGAGAGGGGTTTCGTCGGAGACGTAAGTGTCATCGGGGAGCATGACGCGTGGCGCCATGTCGGGATGTGTCTCCTCAAGCAGGAAGTATCCTAGGCAGATGCTGACTAGTAGAAGGGCGGCGCAACAAAGGTTGGGGAGGAGATAAGGAAAGTCAGCGAATAGGCTACCCTTCGGAAAGGTACCGGGATAGGATTCATGAGGATCTGCGAGTATGCCTCCAATCGCCGGCCCGATGATTGTCCCTATGGACCAGACAAAAGGCATCACAGAATAGGCGCGAGCTGCGACATTAGCATTGTGTTGTGAATGTATCGAGAAGCGGCTGCTGGGGGCCTTTCGATTTGGACTTACGCTCATGCTCTGGCTTGGTAACCAATTCCCCAACCATGGTCTGGATAACGCCGATGTTGCCATTTAGCAACCCACCGAGCGCCCGTCCGCACAGAGCGGCCCAGATATTGGTAGAAAACCCAACTACTACCATACTGAACATCGTGCCGACACATCCTAGCAAGAGGACGGGTTTCCGACCAATTCTGTCGGATAATCCGCCCCAATACATGCCCATCAGCGCTTCGGCAAGGGCGAAGGAGGAGATCTAGAGCACCCGGGAGTTAATAAACCCGTGACAGATAGCGCGTTCTCTCCCGCGTCTATACGTACGAGGAGGCCGGCGTACAACGAGGCATCTTGCTCGTTGCCGATCTTGAATCTCTTCACGAGGGCCCAGGCGTAGGGGAAGATGGAGGTAAGAGCGATGGGCTCAGCTAGGCGGACGATGGCTGCGGCCGGAGGTCAATAATGAGCCGTCACAAGTTGTACTCTGGCGAGGAGGGGAGCCCACCTAGTATGAAGAGTTGAACGGTGGGGAAGTCATCCGGATTTCGGGTTGATCTCTGCTTTGTTAGGACCATTGCTTCGCAACTTGGTATTGTTCTTACGACTAGCAGACGCAGCACTTGGCACTTGACCTGAGGCTTGCGGGGCACTGAAGTAGAAGAGCAAGCAACTCGCGTGTTGCGGCGGCAGGTGGTGCCTTTTCTCTCCCTTTCATCCGGTCGGACAGCCAAGTGCGTTATCCGCGGAGAGCTGCCTTCGCAAGCTCGCTTCTTCTTTTTCTTCTTCTCCGGCTTGATATCTTGCTTCTCTTCTTTCTCTATCTACGTCACTGAACGTATATCAAGCTGTCACGCCGAGGGGTGGTATCGTGCTGCGGAGCACAAAAGACAAACGTAGGAGCAGAGCCGGAGTTCGGTCTCTGAGCAGGTCTAGAAGCAGGATTATGTGGTAGGTATTATATAGGTATATTAAAACGAGCAGCGCAGAGTCGGATGGCGGTTATTGGCATGAGCAGGTGTGCCGGCGAGCAGACAGGGTAGCATTCGAAGGGTTGGCGGGTTCGTAAGATTGGTAGTAGGGTGGGAACGAGCAGGAGGATGGGAGGAGGAGGAATCAGAGAAATGTACGATGAATCGGACGTGTCAAGAAGAAATGTGGAGAGGACAGTGTGGATCTGCGTTACTGCCATGATAGTCGACCTCGATAAGTCATTATTTGTATTCAACGCATCGCCTCCGTTGTTATCTAATAGCGCGTGCGCGCAGGGCTAGGTTGGCAATAGTTTCTTTCTTTCTTTCTTGCAGCCTTCATGCTAAGCTTCCTACCTTGCCTAGGTGCCATACCTAACCTAACCTACCTAGGTTACCTCTTTGCATCTACCTATAGGTTCCTACCTATAGTATACCTGGGAGTAAAAGGTAGATACCTGCATTTTTGGGCCAACAATGAGGGAGGTAGGTAGGTAGGTAGGTAGGCAGACAGTATTATCGCTATTGTTGTTGATATTTAATGATTACCCACTGGACGTCTGCGTGCATCATGGGTACTACGTCAGCAGGCAAGGCATCGGAGATGGCGAGGGCGAGAGAGAAAAGAGCGTAGGTGAGTTCTTCGTATTTCCATCCACAACTTCGCAACTGTAACTGCGGACACAGACGGGTGATTGAAGACCCACCGACCCGGTCAGGTACCACTCCAACAGCTGGCCGTTGCTGATCTTTACAACGACGACGACGACAACGACAACGACAACAACACACTATGCTTGTCCCCGTCTGAGCGCAAACACCCACACAGACATCTCCGTACACGCGCACCCCCCCGCCCGCTGGAAGTCCGCAGTCGGGCAAGAAGAGGTTCAACGTTGATTCACCCGAAGGACGACCGAGATGAGGGATGGCGCCTGGGCGATAGCCCCGGATGCGGCGCCCGGAGGGAAGACGAAAAAGAAAAAGGCAGAATCGAACCGAATTTGGCGTCGTCCACTCCGCCCGTCTGGCGGTCTAGATACGTGTAGACGGCTGTCCTGGGCGTGGCAAATGGTGCACGCTGCCGACGAGACTCCATTGGGCGCCTCCCCGTTTCCACGGCATTGCAGCCGCCAATGCACGCACGCACGCATGGCACAGCCGTTGCCTCCATGGTTCTCGCGGCACGATGCGGATACGTTACGTGGGCGGGTAGGATACAGAGGTCCTACGGCGTCACATCGAAAACGGAACGATCTCGATGCGAGCACTGCAGGGTAATCGACAGACAGACATATATGTGCGTAGAGAGAGACGATATCAACAGCTAGACAGCCAGATAGGCGACCCCCAGGCAGGGCAGGATTTGGTGATCTGCGGCGCACCGAGACTGGCCAATCGTGTAATACAGATTCGGGCGGCAGTGCGGGGCCCAGGTGTTGGCGGCTGCGTTTTCACATGGTTCCTCGTAGGCTGCCGTCGGCTGCGGTATCGCTCTACAGAAGGGACGTATCAACTTGCGCACAATCTCGTGGCGCTGCCGAATCGAGAGATCTTCCAGACGCTAAGGGAGGGGCACCAGGCGCTAGTCACCTTTCTTGTTGACCAGGCACTAGTCAACTTGGTACTTGGTGGGTCAACTCGGCCCACTCTTCGCTTCCTAACTACCTACCTAGTCACCTAGGTAGTTGCTGGGAAATTCCGCCTCCTCCGTTCTTCCCAACTCGTCCTCTCTACCCCCTACTCCTACCGACTTCGCTACCTACACAAGTCCTGCCGATAGCCGCCTGCCTGAGCAAGCCGAAAAGCAAGGAGGCAAAGAAGGAGTGCGAGATACCCCCCCACGAGCCCGAGATGGCCCATTTCCCTCTGGTGTTCTGCTCCTCTTCTCCCGTTTCTCTCCTCTCTTTAGAATCATCGTCTCGACCTAGCCTGTCAAGAACGAAGGCTGGCGGACGGCGCGATAGCTGCGGAGCGTAGGTATACATGCTTACATGCATCGCCCTTTTCTGCTTACTTGGAGATGGATTCGACAGACATGTGGAGAAGTGGCTTGTCCCTCTTCTTCTTCATCTCGTTCTCCGCCAGGGCCTTCTCCGTCGACTTTGAATGCATGACACATACAAATCCCTCTCTGCGCCTCGTCCGGTCAGGTTGGCCGGGTCAAAACCAGGCGATCTCAAAAATGGCCAGACTCAACTAGCGCAGACCGCGTTATCAACTGTCAACTTCGGCGCCCATTCCGGTAGTCCCGACACCGGAAATTCGCGGATTTGTCGCCCTACCAGCCCGCCATCCTCTCTCGATCATCACGCAAATTTTCAACCGCCGCTAGGCTTCACCATGCCCGCATTCTCGTCTAGTTTAATTCATGTCGTGCGCAAGGACCCATACTCTTGTCGTTCTTGGCCTTCGTCTAAGTGCCCCCTCCCCCCTCCCCCCTCCCCCCTCCCCCCTACCAGCCGTACTAGCTGTACTACTCTAGCTCCTCCTTGTCGTCTCGCTCCCCCCACTATCGCGCGCATCGCATATCATATAATATGTGCGAGCACAAGCACAGAGCACCAGCACAGGGCAAGGTCTCTCTCATCCTTCCTAGGTCGCATCATGCAATGCCAGGTAGTCCCCGCCGTTATAGCATGTCGCATGGGTTTCGCGCATGCGGCTAGTGGCCGCCCCGGGGTGCCCTCGCACCTAGCACTTCTACTACGTTGCCGCCCTACCTCACTGCCGCACACTACCGCACCCATCATGCTATGAACAAAGTAACGGGGAAAACAATAAAATATGCCGGACCCCTTGCTGCCGTCGCCACTGTCTCATGCGGCTTTAACTAGAGAACCACACTGCGCAGTCTTGTGGTACTGGGCAAGTCGCTAACAAACATTCCTTACGCGGGGAGAGCAGCCATACGGTGGTCAGGCCACCGCTCTTCTCGTTTGCGGGGAATTTCTCTTATACGCTCCCTCGTTGCGTTCTCTCCTCGCACTCTGTGGTTGCCTCCCTATGGCTGCCTCCCTCTCGTCTCCGGGTACGTACGCAGTCTACGGCGTTGCACAAAATTGCCTCGATCCCTTGCCCTCCCTCAGCCCTGCCCCCTTTTCCAAAATCTCGTGCGGTGTCATGTTCAATAAGCACCAGTAGGATATTGTCCCTCTCTAGCAGACTTGTTCAACCACCGTTAAACAACAAGCTTCGGATAAGGATCGACAAGAGAAACTGCGAAATGATATCATGCGGGAGAAGTACGGCCTATTCCTGCGTATGTCTTCCTAATTGGTTGCATTGGGCACCCCCGGCTACGATGTCGACGTCCGGGCATCGATGTTCCCCTTATTACCGCTTCTCGATACGGTGACTAGCTCGCGTCTCGCTTAGCAACCAAGCAAGACTTGAAGTCTCCAAAAGACGTAGGCTGCAATGCATGTCCTGACTAGAGGGCTTAGCTACGCAGCATTGTATGCCTGATAGCTCCGAAAACATCGCTTGGAGTCGAGTCTAGTTGGAGTTCTGTGGGCTACATATGTATAACCTGGGACGCTGTTTGCTCACACGGGCCTTCTCTCGGGGGCGGTATCCTGTGGCCATTTCTCAGTTCTGCTGGGACGGGCATAACCTCGCCATCTCTTGCGCAGGGCCTATATTTCTCCCCTGCGTGGTCTCACCCATACCTACCTACAATTGATGGTTGTGCCCAACCACCGACAGTTGTTTACGGCTTCGTTAGGTAATTTGAAGAACGTCATTGGGCAGGCATGTGCGTCTCCGATCCAGTTGGAGTCACTAAATGCGTAGGCATCTGCCGGTCTGTCATGATTATCCTTCAGAAAGACCGACGATCGACTGCTCGCTATGTTTGGGCTTCATACATACTCCCGGGCGTATGATATATGCTGCGGCGCGCGTCGGTCAGAAAAAATAACGGTAGTTGGTCAAGAATTCGTTGCCGCCGGTGAGTTCTGCAAATCATCCAACCGGTTGGATATCTAAGTATCTTATAGTATGGTTGGTATCGTGCCTCCAAAATTGAGCTCGCTCCCTTTCCCGTAGTCGTCTAGGGACAGGGAGCAGCGCAAGAAGCCACCGTCCTAATGCATAAATTGCGATTATCCGGCGGCCCTTATCAAGACATAGACGCCATGCCGAGCGGATTGTCTGTTCTCCCACGGTCCCTACAGCAAATGCTACGCGATGATGCGCACCCAGATCGACGCACCCTACCTGATATGATTGAAGCATCCGCCTCCCCGTTACGCACGACCCAATCACCTTAAACAGAGCCAGCAGACGAATTGGGCTCCTACCTAGCTCACGTAGGTACGACCCGAGTAAACCCGCTTATCGTTTCACTCCACTTCTCGCTCTTCTTGTCCTTCTCTTCTATTCTTTCCTTGCCCGCCTACGCACACCGAGAGGCCTCGAATAGCTCCTCGAGCTCGTAGAGCGACACCCCTAGTAATTGTGACAGTCGGCTCCTCAGCTCGTCGAGGGATATCTCCGACTTGCTCGGGCGGTCCCCTAACACCGGCCGCTCCACCATACAGAGTCGTGTGCGCGCCGAGATTCCCTCCTCTCCCGTCTCTTTTGCGCCACAATGTCCCCGCCGCCGGGGCCTGTCGTTTTTCTTTTTCCCGTACGCATCGTTGTTGCTCTTCTCGTGATTCTTATCATGTCCCACGGACGGCATGGTGGTTACCGGCCTAGTTCTGTGGACCGACGTCTGACCGGCTTTCCCGCTACCCACCCCCATTATCTGGACTGCCGCTGGTTTTAGAGTTACTGCTGTTGTTACTATTGTTGATGATGGCGGTGTTAAGAGCGTTGTGGTATACGAGGACAGCCGCGGTCTAGGCTCCTCAATCACGTCGTCGGTGGCGACGGGCAAGTCCATATCCGGGCAGAGGTACCCATCGTACTGAGGGATACGGAACTGCCCTCCCGGGAGCCGGTTCCACACCCAACCTTCGCCTGCGCAGTGAAAGTCCGCGATGGCGGCCGTTGCATGGCCGCCCGCCGTAGCCGCCCGCGCGCAGATGCCGACCTCTCCAAGGACATCCTCCGTTGTAAGCACCCGCGGCCAAATCAGATCCCTTGCGGGGTCGTCGCGCATATCAAGCCAGCATTGCTCGGAGAAGAGTCGGGCGACGCTGTTCCGAGAGATGGTCAGCCTTTTACCCCTTCAACCATATGCTCACCTACCTGATCCGACGCAACTTCATCACATAAAATCAACGAAAAGGAAGGGGAGGAGGACTTACTAGTCGACGGATATCGAGTAGTGGGCGCGGTGCTTAGGGCGGAGCCTATGATAATCCCAGCTCAGAAACTGCCGCCACGCGAGACCGTCCTCGAAGCCAAGTTTCGTCCCTCTCCTTCCACCACCCCCCTCTCGATCGGCCTCGGTCAGGTCGCCGATCGGCACTGGTACCCACCCGCCAAAGACAGAGGCAACGAAGCTGTCGCCGAGCTCCATCTCGAGGTCGCCGCCGTAAAAGGGCTCGTGAAGGTTCCCTGGCACTGCCCGGCGGTCTATCCAGTAGATCGCGTGTCCGAGTCTGGAAACGGTTCTGTCAGCAGCGGCCAGGCCCATCGCTACATCGCTCGAATTCAAAGGCTAGAGGGAAGGGGAAGATGGAATTGCAAAGGGGGGGGGGGGGGGGGAGAAAAAGGGGCACACACTCGTGTAGTATCGTCACGGCCGCCATGAACGCCGTGAGCAAGTACTCCTCGCCGTGCTCCTTCCCGCACCTCCTCAGCTCCGCCATCCGCGCGGGGAACTCGGCAGCCACCAGGATTGTCAGGTCGTTATACCTGCTAGCTCTCCCTGCCGGCTCATCGTCTCCCTCTCTATTCCTACCCCCGTCTCCTCCGCTGCGCGTGGCCCCGTGGCCGTCATCGGACACCGCGAGTGAGGCCCCTCCGCACCGCGGGTGCCGACACGTGTACCCAACCCATCCCCGCTGCCGGAATATCCGGGCGTCGAGCTGCCATGTCGTGGCGCGCGCCACCGCCTCATCTGCGAGCCGGGCCTCCGCCGTGCGCAGCCACTCATCCCGCTGCCCTCCGCGCTCCCTCGCGTCCTCCTCCCCGCCCACGCTATGTTCCTGCGAGGACCCCGCGTTGCGCCGTCGGCGGCGGTGGTGCCGGACGATGGTAGTAGTAGCAGCGGCAGCGCTGGCAGCGGCAGGACCGGCACTCGCAGCCGCCGCGGCCCCCGCGGGGCCCAAGCCGGAGCCGAAGCTGCACCGGCAGCTCGGGGCGCGGCCGCCGTAGTCCGGCGCGAAGACGCCGTGGGCTAGGAAGTCCGAGGCCCAGGGCAGCCCGGCGGCCCGCAGCACGCGGCTCGCGAGCCGCAGCGGCTGCTCGAGCTCCGCGCGCAGAGCCACCTCGGCGTCGCTGCCCGCCCACCCCGCGAACACCGGGTGCACCGCGTTCTCGAGGCCCAGCACCCGCGGCGTCGTCGTGCCTGGGTTATGTCGTCAGCGCGTAACGAGAGGGAAGAGGTGGTGATGGGCTGGGCAGCAAGGGGCCTATCGACCAACCTATCGCGCCGCATCTCCGCAGTTCCTCGCTGTCCCACCCCTTGGCCGTCGAGCCCGCCTGCGCCGGGGTCCGGGCGTGCTGGGCGCCGGTCGCTCGCTCTATCATCGTCGTTATTGTGGTGGCTACTATTATTGCTGCTACTGTTTTTGAAAATTTTTTCTTTCAATCATCTAATCCCATTTAAGAGAATGATGTTTGGTGAGCAAGTGGTTCGGATTTCTTTGGAGAATGTTTAGAAGTCCGGAAACGGCTTTAAGTGGGCTATCGCTCGAGACTATAAATAGTCTATAGTGCTCAAGCATTCCAGACGAGATTCCTCGTGGCTTGAGAAGGGGGAGAAAGGCACGCGGGATGGAATGAACGATCTATAGATGGTCTGTCTATCAGTCATCAGAGCTCCCTGAGTCAATAGTCTATCCCTCTGCCGCTTTGCCCTACTTCAGCTGCCCTGTGTAGATAGGTAACCCTTCGGCCTGTGCCTACAGAGGGAATTAGGAAATGGCTTCCTTTCTCAGGAAGCTGTGGCAATTACCATCAACTACCTAGTTCATAGGCAGCTCCACTCTCTCTATTCTCACCCCAATCCCTTGCGCCTTCAACTATCGTAATCCAATTTCTTATCTCCGATGACCTTCCAGAACTCTTCGACAATCTCCTTCTGTCCGCTGGGGGCGCCGCGTACGGCGAGGTACTTACGGTCGTCGACCCGGGGGTTCCAGACGCCGGGGTTACCACCGGCCATGATTCCGCCGGCCTCGGCGAGGATGGCCCAACCAGCACACACATCCCACGCCCAGCAGCCGCCCTCCCAGTAGATATCTAACTGGCCGGCAGCGACGGCGCACAGGTTCAGGGCGGCGCTCCCAAGGCTGCGGAAGCCGTGGACTATGGAACCACCATTCTCCTTGCTTGCTGCGAGGCGCTTGAAGACCTCGGTCTTGAGCTCGAAGTTGGGGCCGTCACGGGCGGCGCCCCATTCAATGGCCACAAGGGTGGTGTCGAGGCCTGCGAGGGCCGGCGGGTGCTTCGAGAAAGGCAGCTTGGTGCGGCGGCCCTGGCCTCCTTCAAGCCCCCAGATGGCTCCCTCAGTCAGGTAGGCGCCCTGTCCCCGGATGGCGGAGTATAGCTGGTCGAGGTAGGGGTTGTAGACAACGCCGATCGTCGGGACATGGTCGACAGCGAAGCCAAGGGAGATGCAGGCGTGGGGGAAGGCATGGACGAAGTTGTTGGTGCCGTCGATGGGGTCGACGATGAAGGTTGGCGCGGCGGTAACCTGCACGCCCGGCTTGTACGTCTCCTCGCCCACGAAGGCGAAGCTGGGGTACGCTTCCGAGAGGCGCTTGGAGACGTGGTCCTCGACGGCTTTGTCGGTCTCGGTCACGATGTCGGTAGCTATAGAAGGCGGACGGCTTGTCAGTAGCTAGTTACGTGGGCAGGTATTTTTCACACGCATCGCCTAGAACTAGACACAGAAACTGCCTAGGCGGTGCCGTACGGAACATAGAGGGGCGGCGGAGAAGTTGAATCCGTACAGTTGAGCTTCGTCCCCTGGGAAATATCGGTCGGATTGGCGGACAGAATCATGCGGCCAGCCTCGTGGGCCACCACCACCAGAGTATCGCGGATCTCTTGGAGGTTGAGGTCGGCCATTCTCGTAGTCTCGAAAGCCGAACTTGTCTTGAAGAGATAAGTAGGTAGTCGAGCTAGCTAGCGCTTTACCTAGCTATCGATTCCAGATAAGAGAGAAGGACGAAGGGGAGAAGAAGGATATTTTTGGAAGCTCGGCCATCTTGTGTTGTTGTCCGACCAGGGGAAAGGTGCTTGAGGAGGTGGGGTTTGGGAGCGAACGGGACTGAGGGGAGGTCGAGAGACGGGATACCGCAGTGGGTTAGCACTCATTACGTCGTAGGGAGCACCACCAGCGGGGGTTGTTCAGGTCCTACGTACCCAAGTATACCGCATGTGGGAGAACAGGGGCGCATCATTGGCCCAGTTCTGCTGGACTTCCTTGAGACGCCCCCACCATTGAGGAGGTACCTAGGTACTTGCAGGTACCCATACCATCTAGGTAGTGCCTACCTGTAATATAGTTACGACAACGCCTCAGGTTGGCTCTTGCCTTCTTACATGTCGCAAAATAGAGGCCTCGTGCAGATGTGACGTAATGTATCTGATGTTATGGACGTGCCTACCTCAGCAGATAAGATGAGAGTAAGCATTGGCGAGGTTGCGGATACGGCGATATCTATGAACTTCGTCGGGATCGAGATCGGAATCTCCGTATGCATTTAAGCTACAGCGATCGCATACCAGGTATATCGCTCGCCCGAGACGGAGTGGACATGCCGCATGGACAATCGGCCGGTTAACTTCCACATCCTTACCTTGCAGAATCGCATGTATGTCTATATACGGACTATCGGCATCTTGAGGTGAGTGTCGTGTCGTATACCGTAGGCAGGTAGGGAGGTAGTGGTCGGCTTCCAGCGGCTAGACCGCAGTAAGCGATAGTCGGTGGGAACCGACCGGCCCCGCTATCTCTGACAAGCCCCTTTTCTCTGGCGGTCGGGACGATTGCCGAGCTGACCCGAAGTGGCGTCCTGACGTCCTCCAACGTAACCTCCACCTACATCGCCGTCACATCCACCCGACGCGCCAACTTGCATCAGAATCCCTGGCCACCTGGGCATTCTGGGACGATCCGTCTGGGAAATCAGGGCACGGTAGCGTCGAGGGCGCTTCCCTGATGAAACTTCCGACTCGGTAGGGATCGAAAAAGGGAAGAAGAGGAAAAGGAAGAGGAGGAGCGAAGAAAAGAGCCGACCAACGCCCGTCAGGCCAGGGCTAGATCAGGAAACACCTCGCGAGATGGCCGCGACGCCCGTCGGCAGGAAACCCCTGCCGCTCATCACCGTCCTAGGCTCCCTCAACATGGACCTGGTCTCCTACGTGCCGCACCACCCCCTGCCCGGCGAGACCCTGACCTCGAGCTCGTTCGCCGTCTCGCCCGGCGGGAAGGGCGCCAACCAGGCCATCGCCTGCGCGAAGCTGTCGCGGTCGCGCGCCGCCGCCCAGCGGGGCGACGACGGCGACGACGTGACCGCCCGCGTCCGCATGCTCGGCGCCGTCGGGCGCGACGCCTACGGCCCCGCGCTGCTCGCGAACCTGGAGCGGCACGGCGTCGACGTCTCGGGGGCCGCCGCGGACCCGGGCCTCGCCACGGGCGTCGCCGTGATCATCGTCGACGAGCCCACGGGCCAGAACCGGATCGTGCTCAGCCCGGGCGCGAACCACAGCCTCGCGGCGGCGCGCTTCGCCGACCCGGCCGCGCTCGGCGACCCCCTCCCCGACCTGCTCGTCATGCAGCTCGAGATCCCGCTGGCCACCGTCCTCGCCGCGCTGCGCGCCGCCCGCGCCGCCGCCGTCCCCGTCCTGCTCAACCCGGCCCCCGCCGTGCCCCTCCCCGCCGACGCCTACGCCGGCCTCGCCCACCTCGTCGTCAACGAGACCGAGGCCGCCATCCTCGGCGGCCTCGCCTCCGAGTCCGTCCTCGACGACGAAGCCGGCCTCGAGGCCGTCGCCCGCGACTTCCTCTCCCGCGGCGTCCGCAACGTCATCATCACCCTCGGCGGCCGCGGCGTCTACTACATGAGCGCTGCCGGCGGCGACGGCGACGGCGACAGCGATAGCGCCGGCGCCGTCGCCGTCGCCGCCAAGGGCCTCCTCCCCGCCGAGAAGGCCAAGGTCGTCGACACGACGGCCGCGGGCGATACCTTCGTCGGCCGCTACGCGCTCGACGTGGTCGCTTCGGGCCCGGCCTTCGACATCGTCGAGGCCGTCAAGAAGGCAAACCGCGCTGCCGCCAAGACGGTCGAGAGGCTGGGAGCTCAGGATTCGATTCCCTGGCGCGACGAATTGTAGTCGTGGGGGAAAACTGCCCCTCTTACGGTCACAATGGGATAATCACGCATCATGTTAAAAAGTATATAGGATAGGAAGAAAAATAAGCGAATGCAGTATTCCGACGTGTGTGTTATGCATAGAAGTTTGTTGGTTGTTACAGAAAAGAGGTTTGTGGAATAATACCCCTAGACTATCTAAAAGCTTGATCGGGTTATCGCGACTACTAGCCGAGTGCGACACCGCGTCTTGTGTAGGACCATCACTACTTTGTTCTACTGATGGGAGATGCGATTCCCTCACCATAAATTGCCCAGCCCCCAACGCCCCTCCCGCCTGGGCCCGTACGGACGCAGATCCCCTTTCCCGGGCGGGCTCGGGGACTCGGCGACGCTGCCCCCCCTGCCGTCCGAGCTCGTGTCCTCCGCGATCGACGGCACGAGGCTCCTCAGGCTGTCCGCGCCAATGGACCGCTCGTTGCGCAGCGCCGTCTCCCGGATGAGCTCGCGGCGGCGGTGGACCGCGTCCGACCTGCGGCCGGGCTCCTCGGGGTCGGGCGCGTCCACGAGCGTCGCCGCGGCCGGCAGGCCATCCGCCTTACTCACGTGGAAGGCCGGGCGCCGGCCCGAGGACGTGCGGCGCATCTCGGTCCAAATCCTCCTGGCCGGGTCCGCCGCCTTCTCCAGAGGCGACCGCTTCAGGCTAGCCCGCCGTCGCGGCACGGGAAGAGCCATCCCCGCGCAGCTGCCGGGCGACTCGCCGACGTCTTCCCGTCTACTCGCCTCGGCCCAGCCGGCGCCCGCCTAGTAGGCCGCCTTGCGAGGGCCGGAGCGGCTTGCCATGATCCCACGCATGATCTCGCCGGCGCGGGTCTGCCCCCAATGCGATGTGATTTTGCCGAATATCGGGCTAGCCGTGGGAGTCTGTCGAGGGGACCACAGAGATGCCGGGTTCTGCCTTCTGATGGCTCCCGTGGCTGCTGTTTCCAATCGAGTTTGGTACACTGATACGCCGTCCTCGACGAGGCACGCTCCAGATGCTGGGAAGCCTGAATGGCAATAGTTGACCCGGACGTGCACGTATTCGGTCCTGAAATCTCCTAGCTGGGACTCAAGATCGGCCATGAGACTATCCGACGTACACTTAGATAGTTTAAGTTGATTTGCTTTTGAAGCTTCAAGCTGGATATGGGCCAATACGAGGTGGCTAGAACCAGGGGTGATGATACTGACCATCTAGGTGAGCATGTGCGTCTTCACACGGGGACTATTTTCCATACCTCGTGGACGTATCACCTATGATATCGATGATGCGACTTTCTACGGTAGGTAGGACGTCTATCTTTATATCATAGAGATATCCATACCGTGACAAGCTAGCGTCGCCGAAGTCGTCAGATAGGCAAGGGGCCTGGTTAACACTAGCGTGTGCTAGGTCGCGGGGTGACTCTCTAGTACGCGGGCGGAATAACTGGCCAGATATTTCAATTGCCGCCCAGACACTTGGCCGCGTGTCATTTAACGACCTCGACTCCGCCGTGATCAGGATGTGCGGGATAAGTATGCACGGATCGGGCGCTTCGGGGCCCGAGTCTTGTATATTTGAAGAAGGCTCGCTACTTAGGTCTGAAGAACCTGATTTGCCGGCGTAGGAAGTAGGCCCCGAATAGAATATATCTAGAGACTGATCCCGCGAACTAGCAATCGCTCCAAGGTTCTCGCGGGGTGACCTGACCGCTGGCCGACGCGAAGAGTGGCTCAGGTATCGTGGGCTGGATCGATGTATAGGGTCCTTTATAGACAGAGATCTGCTCCTAGAAAATGAACGAAGCTTCGTGAGAAACGTGAGAGAAGATGGCCGTTGTCCCACTTGCAGACTCGCCGAGCGGCGAGGTGAAGTCTTGTCAGCCTTCGGAGTCGCTGAGTCCCACGTTTTGCTTGAACCTGCGAGGCTCCTGTTAACGACAATGAAGAACCAAGTCCCCTCGGAACTAAGATCGCTTACCCGTTTTCGCGGTGACACTCCTAAAGAGCTCCTTAGGACCGCGACCTTGAATTGGTTTGTCGGCTGCCTTCGAAATGCCCCCGCGGATGATACTCTGAGGCTTCCGGTTCTTGATAACGGTTAACGGGCGATCGGGGTCGCTGTCGAGGCTCCCATCGCTAGTCCTTCTCGGACTACCGTGGGGAATTTGCATAGATTTTCTACGCTTGATGACGCGCAGCGGAGGAGGGATATCGAATCCCGATAATTGGCCCATTCGCATCGTGGGTGGGCAAGGGTCGGGGGACATTTCGGGTCGACTCGTCAACAACCTGGCCGATAAAGGTGCTTTGTATAGTTGTGGAGCTGTCTCCCAGAGGCTCTGCGACGTGGGTAGCGATTGGATGATCACCTCGACTCCGTGACCATACCCGAGACCGGAGATCGGGTAGAAGGTCGAAGCCTCTCAAGATCGTCACGGCCAAAATCACGATAAGCGCAGTCGGGACTAAGGCAATCAGGAAAATGATACCGGCATCGAGAGAAGACTGGGACATCGCCGGTAGTTCCGTCGATTGCAACCGTAGGGTAGATATCGAATTTTCGTATTCGTGCTGATAAGAGCAAGGAAGAAGAGTGCGATTACAAAAGATGTAATATGCCTGATGCCCTCGAGGTATGCGTTAAAGGTCAGGAGTAAATTAGATTGCAATGCCGTTTGGGTATATCATCTCTCTTCTGAAGAAGACCAAGAAAAGCCGCGGTTTCCATTCTTCATGCGCGACACGCACACACACGCCGACGCTAAGACTACCGTCAGGAGCTGTCACTCAAGGTTCGCAAGAGATTGTCCTTGACGGTATCCACGTCATTTTCCTCCATATTCAGAAAGCGAATCTGTTGGGGATGCGTTAGCAGCTACACAAGCTGGGCGGTCTGAAGGAAGGAGACCCGGGCTTACAACATCGTCGGCGGCGCCCACTCCACCGAACAAGACAGGCTCAGATAAGCTCGCGGAGACTGCTTTCTTGACTCTCTCTTCCCACACGCCTTCCCAATTCCAGTCTCCGGGTTTTCTCACGGAATCGGAGGCCGTGGCACCGCTAGGACCTGCTCCTATCGCACCGGTGCTGGCCGGGGGGTTGTCGCAGAACACTTTCCCGCCTTCGACGCGATGGGCGCGCCAAGCGTGCCAGGCGCCGGGGTTACCGGAAGCTTCGAGGGGGATGGAATCTAGCACATCCTCGTCGCCGAAGGCGCTCTGTATGTACCAGAGAACTTCGTATGTGGATGTATCCTTTCGGCTGGTCTGGGCAAACCCGGGGGATGATCCGACAGCGGAGCCTTTCGAGCCAGGCGTACTTGCGCTGCTCATAGAGGGAGGAGGGGGCCGATGGGGGGTCTGCAACCCGTCCTGCTGTCTACCTTGTTGCGCGACACTGGCGGTGTTCCGGCTCTGTCTCCTGAACCAGTTGGGAAACCCGTGCCTAAGGCTAAATCCGCCAGGAGGTAACAGCTCTGCATCGGTTGCGCTCACGGTGCCGTCGTCCTGAACGTCGGTCGAATACATGTACGTGCTCAGAGGGGTGATCAGGGGATGGAACATGTCGGTCGAGAAGGTGATGAGCGGTGGTAGTTGGGGGTACGAGTCGGGGAACGAGATCTGGAATCGCAACACCGCAGGGGCGTAAGGGCCTTTTGGTTATTCGGTTAGGCCACAATTATAATCTCGCAGGGCGTGGATGCGCAAACAGCAGGGCACTCTCACCGTCTCGAACAAACAGAATGCCGGACCAAAGGCTGGGGTCGCCGGGCGTGAGGCTCACGAACACGCCTTCGGGACAGGCTTGCTTTAGCCCGGCGCTTGAGGGACGAGTTAGCTTTACCCAGGGAGACAGAAAGGGCATGATCGATAGCGCGAGAACACATACAACTCCACGAGGAGGTGCTGCCGCCTCAGCGCCGGTAGCGCATTCAGCTTGGAAGAGGTCATGGTGCATCAGGAGCTGTAAAGAGGCGCATCCGGGAACAGGAAAGAAAACGTGAGGCCGAACGAGAACGCATGGGTATCTCGGGTCTCCAAAGAGAAGTAGAGAAAGGTATGCTGGGTCGGTAGGGGCCTAAGCGCTATCTTGCATTCAGCAACGCTAGATTATCGTGGAGATGATTGGTGAGGCGACGACATGGAACCTGCCGTGTTCTACATGGGTCCTGCGAAGCATCAATGCATGATGCATTACCTAAGGAGACCTATTCTCCTTATCGATAAACCGGTAGCGGGATGCTTGACTTTTCTCGGCTCGTTGGTCGGCGGTCGGCGTTTAGTCGGGTCACGCCGGTGTCCCACTTGCCGGGAGATGATATGTGCATAGTACATAAGTATCTACGTCAGCCACAGGTAGGAGCTAGAGGTGCCTGTGGGTACCTAGCTCCTACTACATTATGTACCTAGGTACCTAACCTGTATTGCTACCTTAGGCACCGCCCTGAGGGTCTCGCGTTGTCCGGCACACATTACAGCAGGCAAAGAGCCCGGGAGGACGAGATGGAGAGGGGAGATGGAGAGGGGAGATGGAGAGGGAAGATGAAGAGGGAAGACACCTCGCACAAGCAGCAAAGGGCCAGGTTGGTGCACGACAGACCACTAACCACGTAGGCAAGGGAGGGACCTACTCATACAGAGACGGCGCCGACCCCTTGCCTCCCTGGGCAAAGCTCCCGGGTAGCTGGGATCGTCTCTGAATGGTACGATCGCCCATCCTCGAAATATTCCCGATACCGAGGACTGATGAGGCTAAGTTGATCCTACCAGCACACGACCAGGCGCTACTCGACGCCAAATACCCCGCAGACCACTTACCTTCGGACAATTGTAACAGGTGTCCGTTCATTGTGTCGGCGTATCGCGAGATGGCTGAGTCGCGACGAAGCCGCGCAGCCGCTGGGCTGAGGACTCCGAGCAGAACAGGATGCGATCCTAGTCCTCCCACCTCTCCATGCCGCTAGACACGGTCTCACGTACTCTGTAGGAGGGGTTGCGCAGGCCGCGCAGGTCGAGCCAGAGGGCGAAACAATCCCCCTCCCGCCCTACCGCCCGTTAGGTCAATGCCGATACACGATGGCGATATGTACAACCCCTCATTAGCCGGCAATCAACGACGCCCCACTCCCTTCGTTCGGGATCCGGCCTCTAAGCTTGCCTAGCACCATATTCCCTCACACAGGCCTCGGGCAAAATCCTTAGACAGGGCGGCAGAATGGTTAAGTCCCCATGGGGTACTTAGTAGCGGCCGTCGCGGCAGCAATGTTCATAACCCTGCCGGCTCGCTTGCGAGAACCTCATCTCCGAGACGAGCCGCTGTTCTAATCATAATAATAATACGACTGCTGCTGCTCCTCGTTTCTGTCGCCGCTGTATCCGCTGCCTCCGCCGTCTCTACACGCACCACCACCGCTCACTACAGCGGCACATGGGGATTATACGCCTCCTATAAGTTGAAGACATACCTAAACTTTTGTGACATATCATCACAGCCTCTTGCCTGCTCTCTATCCCCCCCCTCTCTCTTTCCCTCTGTCTTTTTTTCCCTCTCTCTTTCTCTTCCTCTTCGCTCGGACTGCGTGAATCATGGCTGATTTTAGGGATTTACGGATATCCGTCATTGGCGCGGGTGAGTTCTCCAGTCCGGAAGGGTGGGGGGCTACGAGATTTGAGAATACGACGGTGGGGAAGATGTGAGCGAGAAGAAAGTTGCTTTTTAGTAAGAGTAGCACTGCTGACTGATGGCCCCTTTTTTTCACTCCTGATACAGGCATGGGCGGTCTCGCCTGTGCGCTCGCCTTCGCCAAAAAGGGGTTTAAGCATGTCGACGTATACGAGACGGCCTCGAATTTAGGCTTCGTCGGCGCCGGCATCCAGCTCGCCCCTAACATGGTCCGCGTGCTCGACCGCTGGGGCTGCTGGGAGGGCATTGAGGCCGAAGCCACCAACATCCTCGCCTCGAGCATCCGCGAGGGCTCCACTAACCGCGAGCTCGTCCACGTCCAGATGCCCGATATTGCCGAGAAGTACGGCTACCCCCACTGCACCGGCCACCGCGCCTCGCTCGCCGGCGGCCTGTACGAGGGCTGCAAGAAGCAGCCCAACATTACCTTCCACTTCGCGACGTCGCTGACTGCTATCACTTCGTTCGGACCCGAGAAGACCGTGTTCACGGCCCAGCCCCGCGACGGCGAAGCCTACGAGGTCGAGACCGACGTCTTGCTAGGCGCCGATGGCATCAAGTCGGCGGTGCGCGCAGCGCTGCTAGACACACTTAACATCACTGACGAGGTCGAGGATACGGGCCAGGCCGCATACCGCATCATGCTGCCGCGGTCGCAGATGGAGAACGACCCAGAGCTGCTCGAGCTGCTCGACGCCGACGTGGCGCTGCGGTGGATTGGAGAGAAGCGGCACATCGTCGCGTACCCGATTAGCGGCAAGACGATCTACAACCTCTCGACGTGCCAGCCCGACGTCAACTTCGCCGCCGCGACCAATGCGACGTACACGACACGCGGCAGCAAGCCCGCCATGCTCAAGGTCTACGCCGACTTCTGCCCCGTCGTCCAAAAGATGCTTAACCTCGTGCCCGAAGGCGAGGTCTGCGAGTGGCGCTTGCGCTCCCACAAACCCCTGCCGACCTGGGTCCACGGCGCCGTCGCCCTCGTCGGCGATGCCTGCCACCCGACGCTGCCGCACCTGAGCCAGGGCGCGGCGATGGCGATCGAGGACGCGGCGGTGCTCGCCGAGGTGGTGAGCCGGGCGCCGGACGGCGGCGCCGACCGCGCGGCGCTGTCGCGCGCCATCAAGACGTACGAGCTGCTTCGCAAGGAGCGGACGACGTTGCTGGTCGACCTCGCGGCGTCGTCGGCACGCACGCTGCACCTCGGCGAGGGCAAGGCCAGGGAGGAGCGCGACCGCCAGTTCGCCGCCGCCAAGCAGAAGGGCGCGCCCATCCCCGACAAGTGGGCCAGCCCCGAGGTCCAGCACATGATCTACACATACGACTGCGTCAAGGACGCCCAAGAAAGGTTCGACGGGCTGTACGCGGGGCTCGCCGGCGCCGCCGACGACGCGCAGGGCGGCCACGCGAACGGCAACGGCTTCGCGAACGGCCACGCGCAGGGCATAACGGTATAAGCTAGAAAGGCGGCAGGAAAAGAACTACCTACTAGCCAGTCAGTCTAATTGCAGCATTGTACGAAGGAGGGACAGCTAGACACGTTATTACCAGGGCATGCGCGAGCCAAGCGCACACGCACATACACACACATATATAGCGCAGCAATACATTTGTCAGGATCAGGGTCCAATTCGAGTACAGGTTATCCGTCGGAATCTGTAGAGTTTGTAGAATTGTGGGTGGCATAGTAATTACAAAGAAACGGTATGTCCTCCGGCGAAGTCCGCAACGCCCACTCTAGCGACGATTTCATTACGGGCAATGAGAACGAGAGCGTGCCCCGGCGAGGCGCATCCAGTCCAACACCCGTCATAGCGTCGTCCCCGGCCAGCGGTTCCGTCCGTCCGATGATGGACTGGACGTGATGGGGAGAGTGACGAGGAATCCCCTCCCCATCTTTCTCCTTGTTGACTGAACGACGTTGCTATTACCTCCTCATGTCCTCCCCTCCTTGCTCGTGCTGATCCGTTGTCATCGTCTATCACTATAGTTCACGCATACCCTCTCCCCACTCGGCCCCCCTTCCCTTCGTCCTGGGCAGCCCGTCTAGAACAGGCAGTCCAAGCAGCAGCAGCACGCCAGACCGGCCAACAGACCGGTGAGGCAGCCGCCGCCGCCGCCGTCGCGGTCGGTCTGCTGGTTCTGGTATTGACCCTGGGGAGGGTAGTAGCCCGGCTGCTGGGGCGGGTACTGGCCCGGAGGGTATTGACCGGGAGGCGGGCCCTGAGGGTAGTAGCCCATGCCCGGGTTCTGCTGGTAGTTCTGGTTCGGGTCGCCGTAGGGTGCTTGGGGCGGGTAGCCTCCCTGGTACGAGGCGGGCGGATGCTGAGGAGCGCCGTACGCCGGAGGCTCTTCGACTTTGGACATCTTAGCGATTACGGAGTGAGACTCGATGGCAATTGGTGTGTGCACTGTCGAGGATTTCCTCCTGTGTTTATTATTGCCGCTTTGGGCGGTGTTCAGAAGGGTACGGATGCGCCGAAATGAAACGATGTAGCAACGATGCGGTGCAAAAGGTGTCTGTCCTGTGCCACCCTTGTGCGGTGAGGGCTGGGAGACGGAAAATAGATAAAGAGAGAAGGCAGGTAGATGGAAAAAGGGTGCTGCGTGAAGAGAAGTGATGAAAAAAAAAAGAGAGAGCCGGGGTCGAAAGGAGAGGGAAAAGAGAAGAGAGGGAGGGAGAGAGGGTATTGGGATTGTCTCTCGGATAATCGGTTCGGGTTTTTGGTTGGCACCAAGAAGTCCCAAGAAGTCCCAAGTCTGATGATTGCAATCAATGCAATGTCAAGAAGTTGTGGCGGAGCCCTAGAGACGCGTAGGATATGCGCCACACCTTTGTTCGCGGTACGCCGTGGTATGTACTACATAAGTAGCAGGAGGGTGGTGGGCAAGAGAGGAGATAAATTTCAGAGGTGAAGGACGCCCGTAGCTTCAAACACGGTACATGCAGTACATGCAGGGCAGGAATGGCAAGGTCTCAAATTGCGTCGCAGAATCTTACCCCGTGCTGGCCTCAGGCAGGCTACCACACAAGAGGGTGTGGACGCGTGTCAAGTACCTACCTGGGTAAGGCATGGTACTGTGGCTTGGAGGGGGACAACACGGACACCTCTCTAATAACCTTAGGTTGTTCCGAGGTACATCATCACGCAACTCTGTATTGGCTCACCTTCGCTGCGACCTAAGGGCTTACGGCAAAGGCCAGAATTGGAAAGGGAGCCTATGCGGATTTGTACGTAGTACATGCCAACATACCCAGGTATGCAAGAACATATAGTACCTAAGGTACCCATCTAATTACCTCGTACGTACAGGCACCTAGGTATTCAAGAACATATAATAGCACGTAGGTTAGGTACCTTTGTAGGTATCGCGCGTGACACCACGGGGAGGATTCGTCAGGTGTGGAAACTCGGTTCGATGGCCCCCGCATACATAAACATGTATACATGTGTATGTATAATACAGGTATGCAGGTAGACATGGCATCGGGCATGGGCATAAGCATACGTAGGTAGGTAGGTATAGGGAACTTCCACTCGCCGAGCCATGCGCTACCTGTATCCACAGTAAGACGCAACGACCATCAGCCTCGATAAAACTTGGCCAGCCCCCATGTTTGTGATGTCGTAGTTATGGAAGGTGGGAATCAGTACTTGGGTAGGTATAATGTTGGTGTGATGCTACCTATAATTGGCAGGCTGTGGCACGGTAGGCGGGCAGTTTGCCTACCTTAGCCTTGGCCTTGCCTGCCCTCTGCTTTGCGATTAGATAAGGGCGCTTACGATACCTACATCAGGCGCGAACATACCACGGGCAGGAACTCCTCTCTATACCTGGACGTAGAGGTACTAACTAATATGGTATAGCGAGCTGCTACCTGCCTCTACCTACCTCCTATAGTGCCTACGCCTAACCGAACCTAGCCTGCCTGCCCAGGTATCTATTTGTAGGCAAGTACCTACCTATCTATCTACCTACCTACCTACCTGCCTAGGTACGTTGCCTGGCTGCCTTGTGAGTGCCTACTTATATGTCGTGGCTACCCCAGCATGACGGGACCTCAGTGAGCAGGAAGGAAGGAGAGGACAGATGACAGATACTTCCCGCCCGACGCGCAACCGCCGAGGGAAAGTGCACGATAAGAGCCGTGGCGGAAGGCACGGCCGCGTCGAATCGCAGAGGGTCGGAATAGCTAAGCCAAATGGTGTCATTGGTGCGGGAGCAGCACCGATCGTTCCCACGGAATCCATCCAGCTCCCAAAGAGTACCTGTCACATCTGGCCCGGCTGCCCATTGGCCGTCAACACTACCAGCTCCTGTTCTCACGAGATATCGCTCTATCGAGAGTCCACCCGGGTTGCTGTTCTGGGCCGTTAGGTCACAACTCCCCGTCTGCTTTGCTACCTGATGATGTGTCGTTGCCGTCGACGATAAATACCACCGTCCCGTCCCCTATCTCCTCCTGGTACGCCCCCTTCTTCATCTCCTCCCGATCGCCAGTCGCCCCCCCTCACCCAGGCCATTCCGTCCGAGTCGGCTCTGTATTCTGTTCGACGCCCTCCGCTGAAAGGCGCCCGCTGGTCTTGTCTGTCCCCGTGCACGCACCCTTCGAAATGGGCGAGTTCCCGCTCCTCTTCCCGCAAGCCGCCGCCCGGCGGCTGGACCCTCACCTGCCGTCCTTCGCCTCTCCCGCCTCGCCCTCCTTGCCCTTCGTCACGCTGACCTTTGCTACTTCCCTCGACTCGGCCCTGTCGCTGGGTCCCGGCATCAGAACCGCCCTCTCCGGCCCCCAGTCCAAGGCCATGACCCACTACATCCGCAGCCGCCACGACGCCATCTGCGTGGGGGTAGGGACTGCTATAGCGGACGACCCGGGCCTCAACTGCCGCATAGCCACCACGGCCCATCCGCCGGACTACTCTCCCGGCGTCGACACGGCTAGCGTCGGCGCCCTCTTAGGCCTGGCTTCTCTCCGGACGGGGGAGGCCGGCATCAGCGAGGCGGACAACATATTCACCTCGCACCAGCCGCGTCCTGTGGTCATCGACCCGGGATTGCGCTGGGACTTTACCCCCGACACCAAAGTGATGCGGTTGGCCAAGGCGGGCAGCGGCTTGGCGCCGTACATCATAACCGCCGTGTCGGACCCACCACCAGACAAGAGGAAGCTTTTGGAGGAGCTCGGTGGGAAGTACATCGTCTTGACGCAACTTAGGGGCGGCGGGGCCGGGGCGGGCCCGGCGAGTCGCCGGCGCTTCGATTGGCGGTCCATTCTAACCACGCTACGGGGAGAGGGGCTGCAGAGCATCATGGTCGAGGGTGGTGGCGAGGTGATAAATTCGCTCCTCTCCCGCGAAAATTCAAGCTTGGTTGACTCGGTTATCGTGACCATCGCGCCGACGTGGCTTGGCCAAGGAAGTGTCTTTGTTGCTCCCCCTCGAACCCCCAACCCAGATGGTCAGTTGAAGCCAGTAGCTCGGCTTACCAGCACCACCTGGCTGCCTCTCGGGAATGATGTGGTTTTGTGCGGCAGGATTGCAACTCAGGCCTAGCGCCTTCAGCTATGATATGTCCTTACGGTTACCAATCCACGTCATCTCAGGCACCTTTTGCTCTGCCCTGTTCGCCGCTCGACAACCGGTCCAGTCTGATTGTTTTCCCTCGGTGTTGTTTCCTTGTACGAGAGTCTACCATGCGAGAGGTGAAACAATTCATGCAAACCAGTTAGGAAACCCCGGTGGTATTGCTGGTGGTGGTGTTCATCGAGATCGGATGTTTTCCTTGGAGGGTACAAATCGAGGCAAACCCTTTCGACAACCAGCCGTCGGCCGCAAGTTATTATGAGTGAAGGTGCCCCGGGGAATGAACTCCGATGAGGAGATGTGTTCTCTAAGCTCCCAGATCGTCTGGTTGGGGCTGGGGCTGGTGTGTCCGTCGGTATATATGTGGACATGAGAGGTGAACGTTGTCTAGTAAAAGAACAACGAGGAGACTGTCTCGAAACTTAGCCTCCCGAGGCGCTATATGTATACATGTAGATCACAACGATCACTACCATTGCTACTACTACTGTCATGTGCAATCATAAGACTCGGAGCATCCAGGATAGAATCTGGTCTCTCGTGGGGGTGGTCTAGACGCACGCAGACCAGCAGTGGGATCCCTTGATAACAATGGGTGCATCCCTGGTGCTATAGGTGAGTTCTTCCCCCCTCTTATATGCTTTAAGCTTATCATGTATCTGCCTATTAAGATAAATAATGACATTGTAACTATCCTATACCTACATCCGGTCAAGGAGGAACTTCGTAAGAAGCATGAATTCCTTGCAAGTACTTGAATAAAGGCTCTGGAATCTCACAGACAGCGGGAAAATGTGGGTGAAATTGGCATGATAAGTTAATTGAAAAGCAGTGTCCAAGCGATTCCTTCTCAGAGCACTGAGACCACTACACCGCGACATCCACCACACCTAAGGGGTGAATTCTTGGTTCCATACACACAAAAAAACGAGAAGAGTAGCCTCCGCCCAGCGTATCTGCCAGCCCAGAGGAGCAGGAGAAGCTTTGATAGTGGTGTTCCAAGCCAACTAGCAACCTCGCCGTACTATTCGTCGCTGTGGGCTTGTTCTTTGTAGCGCTCGATCGACGAAAGCCTCCGGCCGGCGTCGTTTTTTTTTTCCAAAAAAAAAAAAACAGATCTATCGGCGAATAACTTCGAGACGTGGCCCGAAAGACAGCATCGCCCCCACCTATATCCGCGGGCAGCGATCACGAGCATCATCATATCATGTTGCACTCCGGTGACGAGGCCAGACCGTTCGTGACATCAAACTGCAGGAAAAGGAGGCTCCCGTAATGTAGCTGGCCAAAGTTGGTTCGCTGGCTACCCAGATTCCGGGTATCTTGACCGTATTCGGAAAGAAAAAAAGATGAAGATGAGTGGGGGGGAGGGGGGGTGGAAGAAGATGATCTAACTTACCACTCAACCCCCTCTTCCCCAGGCGTGAATATAGTAAAGCCGGTGACAGCCACGGCTCACGAGATTCGATAGGGAGAGCCCGCGTCTCCCCTCGAGCTAGCCTAATCGAGATAGAGACGCGTCGGGCCTCCTGTCTAGGCTCGCGTGGGCCACCGATGCCGCTCTACGAAGCAGCTCGTCGGGGTACCCTGCCCGTTCGCAGCCGCCGACGACAGCGAGCAACCCCAACGCCCCGGGAACGGTGGGGGCCGAGGGAGGAGAGGCGAGCAGCCGCAAAGGGGGGGGAGATACCCGTTCTCGATCACAGAGGGAGGCCCATGGCCAATATGCGGACGGCGATAGCGGCGTCGTCGCCGCTCATTGGACTATGACATCTCGGAACACAAGGCATCCCCTCATTTCGAGACCTGCCTGGCGCGTCTGACCTACTCGACCTGCGTACATGCCTGCCCGGCTAGCCGATGTGACTGATCTCTTTCCCTCCCCCCCCCCTACCCTCCTTCTCCCGGCCCTCCTCGGCGGCGAGGAGCGACGGGTCTGGCTCGTTCGGGAGGGAGGGAGGTCACGCCTTTGCGCGCGTATCGGACTCTTCTCTCGATTCTCGACTCTCACGCCCCGCATCCCCTGTTTCCCCCCCTCCGATGCAGGATGATGCCATCCCTCGTCGCCGCCCGCCCGCCCGGAAAGGGGGACGTCGAATGTGATTCGACGCCTCGAGCAGTCAGAGGGGGCAGACGGGCCTGACGCGGGCTGCCTCCTGCGTGAAGGCCCTCTCACGCCGGTTTCCCCATCGATATCTTCCCTCCGTCGCGCCCCCCTCCCTCCCTGTCTCTTCGCAACCCTCGAGTCCCCTATCCTTTCCGACCGGCGGACAGGTACTGCAGGCAGGCAGGCAGACAGGAGGGCAAGCAAGCTCCGCGACGATTCGAGCGGATGCCGAACCGAGCCACGCCAGCGGCAGCATAGACCAACCCCTACGTTAGGAGGGCGTGAAGGCAGAAGGCAGGGAAGCTCAGACTTTATTTTGCTTTTATCGAGTCCTTGGCGTGACAGCCAGCTCGCCGACGATCGAGCGGTAATACGTAGGCACGGTTGCAGGTTAGAGCCATCCCCCTTTTCTTTTTTTTTTCTTTCTGGTTTCCCCTTCTCTCATTTCGCGGTCAGGTCTTCATGCGTCGTTTCGATCGCCGCCCTAGCGATCTCGTGTTATGTTACCCCTCGAGCTGCGAGGGCTAGTTATTAAGCATCTTTCTTCGTCGACGCGAGTCGCGAGCGTAATATTCCGCAGCCAGGTCAGCCTCCGACGTCGAGGCCTTTTGTGATGCGACTTCGTATTTGCTGCCCCTCGCGACCAAAGCCCGGGCGCGTATGTGGGTGCATGCGGTGCATGTGCAGGGCTGGATCGACGAGTCAACTGCAGACCAGCCAACCGGTGCGCCGTGGTCATCGCTGTCGTGATTTTCTCTCTACCTCTCCGCCGCCTGTTTTTCGTCTGTGGCGAGACCAGGAAACAACGTAGGCAGATACAACTGGATAGAAAGGCTAAAATCCCGTCTTGTCTTGCTGTGTGCGGACGCACCCTGGCGGTCCGAGGGTCCGGAAGCGAAGAAAGCAGAGTGGCAAGGGGGAAAGATGGGGGAGGGGAAGGGCAGGCGGGAGACAACAATCAGATCATGGCTCACCTTGCTCCCTTGCTCACCTTACGGCGGAGCCCCCTACGCGGTAGGAACCTAGCGGCAACGGTAGCGGTGGCATAGAAGCAGGACACGGGAGTGTGGGGTGAAGAGACACATGTATATGTATGTGCATGTATGTGTGTCTGTATGTGTGTATGCGTGCATGTGTATATGTATGTGTGGATGAATGAAGATGTACGTGGAGGATGGGGATGGGTGTAGGTATGTAGACTATACTTACATAGCCGCCGCCCCCCCCCCCCTCCACGCCCTCCACGCCCCTCAGGTCAGTAAGTAAGCCGGCCTCCCAGGCAGTCCGAGGTAGGATGCAGCATGCGTCGCAGACCCTCGAGACGTGACACCGTATTGGCTCTCAGAGAAAAAGGGGGGGAGGGGAGATGAGCTGGCCCGGACCGATCCACGACGCTCTACATACAGAGTCGCAATCGCCTGCGTCGCCCAGGGGAAGGATGCGTGCGTTAGCGTCCATCCTCTTTATGTGGGATCCACGAGTGGCTTTTGTCCCTCGAATTGGTTTGGTGGAGGGATCCAAGCAGCCGGTTGCATTGCCTTATTCTCCCCTCATCCCCCGTAAGTCTCTCCCTGGTTTGAAGACGATGACGATATGGTTGGCGATGACAGAGACTGTTGCTATTCAGCACTACCTATACACTGAATGTAGCTCGTGTGGCGTCGTCACCTAGCATAGGAATGCAATTAGTTAAGACTTTCTGCGCTTCCACAACCCTATTGCAGTGTATGTCACGCCGTCACCACGCCATCACAACCAGGGGGAAGGGGATCCCGAGGAACATACATGCTCGCCTGCTTGCTTACCTGCCTGTTAGCCGCCTTGGATAGGTCGCCGCCGTGTCGATCATCCGGCTTAGACTAGAAAGCTTATACGAATACAGACCAACGCCCCCCAGGGGCTGCGTGGTAGGGGGTGCGTCATGCTAAGTATGTTGGCAGTGGTCGGGAGACAGGGAGACGGAGAGAGAGAGAGAGACGGGCTTGGGCCGTATGATCCGATACGGGGAGCACGGCATGTAGCTAAGCAAGCATCTTAGCTAAGAGCTGCTCCCTGACAAGCGGCAATGTCTGGTCACTTCTCAAAAATGTGATGTTACCTGCCCATGGCCGGCTCGCGAGCGAGACGGGTCGTCGTCGCCGCGGGCGGTACTGCTCGGGCAGTACCTGATGCGTCGCTGTCAGCCCGAAACGGAGCCCAACCTATCGTAGATGTCGTCGAATATGGATGTAAGCGAAGAGGAGGCAGTCTCGCTCTGGCGTTTCCGGAATCTCGCTCCGTATGTGGCTTACCGCTAGCCGTAGCCCTCGGGATGTACCCTATGATGACCCTGTAATGGACCTGGGTACACGGCGTCTTTGCACGAGCATCATGTCATCATCGGCGGCCCTCTCGGGGATCTTCGCTTGCTCGAGTCGGATCCATGTAGGGCACGTATGCATGTGTGCTTCGTCTGCCCTATATGTATGCAATACACTCTCCCTCTCTCCCTCCCCCCCCTTCCCCCTTCCCTGCTTGCCTACCTCCTATCCCACCCTCCCCCGTCCCTCCCAAGGTACATGTATCATGTACGTGAGTCAGCTTATGATGTATGCATGCGTCTCGGTTCCGGCTGACCGTCTACACCCCACGAGGAAGCATGTGTATGTAGGTCTTCAAGCCGCCCCCCTGCGGCCAGCGCAAAAGCGGCGCTAGCGCAGCCGGCAGCGCATGTTGGTGGTGATACGGCAACGGAGAACTCTCCGCCGTCCTGCTTGCTGCCCAATGTGGTCCGTATACCCCGGGAGCGGCGATAGGTCGAGGCCACACGTGCTCCCTCGCCGCCCTGCTTGCCTCACGCAGGGTCTAAGTACACACCAGGTAGCATATACCTCAGGGGAGGAGGGGACCCTTGAACCGCTTGCGGGAGGGTAGCAGTGCATGCGCGAGGCGCCGACGGAGGGTGCGAACAACAATGTCGACAGATCGAAAAGGGGGGGGGGGGGGGGGCAGGCAACCCTAGCCGAGAGACGAGCAGGACGACGTCCAAAGGGGCGGGCTCAACCGGGGACATGGATCCGTCCTACGCATAGATGTGCCAGGAGAAGTGAGCCATAATCAAGATTGTGATGCTACAGGTAAGAGGAAAGAGAAGAGACGAATGTGGTATCCGCTGGGGATAACGAAGGCATATTACCTGTAGTATTCGCTGTCTTAGGAGTTCGGCAACAACCTCCTGCGCCCCTACGCAAAGCTAGATGCCCAAAATACACTCAATCGCTCTCGGAGGGGGGAGGGAAGAAAGGAGTGTCTTGCGAGATCTCACACATCTCCCGTCAGACGCGAGTTTAATCATCGCTGTCCCGAAACAGGACAGAGAATATAGATGTCATAAGAGGCCGTGGCGGCTACAGAGAGTATAGGTAGAGACTGTAGTCTTTATTAGGCCGCCCGAAGTTCCCCGGAGCTCAACCCATAATATAGGACGCTTTAAGCTCTTCAGTAAAGGCGATCGCTTGCCGCTCCTGGAATCGGATCGGTATGTCGTATATTCGATTGGCGACAGGGACCGCAGCGTTGGCAAATCGGCATCCAGTATCGCTTCCCCAGTATTAGGTATGTCGGCAACGCTAACGGATGTTAGTCGCCAAGCTCGTCGCCTCCGCGCTCCCATGCTTTTCCCACGCGAGGGCTACCATGGATGGTGCCTATGACGGACAGCGGATGCGATTTCGAGCAAGGCATGGACGAGATGTGGTTTGCTATAGTCTCGAATCCCCCCCCGCAGTGGTGGTGGACCTGAGGGGGACCAGCCAGCGTTGTGGGAGTAGCCAGTCTAGTACAAAACCCCATCGGTTTTCCCTAGCTGGATGGTTGTCTGAACATTTCCGTTGCATTTTATCTTTCTCTCCCTCTGGGCCGGTCTTTATACTCGTAGTTGTCTTTTTATACGTCCATCCGCCGGTCTGTGTTGTTCGCGCAAGAGAGAACTTCACTAAAAAATGGGTTCGGCGAAAGGACGCCCTTTTCCCCCGGGCATCCACCCGCCCTGCCTGACGTGGTTCAAAGACGATACCCGTCAAGAGATCCACTGGGATTTGCAAAAGAAGCACTTGCAGTTCCTCGTCAAATCCGGAGTTCATGGCAGTGAGTCTTCCTCCTTTTCGGTGGCTTGGGCGGTCTGGCTTTCGCCGTAGAGAGAAAGAGAGAGAGAGAGAGACCTGTTCGCTTACGTAGCCATCCCGGCGCCTAGTTGTTTTAGCAGGCACCAACGGCGAGGCCGTAACCATGACGAGAGACGAGAAGGTTCAGCTTACACGCCTAGCAAAGGAGGTGGCAGTGGAATGCGGCCGACCAGACCTACCGATTACAGTCGGATGCATTGGACAGAGCACAAAGGACGTCATCGCCGACACGATAGTAGCCCACGAGGCCGGAGCCGATTTCACATTAGTCCTATGCCCGAGTTATTTCCACTTCGCTATGAACGAGGATGCGGTTGTGGGTTTCTTTACGGAGGTAATAATAGTCGCGATGCCGCACCGGGTATTAGAGGGCTGACGTGCCGGCGGGCGGTAATAGTTGGCCGATGCAAGTCCGATACCGATCATTATCTACAACTTCCCCAGCGTCGCTGCCGGTATCGACGTCAACTCCGAGATGCTAGCGAAGCTCGGCGCGCACCCTAACATCGTGGGCGTCAAGTTGACCTGCGGGGGGATTGCCAAGGTGGCCAGAATAAAAGCCCAGTACGAACCCAGCGAGTTCGCCGCCATTGCAGGCCAGAGCGACTGGCTCATCCCGGCCATGACCGTGGGCTCCATCGGCTCTGTTACTGGAGTTGGAAACCTGTATCCTAGGGTGAGTCCGCCTTACATCATGGCAAGCGTCTGCGGGCTTCTCTGTCTCGATTTTGCTTATGCGTGGCGCCAGGCTTGTGTGCAACTGTACGACCTCTATAACCAAGGAAAACTCGATGAAGCCGCACAGGCCCAGATCAAGCTGGCCGGTGTCGAATGGGGATTTGCCAAGGGTGGGATCAACGGAACGAAATGGGTTGTCGCCAAATACCTGGGCTACCCAGAGGCAAGTTGCCACTGCCGACGGCCATACCCCAAGTACGACGACCCCAAGAAGCAGAGCTGGATCACAGAGGTAGTGAGGCCGTTGGAGGGCGTTGAGGCCAGCCTGGAGAGGCGATGATAGGGTAGAGTCGAGACATAAGTATAGTACTAGGGCAGGGATACGTTCGCCGTAGGTGGATAGGGAGAGAGAACAGGAACCCCCCCATTAGAACTGTGATAGAGTGAAACATTTAGATTCGACATAGGCAAATTCAAGTAACAGCGAAGACTTTAGTCTTCAAGTGCACGTCGGCATCCGGCTGCGAATGGAACAGAAAACTGAGTACTGTAGGTGTTGGTAAGTCGAAGAAGGCATGCCAACTAACCATTAGGTACCTACATGGTAGGTAGCAAGGAATATGTTAGAGGCCACCCACTTCTGAGGAGGGGCCAGGGGAAAACCGCGGCGTTGGAACGGATCGTATGATACCCCGTAGCCACTTGTCGCGGCGCCAAGACCCCAACCGTTAGTGTGCCCTCTCTCTCTCTCTCTCTGTCTATCTCTAGTAAGCCGGTATGGAGTCGGGGGGAACTTGTTTACTTTAGTGCCGGGTGTGGAGCAACGAGGGAGGAAGTGGAGAATTTCCATAACGATGCACATACCTACATCTTGCTGAGAGGAGAAAGGCTTTGGTGGGCTGGGTTGAGAGGAAAAGGGTCGAGGGGGGGGGGAGGTGGACACTACCCCGACTTCTCCCAGAGGCCGCTTGATCACTTGATGCGTCCGCGTCCTCTTATCGAATTGTTGACTTCGTACAAGGCGAGGCGCGTTCCGATCATCTCTACAATGAACATCCCCTTGCCCAGAAGATGCAGCAGCAGACAGGTTCACAAGCTCCGCCACAGCCACCATCTCCTATCAAGAGACCGGCTAGGTCTAAGAATGGCTGTATGACCTGCAGGTAGGCATAGGGTACCTTTTTTTTTTTTTTCCAACCCTCCCCCCCCCCCGGCCCACCTCCATTCCCCTTTGGTGGACCGTCGCTCGCTCGCTCTATGCCTTGCTAAACGGATCTGCTACGTAGGCGTCGTAAAGTCCGATGTAATGAGATCCGCCCTATATGCGGTCATTGTTCTCGCCTCAATCTGGAGTGTCGATGGCGGCCGTCCAACCCGGGCCTTCTGACCAACGGCACCGGCAGCAATTCTCCATCCGCTGCGAGCCGTGGAAAAAGGCCTGACAGTGGTGGCAGCTCGAGGGTGCTTCCGACCCCGGCACTGCCCACCGCCTCTTCCACGCAGGAGTCTTTTGATGACGTCTTCAACTATGCGAGTTTTATGTGGGATGGGCCAGATCTTTGGAAGCCTCCGTCCTGGGGGAATCAGGATCTGTCCGTGGTGGATCAAGCTATACCAAATTCGATGATGGTATGTCGACGTCCTTTCGCACTCCTAGACTCGAGGGCACCTGGCGGCGCGGGACGCACCTTGCTGACTGGACCAGACCCCCTCATTTTCCGCAAAGCTCTCCCCGCCTGTCGGGAGTACCTTCGAGGTGCCGCTGGCTTCGAGCAATTCGGACGGCTATCCTGGTCTCGAGGACAATCTTATCCCCCCCAACATTCCGTCGGGTGACCGAGCGCTACTCGACTACTTTGTGCAGTCGGTAGTCCCTCCCATCATCGCCCAGGTCGAGACTCAGACCAAGTGGGCGTCGATGAGGCAGACGCTCATGTCCATGTCCCGATCGTCGTCGATGCTACGCCACGCCATCTTGACCTTCTCCTCGCTCATCTTGTCGAGACAGGGAGAGGCCCCGGCAGATACCGCCCGGAAACATTATGCCCAGACCGTCGCCGAGTTAGCTAGACAGAGCGAAGCCGGGCAGAACCTACAGAGCAAGGAGGAGACTGCCAGTCGAGCCGCCGTGCTCGCGACGCTCTTTTTCCTCAGCTACACGGACCTTCTCGAAGGAAGGAATGAGCTCACGCACGCGAATCTCAAGAAGGCGTTCGACGTTTATCAGTCCTCCGACAAGACGCACTTCCGGGCCGTCGAGCTGCGGCTCCTCTCCTGGATCCGGCTCATAGACGGTAGAGCGGTGTCGGCGGGCGGACAGGGGCTCTTCCTATCCGAAATCGACGAGAAGCTACTCGCATACTCGTCGCCCGGAAGCTTTGACGGGGGCGAGCTTGGGGCCGACGAGCAGACCGAAACGGACATCGAGGAAGTGCTATTCGATATCCTGTACCAGCCAGGCATCGTCTTCTTCCAGAAGGTCCAGAGCTTCATGGGCCGAATTTCTCACCAAGATCCCTGGCATAGGCGTCGGGGCACCGTAGAAGACGAGACCGAGGTCATGAGCATTGCAGCTGAGATCTCGAAGGATCTGCGCCAACTGTACGAGGCTCGGCCACCACTCATGGACTACGCAGCTGCTGGGCTCCTAGTGGCGCCGCACGTCTCGTCAAATCTTGCCCTCACAATCACTAGGGCGTTCCGGACCTTCCTGTCCAATTACCACGCCAGCAAAATTCATCTGCATAGGGTTGCTTACAAGTCGTTGCCCCTGACCAATGAGACGATCGAGTCGATCGACACGATCCGTAACCTGGCAAAGATGCTCGTCGACGGCGATGCGCAGGACATGCTCCCGGTCAACATGCTCTGGCCGCTGCTGATGTGGGGATCGGAGGAGAAAAGCGCGGAAGAACGCGCATGGATCAAGACACAGATCATCCGCATGGAGAAAGTCGCAACAAACGCTCGGATCACCAGCCAGGTTCTCGAGGAGGTGCAAAAGCGCCAGGACACGTTGAGTGCCCGGCAGGATATCCGCGACGTAATGGAACATGTCTTCAACAGCTGTTGGGCCATTGTCTGAGCCAGGAGAGGGGCAGCTGACGCCCGAGGCTGCCAAGCGGTTCGTCTCACCCAGTCAACGCGCGCGTAGCTGCCCGCCCCGGTTCGAGATTCCATAGTCGGACTCGCCATGTTTCCCTTTCCGAAGCCTGCCGCTGGGGCGATACGCGTTGCCGCAAAAGGACCTCGCTCAAATTTCACGTCATTTTTAAGTCATAAGACCCGGCTGCTGTGTGAGGACAGGCGCGGATAGGCAGGAAATTCTATCGCCTGTCGTGGACGCCACGGACGGCTCGTGGGAGCCACCATTCTGTCATTTGGGAGAAGGTAAGGTCCTCATATTGATGTGGTGGTCGCGGGCCAAGCACCACTACCTGGCTTATGTAACTAGCCGAGCATCACAAGGCGAGACACGGCAGGGACAGATATGGGCTAGAGCTAGCTGAAGTCCCCCCTTGGTCCTAGGGATACATCGCCCCGGGATATTTCGCTTCTGGGTCGCGTGGCTGGCCCAGCTTGTGGTGTGCCTCGAGCGTTGCGCGCCCTTACGAGGTCCAGTCCCGCGCAACTGGGGCTAGAGCGAGGTCGCCTAAGAAGCGAGGCTATAAACGGAGCGATTTTCTACCAGGGCATGCTCTGGGAGGATAGCTGCCGGCGGCTGTACCTCCCTGGTCGGGACTACTGTCTGGGACTTTCGCTAGACGCCGCTATGATAAATAAAGACGACCTCACGGGCATCTTTACCTATAGTTAGCACATATGTATACCATGTGGAGGGTGGAAGGGAAACACACGGTCTTGGGACATAATAAAGCCAGGTTAAAGTGCTTACTTGTTGGTTGGCCCTGGGTAGGTATCCAAGGGCGGGTTTCCTAGGGTGGGCCCGTGCCTGGCCGATCGTCAATACGGGATATTTCGGGCTCTCGGTGAGTCGGTGTAGGATGCATGGTGCCGGTTTGGGAATGCTTCAAGTTGTCTGATAACTCAAGAGAGAATATTACTCAGCCTTGGGGAAGAGCCGTGCTCTTTTTGGCAACCCGGCTCCCAGAGAGACGGTGCATCTGGGTCTGTGGTGCCGCCCCAGCCGAATCAGGCCTAGAGGGCGTCGGATTGTGGTAGGTCTAGGCTATAGGTATTCAATGCGTCTCACTCTCCGAACGCAACGCCGTCCAGCTACGTCAATGGGAAGAGAGACAAAAGAGGCAGAGACATTGAGAAGAAAAAAAAAGGAAAGCGGTGAACCTGCTCTGGCAAGGCTCGGCGACCTATCATCCCTCTCGCAGATGCCTACAAGGTAGGTACCTAACCGATCAAGCTCAGTTACGTGTTCATATTATCCTAGGCAGTCGATTTGAGGGGGGGGGGGGGGGGAGAGGTTTGGCAACTAATATTAGAGGCAGGATTCCGTCTCGCTGTTTTCAGACATGCCTGCGATAGACCTGAGAATATCGAATCATATCTGTGGCTTCGGTGCAGCTGACTCATATTGAGACGCAGCTCAACTTCTCGTTGTAACCTTGGTTTCCTCACGCGGGAGACAGAATGAACAGAATGATGACTCCCTCGTGTGACGCGGATGCACATCCCGGGATGCCCGGTGCCTCGCTGCGAGTATAACATACAGTGCGATTCACCAGGTCCGAGGTGTGACCTGGACGTAGGGAGGCGGGCTAAGTTGCCTGGTTTTAAAAGCGCGCACTGCGAGTCTGACCAGTTCTGATGATGGGAGATGAGACGGGGCCCGACGAAGAGAATGGATGGCTGCACCTCGGGACTTCACCGGATTGTGCTCGTCGGCCTGTCGCTTCTCGAGCCAAGATCAGCCTCGATAGGCGTAAACAAAACCTGCACCCGCCTCAGCACTACCGGGCACCCAGGCTCGCCGAGGAGACAAATCCAACTCGAGATGGGCCCCCTAGGGAAGTAGGAAAGACGCAGAAATACGACACATGCTCCTTACCGAACGTGAACCTCGCAGAGGAGTAAAAGAAAAATAAAATAAAAGGCGCAGCATTGGCAGACAAGCGATGCCGAGTATTGGCTATAGTTCGCAAGCCCTGTGCAACTCCGAGAGACGGGCTGCAGTGGAGGTTGATCGGTGGGATGAACCTTGCATATGGCACACTGCATGTGCATGGCCCTCCTAGGAGTATGTAGGTAGATCGGGTTCAAGTCCCGGCCCGAAACACCGTTGCCCAGTTCCCTGTCTTCGGATCGTGGCCTTCACTGACGCAAGCGTGCGCCCTAAGCTCGTCCGCAGCGGGTTCTAGAGTTGGACGGTCTGCAGGCTTCGCCTGCCAGGATGGCGGCAAGTCATGCAGAATCACGGACGCCGCCACCATTTACGAGTCGCGTATCACGGCTAACTGAATGCGCCCTGCCCCGCAGATGACCAATATACATAGGATACGGCCTCCCGAATGCCCTTGACCGGTCAATGCGATAAGCGGCATACCGCCGACGATCTGGGGGGATCGAGGCCGGCTTGCTGAAGCCAAAAAGTAGTAGCTGCCAAAGCTATGCGAGCCGACGCTGTGGGAGGTGGTGATCCGATGTCTGCCAAGCGAGAACGGCATGTGACTGTGCCACCGAAGCCGGACGTCATCGTTAGAGGCGGGAGATTGGGTCGTATGCGGTAAGCTGACTAGAGGATGATTATCGGATCGTCGTGCCTCACCAACACAGCCGACATGGGTTGCGTGGAAGAAGGGGAAAAGAGCGACGCAAGTGAAGCAAGGCATACCCAGCGCCAACCTAGAGTCTGGATCAACTCACACCCGGCAATTCCAATCCATCGGCTCCGCGACGGGGATAGGTCGACGTCTTCCGCCTTGCAGCGGCACGCATGGCAACAACTACTTCCAGGAGACCAACCTAAGCACGATGCACTGGAGACGTCTTCATCAATGGACCTCGGATGCGATGTGGACCAACAGCATGAGGGGTCGCAAGGTATATGATCACAATATAAAGTCATCATTTACGGTCCGGCCTCGGGGGTCCTGCGTGGACATGCTTGCATGGGCCAGTCAGTCGATTCTGACGATGGGTAGACGGCCTGCCGATACCGAGGGGTTCGAGGCTGCGGCATTGTATCGACTGAGCACAAATTGCTCACCAACGGGAGCTAAAAGCGGGAAAGGCCGGCGTAAGCAGGCTGTCGGGAGCGGAATTAGGCATGAGGAACATCGTATGCGGGTTGGGTTGGAGAATGCAATATCGCGCATATCTGGCCAACTACGGTCGACAGCTGGCAGAATGTCACGAATCGAGCTTCGTTCGTCAGCCACTGATCAGATCAAACGCGGCGAGCCCAGCGAAGATCCGACAAGTTAGGGTTGACGTCGCAAGCAAGCGGGTACACATGCAATCATGGCCCAAAAGGTCGGGGGTGGACACAGTTCGTTGTTATCGACACTCTGGCGCAAGCTCCATCGACGGGGATTGAGGGGCGAACTAGTAAAGGCTTTGGGAGCAGTCATGTTCCTCGTCCCTCGCCCTCTTTCGGAAGAGGCCATCCTGTCGGAGCTTTGCGCCACGATCGATAGCCATTGACAAATCAATCGCCCTATGGTGAGAGCCGCGGTGGTCGCGGTCCGTACCAATAATATCACAGGCTCGGATCTGTTTTTTGCCAGCTCACACGGGATTGCCAACAGAGGCGAGCGACCCAAGCAAGCTGAGAAGAGGGAAAAACGCAAAAGAGCATTAAAAAAAAAGAAGAAAGCTAGGGAAAAGGAAATCCGATGGAGAGTTACGCGAGCAGCCGAACAATCCTACCCTGTCCGTTTCGTTCCGCTGCGCGTGGGGCGTGGTTCTCCCCCCTCTCTCTTCCCGGGTACGGGAGATCGCAGCGTGTTGAGCGGCGAGAGAGATGCCACAGTCTGTCAGATGACTTCCAAGACAGACCAGTAGGTAGTGATGCCGGAAAATTCGGGGTCGTGGCATCCGCTGTTACGATCGGGATTTGGGGGGATCCTGGCTGGTCTTGTCAGCGGTGTGTAAGGGCGGTTTTCGAATACAGGTGGTTGGACGGAGATGCTACTGGCGGAGGTTAGCGACAATCGAGTGCGCGAAGATTCGCATCCGGCGGGTGACTTTGCCAACCTACGTCAACTTAGGTCAGCAGGATGCGATTGCACAATGCCTCATATGACGCATACGTGCAATGAAGATGTAATGAAGATGTGCGGATATGTGGACGGTACTTCCCCACGTGGCCCGTCGCCCGATCGGCAAGCCGTACCAGCCCAGTTGTCAAGTTTCAAGTTAAAGGTGTGTAATTAATCGATATCCAGCTAATTTCTCACAGTTCACCACTTTTCGTGAAACAAGGCCGTTTCTTTTGCGCCCCGAAAGCCCACGTTTTCCCTACTTCCCCGGTCTTGGATTTTGTTCTGCCTTGTTCTTAGGCGCCCAGGATTTCAGGGCTCTGTCTCCCCTTATGTCTCTCCTTCACACACACACGCGCGCGCACACTCGCGTACATACGCATTCACCGCGATTCCGGAAGCCTACCGACTCCGCGGTAGATTCGAGGAGAGGGAGAGGCACCTTAGTACCTATATTAAAGGCGCACCGCGTTGATAGTGGCGCGGTCCATTAGCAAGCGTGTGCTAAGGCGGCTGGACGAGGGGGGAAGAGGCTAGGGCCCCAGCAGGCTCTGTTTCTAACTTACAACCTCAAGTCGTCATCACATCATAAGAGCCCTCCCCCCCCCTCCTTCTCGACGACGGATCAGGTCATTCTCCTCCGCCCTGTTATCCTCTCGAGCGGGCTCCAATCGGTTCCGCCACCGGAAGAAGCCTCACTAGCAGCTCGAAGACTTATTATCGTCTGATTCGCAACGCTCACCGGCTTAAGCTTGTGTCCTAGCTCCCCCCCTCCCTTCTACCCCCCGTGAGCTATTGGGTCCCGCGTATGCCGGAATCGCAGTAGGAGGGTGTCTTAGTTCGGGACGCCTCCCTTTTTCTTGTCCTTCCTATCAGGCGACAACCGGCTGATTCGACTAAGCCACCGTGCGTTGAGAAGCGGGAAGGCGGACGGCTGATGAGCGATGGATTTCGTCTGGCTCAGGCACAGCAATCTTCTTCTCGAAGGCCGATGGAACGCCTAGTCTAACGTCTGGGCCTTAGAAGCCGGTAATATTGCATGTGTGGTGAAGCAGCTAGGGTGTGGAGCCGAAGCATGGAAGTCCCGGTCACCGTTAGCTCTACCGAGATGTTTCACCGCCGACCGCGATTCCCGGTATGTACGCGTACATACCCAGTACGTGGTATTATGAAGCAGCCTAGGCCTACCTACCTTACCTAGGTAGGTAGGGTGTGCACAATGTTACTCTGCACATAGGTAGGGCACCTACCGGGTCCAGGCTGGCCTGGTAGGTGGGGAGGTTAGGCTACGTGACTATGCGTAGGTAGGTAGGTAGGTAGGTAGGTAGGTAGGTAGGTATGAGTAGCGATCGGAGAATAGCTCCTACAAACG